GGCAGCGGTGAGTCTCACGGGACTTACTTCCTGCTGCGGCTCTCCGATTCAAGCGCGGCAATGCTCCGTGGGAATCGACGGGGATGGTGGTGCTCCGGCGGCAGCAGCGGCCCTCACTTCAGCTCCTGCTGCTACAACTGGTTCTTAGATGACACTCCTTTGATTAGTTTCTGCTGATCGGATTTTCGGTGTCTTAACGAACCAACGCTCTGATACCACTTGTTGGAATAAACGCATGCGGAAACAACACACAATCACGAATCAACTGCAGAAAAGTAAACGACACAAGATTTAACGTGGTTCGGCCGCCAATTGCAACCTACTCCACACGGGGCAACTAGGAGGATTTTATTACTTTTGTTGCACACCATTACAAGTACATTAGCATCTCTTAAATAGAGATTAGTTAGGGAGACAATGATTAAGCCGTAAGCTTCTAGGTAGCTTCCTGCCAATTTCCTGTTAGCTTCCATCCAGCTTCCTGGCTTCACACTCAACAGTATTTGAGGTACATGGGCTGCAATGTTGAGGAGGAAAGAGCGGCGTTACGAGTGGAGTACAAGAAAGCACGCAAAGAAGCTAAGTTAGAGGTAACGAGGGCAAAGAATGCCGCTTTTGAACGCCTCTACAAGGATATTGAGGAGAAAGGCAGTGTTAATCCACTGTTCCGGCTTGCTAAGGTGCGTGAGAGGAAGGCCCGAGATCTGGATCGCGTGAGATGCGTGAAGGGCAACGATGGTAGAGTGTTAGTTGAGACTGCCAAGGTGGCTAAGCGCTGAGGGAGTACTTTAGTGAACTCTTAAATGCAGGAGGAGACCAAAGGCTAGTTCTGGATGAGTTGGGACAGCCCGGGGCGTCTCGTATGTATTGCCGGCGCATTTGCCTGGAAGAGGTGGTTCGGGCTATCCGCGTGATGCGTAGTGGGAGAGCTTTGGGACCAGATGAGATTCCAGTGGACTTTTGGAAGCATGCAGGTCGTGGTGCGTGGGTTTGGTTAACCAAACTCTTCAATGTTATCCTCCGGATAGCAAGGATGCCTGATGAGTGGAGGGAGAGTCTCTTTGTCCCTCTGTTTAAAAGCAAAGGTGACATTCAGAGCTGCGAAAATTACAGAGGCATCAAACTGCTTAGCCACACCATGAAGATTTGGGAGCGAATCATTGAGTTTAGGGTGCGGAAAGGGGTTTGCATCTCTGAGAACCAGTTTGGTTTCATGCCTGGCAGATAGACTACAGAGGCCATTCATCTCGTGAGGAGGTTAATGGAAGAGTATAGGGCTAGGAAGAAGGACCTTCATATGGTGTTTATTGACCTTGAGAATGCGTACGATAGGATGCCAAGGGAGGTCTTATGAAGGTGCCTTGAGGCGAGAGGAGTTCCCATCGTGTACACTCGCGTGATCAAGGATATGTACGATGGGGCTATGACCAAGGTAAGGACTTCCAGGGGCTACTCATATTCTTTCTCGGTAGGGATGGGGTTGCACCAAGGGTCTGCCCTTAGCCCTTTTTTGTTCGCCTTGGTAATGGACGTCCTAACTCAAGGTGTTCAAGAAAGGTTCCCATGGTGCATGCTTTTCGCGGATGATATTGTGCTTATCGACGACACACGTGAGGGACTAAACGATAAGTTGGAATTATGGCGCCTTGCCCTTGAGACTAAATGATTCAGAATAAGTAGGAACAAGACTGAATACATGGAATGTCGTTTCAGCGGCCGGGATACAGAATCAGAGGTGGAAGTCAGGATTGACTCTCACCTAGTACCTAAGGTAGACAGGTTTCGATATCTTGGCTCGGTAATCCAGGCTGATGGGGAGTTAGATGCGGATGTTGGACATCGTGTTGGAGTGGCTTGGGCCAAATGGCGGTTGGCTTCAGGGGTGTTGTGTGATCCGAAGATTTCGCCTAGAATGAAAGGTAAGTTCTATCGATCCGTAGTCAGACCTGCTATGTTATATGGGGCAAAGTGTTGGGCGGTTAAGAAGACTCATGTGCATCGTCTGCATGCGGCGGAGATGCGGATGTTACGATGGATGTGTGGGAAGACAAGGTTGGATAGGATTTCGAACGAAGTTATCCGACGTCAGGTAGGCATGGCACCGGTGGAAGATAAGTTGCGGAAAGCGAGGTTGAGATGGTTTGGCCATGTGCAGATGCGAGAGGATTACGGTTATCGGGGGAAGTAGGGGAAGGGGTAGACCTAGGAAAAATTGGAAGGAGGTGATTAGGCAGGATTTAGGACTTCTTGACCTGACTGAGGATATGACCCTAGATAAGAACCTTTGGAAAACTAGGATTAGAGTAGCTGGATAGGAGCTCGATCGGTGTTGTAGAGGTTGTTTTGTAGTGTGTTGTACTTGTTTGGAATCTTCTGCTATTGCTTGTACTTGTTGTTTGTACTTGGTGCTTTATCTGTGTTATACTGTGTTCCCTTCCATATTTTTGTGCAGGTGGAGCCGGGGGTCTCTTGAAAACAGCCTCTCTACTTTCGAGTAGGGGCAAGGTCTGCGTACACACCCCTCTAGACCCTACTGTTGTGGGATTCACCTGGGTTGTTGTTGTTGTTGAGCGTGATTCAAACCAAGATTACAAACTCGTGGGATGGCCACTTACACATAAGGTGGCCGGGGAGGTGAGGTGGCGGCATTGCCGATCACTCGGCCGTTTTTGGCGAGGCCGACTATCCCGACGGCCATGAAACCGGCCAAAGTCCTTGTTGAGAAATGATTGTGCAATATTCAAATACATAAAACTTACGACCGACAAGTGTATATGGGAAATTGTTGATACATAAACTCCGGCCGACAAGTGTATTTAGGAAAATGAATAATATAGTACTCCCTACATCCCTAAAAAAATTAATGTTGTAAATTAATGTTAGGAAAATGAATAATGTTGTATTTAGGAGTAGAATGTATGACTAAAATTATTTCTAAATCAATAATTAGAAAATAGACGTGATATTAAGAAATACTTTGTAAAGTTCATATATTTAAAAAATAATACGGAGTATAAAAAAGTAATAATATAAGGATTGCCAATATTATTATTATATCAAATGCTACCTTCGTCTCTGAATATTTGTCCAGTTTTGACTTTGTTTGGTCAATTGTTTTTAACATTTGACCAATAATTGAATAAAACATTAAACATATATTATATATTAATTAAATAAAATAATATTTTAAGAATATTTTGTCTAATATCTTTAATGGAGTATCATTTTTATTTAATTTGAAACCAAAGTTTACCAATTTTGACTGAGAAAATAAAGAATGGACAAATAATCAAGGACGAAGGGAGTAAATAATAAAAATTGATAAATAGAATTTTAACTTCTAAATAGAAAACAGAAATTTTCGGGTCATATGCTAGGGTGTCAGTACGTGTCACCACATAAGTGCTTCAATGGATGCACGTATGCTTCGCACATAAAAACACAGAAGCTAATTATTTGTACACAGACGATCAGTGTCTGTGTGTGCGAAAATCATGAGTGCACTCATCACTCTTTTGTCATGAGTGATGTCACCCCGAAACATGTTGAAATGAGAATAGGAATGGATTCCGCAAGGGGGTGCCAGCTTGGTTGATTGATAACTCGTCAAATTCGTCCGCCTTTTTTATGTGTTGACTTTGACATTGGAAGAAATACTACTAAAATATAACTCACCTATGCCCTCCTACGTCCTCCAGTGATCCAGCTGAAGTCTACGAGACTTAGTTTTTTTAGGGGTTGTACGAAGCACTTTGTAGGGTGGGGAGTGGGGACTGTTATGTCGGCACTGCCCCTTCAATGACTCACAACCAAACTATCCTTCCTGGAAAATCTCAAAACCCAACACAAATTCTTCAAGACTCAAAGAAAACTGCACAACCCAAAAAGGGATTTCTGTTTCCTTCAATATAAAACAACAATGGCCTAGCCTGATTAGATAATAAGGCAGTGTTTGGTTTGGGGAGGGAAGGAAGCCAAACTTATTTTGGGTCGCTATTCGGCCTAGCTTGATTAGAGGGGGGAGCGATGTAGTTTTCCGCTAGCCCTCCCCTCTCATCTGCTCCAACCAAACACAACCCAAGTGTTAGGCTAGGTATACTAACCTAATAGGGTATATGGATGGGGACAACTACATAAACAAGATGTAATAATGCAGCACCACAGTATAGGCACAGCTACAAACAAGACAAGAAGACATATTTTTCTTCCGCTCATATGTCTAAATCCTTGCGAAGAAGACAAGCCTTTGAATGGTAGATTAGTTTTAAAGGACACCCGAATTAAGCACTTGAATGAAACTGGAGTTGAAGAAAATAGTCGCTGAAAATGGAACTCAAGTAGTAATCTTAAGTTGCCTGGGGAGTGGGGAATGTGAGAAAGATTATGTAATGTTAATTCGTAAAGGTAATCTCACATTACTAGAGTAATTAGAGATTGATTCCACGTAAGAAAATGAGGCAATGGCGATATAATTTGATACGATTACTTTGGGTTTCTTAAGTATGGTAATATTTTCGGTAAATTCGGTCATTCCAACTTTCTCCATAACAATAAAATGGGACGAATAAAATAATATCACATTCATTGAATCAAAGAGCTTTAAAGTAATCTTGCAATACCGTAAAACCGTAATCTTACATTACCTTTCACCAGGCAATCTTTTTGAACCAAACTCTCCTCAAAATCCAAGGTTGTGGAATGGCAAAGTGTTGTCCCGTTACTTGCAATATTCGTAGATGAAATCGAAAGTGTTCCATCAGATTTTCCTTTAAACATCAAGTAAGGAAGCTCTTCTAACACATTGTAGGATCTTCTAGAGGCTCAATTAATGGAGCTTTGCGCGGGTCTTTTTTTCAATCCTACTTCATTCATTAGACGCCTCACATTTTCAGCATCTTTCCACCTTCCTAAAGCAGAATAAATGTTTCCCAACAACACATAATTCCCGGTGTTGTGTGGCTCTAACTCAAAAAGCCACTTTGCAGCCACCTCCCCGAGCTCAACATGTTCGTGTATAACACAAGCACCTAGTAATGCACCCCAAACGGTATGAGTTGATTTAAAGGGCATATCTTTTATCAAGTCATAAGCTTCCTCAAGACGTCCCGCACGTCCTAAAAGATCAACTATACAAGTGTAATGATACGGCCGAAGATCATCAGGTTGATATCTCTTCATGTAATTAAATAAACTTAGGCCATCGTCAACTAACCCTCCATGGCTGCAAGCATGCAGAACAGAAGTGAAAATGACTTCGTTAGGTTCAATATGAGACTGAACCATCTGATTAAATAGAGAAATTGCAATATCTCCATGTCCATGCACTCCATAGCTAGCTATTATCACACCCCACGACACGATATCTCTTTCCTTGAGAGGCACTTCCTTGAAGACTTCGTGACCATAATCCAACTTCCCACATTTCGAATATACATCAACCAAGCCAGTTGCAACCTCTCTTCTTGAAATGAAACCAGATCTCACAAGATAGCTGTGTAAACTCATGGCCTGCTGCAAATCAGCCTCGATTGCATATGCAGGAAGTAAGCTCTTTAGCGTTGCATCATTAGGTTTTACATCTTCTGAAAGCATTTGTTTGAAAAGCAGAATTGCTTCCCCTGAAAGACCATTATGAAGACACCCAGAGAGAACTGCGTTCCATGGGACAGTTCTCTTCTTGGGAGTCTTGACAAACACACGAAGGCTAAGCTTGAAACAGTTGCACTTTGCATACATGTCAATGAGTGTAGTTTCTACATTCGCATCTGAGTCAAGTTTCTGCCTGATTGCCCATCCATGTATGCACTTGCCAAGTTTACTGTCAGAAAGACTTGAACAAGCCGAAATCAGTGATGCCAGAGTGATTGAGTTAGGTTTTATGCCTTCAAACTGCATTGTACGGCATAACTGCAACGCAGAGCTTATGTCGCCATCCAAAATGTACCCATTCACCATAGTAGTCCATGTAACCACATCTCTACCCATCATCTTATCGAAAACCAAACGTGCCTCTTCCATACAGCTGCATTTGACATACATATCGACAATTGCATTTCTAACAGGTAAAAGATCCCAAAAACCTTTCTCTTCGGCCAATGAATGAACCTCTCTCCCCAACTTCACATCTTTCAGGTATCCACAAATTGGCAATACGGAAAGCACAGTGGCACAATCGATACCCACTCCGACTTCAATCATTTTCCTGAAATGTATCAAGGCTTCCTTGGCACTACCATTTCTGAAATACCCACCAATCATGATGTTCCAAGACACCGTAGTTTTCTCCTGCATTGCATCAAACACTCTCCTTGCCCCTTCTTCATCTCCACAATTCATATACATCACCAACAATGAGTTCCCCAGGAATGCATTCAAGACAACCCCAGTCAATACTGTCAGACCATGGACAACAGCCCCAATCTCACGCAGCAATAAATCACCACAGGCCCGAATTACAAACGGGAACGTATACCGATCCAGCACATGCCGACCCGAGTGGAGCATTTCAGCAAACAGTTTGAGGGCATCTCGGGGAGCCCCGTTTTCCACGTACATTCTTATCATGGTCTTGTAAGATAGAAGAGTTCTAAAAGGCAATTCATCGAACAGCCTGCGAGCATGGGAAGTTTGAGAGCATAGGGCGTAGGCGGCTGTGAGGAGGGAGAGGAAATGAGTGGAGTTGTTGTGATGATGCAGGAGTCGGGTCCTTAGAATGTGGGCGTGCAGTTGCTTTGTGGTGCTCAAACACTTGGTGGTGGAGCAATGGTATAAGAGTGATTCGCAATGTGCAGCGGCGGCGGCGGTTGGGGCGGAGAGAAGGTGGTTCAAGGTTTTGGACAGCGGCTGAGATAGGCCATTCATGAATCAAGTCCGTCTGCTCAACGATTTACCACAACGAATGCCTATTGTCCTGAAACTTGTTCCAGCATCTTGTTATGATATTTACTCCCCCATTTTTAATCTTTGAACTTAACAATTTCTTTTTTTTATATATTCATATTTACCTCTTTTTAAATCGTTCTCTTTACTATTCATATGATCATGTTCTTTTTCTTTATGTACTTTTATTGATCATTTGATAAAATAATACTCCGTATATTCATATAATTTTTTAGAGAGTATTTTTTATGAAGTAAAATTTTAATGTATTTCATAAATATATACACTGTATAAAGGAATTCATAGCGGATTGGGCAATGATTATTTCATATTGAACATCAATGTTAAAAGTGACTTGGGACAACTACGATTATTTTGTTCGTAAAATTGATGGTTATTACACATTCTTGTTCGTCAATTTTGTAATGCCAAATCGGGAGGGTAAGAACCAACAATATCAAATGATTCATTTTTTCCCCTTGTTCAAACTTCAAAGTGTGCATTTAGAGGAGATGATCAACACCACTATAACCCATTCAGAAAGAAAGAAAACAGAAGTGAGCAGTGCAAGATTTGAAAACATCCACCCAACCACAGCCATATCTGTCTATCAATTGAAGTGCACCTCTTTTACCAAGAAGAAAATCTCTTCTCAATTATTATTAGTGAAAAAATAACAATAAAAGCACATACAAGAGTTCCCCCCCCCCCTCTACAATAGGGGAACACATTCTCAAATCCCCACCATAAACAACATTGACAAACCGCATCAAAGAAAAGAAACAAGGTCTCAATACAAATTCAAAATACCCTCTCCATCACCCTCTTCCTACTTCATCTAGCTCTATCACAGCCTAATCGTCAATGGAGCAGTCGCGAAATCACATGAAATAATCAGCAAAATCAACACTTCAAGCTTCACGGGTAAATGGGGAGAAGAAGAAACTCCCCTTTTCACAGTGATCAACCTTCTTCCTCTCAAAGTTACCTTCTTTTATGGAGCTGTGATTTGGTTCAGTCTCGCCATCACTGCTCCCCTGAACTTCTTCATCATCAACCTCGACCTCCTTCAATGCCACGCCAAGATCTTCAACTCTCCTGCAAAGGTTATCCACAACATCACCATTGGAATCGACTGTTCTATGTGATTCCCTGCTGGAAATGGGTTTTAGGTTCCTGGCATTGCCGTCCTCAGCAAAGGTCACAACTTTGTTTACTTTGGATTGAACCTCACCATGCCTCTTACCCAAACCACCATTTCTGGTTTGCAGAATCCCAGACTTCTTGATTACAAAATCTCTAGGGCTTTCAAAATGCTCATCCTCGTCTTCTACAGATTTCCTCAACTCGATATACTTATTCATGATGCTCTCCATTTTGTCCATTTCATGAAGCATCTGAACCCTAGAATCGTTATACGTACTACTACTACTACTTCCATGCTTAACAATCTTCACTATTCTACTTGGATGACTGTAATTTTCTACACAAGTCTCATCAATTAACTCCATGAACTTGACCAATTCTCTGCTAATTGATTTTTTCCCATCTTGGATCATTGGATCGCTTCCCTGCAAGCAAACCCCCATTTCACAGTTTCAACGATCTGGGCGTATACAATCTGCAAAGGAGATTGAAGGAGAATTGATAGTTACCTGGATGGAATCAAGTCTAAGAAGCAGGCGATTGGCCTTGTGAGAGAGAGCTTGGGGATCACAACTGGAAGCTGACGATTTCAGAATGTTTAGGGCTGACTTGATAGAAGCGAGCTCCTTGAGGTGACGTAGGGTTTTCGATCTGCGAACAAGGAAAGCTCTGAATTGAGTCTGGATGGTACGAGCAGCTGTATCCCGGAGGGAGTGGGAATTGAGGGAGCGGCGGCGGAGGGAAGACTCCAGAGAGGCGATGCGGCGGAGGAGGGAGGAAACGACTGGTTGGGGTTGCGCTTCGCGGAGATGGTGGAGCTCTTGAAGGAAATGCTGAGGCGGGCAGCATTGGGTCTGCCGGTGGTGGTGGTTGTGGTGGAGTAGGGTTTGGGAGCTGTGAGGAGAATTTGAGCAAGGACCGAACAAGTGGGGTTGTTGGGGATCGGGAAAGCAAGGGGGTATAGAATGTAGGGCTGGCGGCGGATGCGGAGGGTGATAGCAAGCGGGGTCAACGGAGTAGCAGATACATGGAGCTAGAGGCACGACGGCGGTGGAGGAACGGCAGAAACAGGGGTGGTAGTGATGGTGGTCAGCGGCCATTCCGGCGGGAGCCTTTCGGAGTGGGGTGGGTGGATGGGGCGGAATTCTTTTTGTTGAATCGTTTGCTTGGTGTGTAATGTAGGCCAGCATGTGTTATGATTGGTACTAAATATCAAAGCGTCAGCGTTTTGGATAAAATTTTAACGGTGCAGATTAATTTGAAAACGCTAACGCTAAAAGCTACCCGTAGATAGCCTTTTGAAAACGCTAACGTGTTGGGGAAATTAATGATAACTTGGATGAATCGAGAGTTGTGTAAACACTTTCAGATTGAATATTTTGGTTGTTCACTCCAAAATTCAATCGGATAAAACTCGAAAGTATCAAGAACGAAATATGAGAATTGCTGTGTAAAAACCGAACGAAATTCGACCATGCCCAGGGGGATTTTATAGACTAGGGGTGAGAAGGAGAAGACACCATTCGCGGCTATTACCCAAAGCACGCAACTCTTCGCGCGGAAGTTTCTTCTTCAAAATTCGGTCCTATCCATCGAATTTTTTTTAAAAGAAAATTCGAAATTAAAATTCTAATTGAATTTTTTAACATAGCACCGACCCCAGCCAGGGGCTCTGCCCCTTGGACCCCGCAGGGGCTGCCGCCCCTTGAACCCTGCTCGGGGGCGCTGCCCCCGAACCCCGCCAAGGGGGCGCTGCCCCCTTGGAACCCCCGGTGTAACGGGTTTTATATCGTAACAAACTCAATGAAGCGTGCACTCCGCACCACCAAACTTCTTTGATGATTATTAGGATATCATTGGCCGTAGTTTTTCCAATTACACTAAAATATATAACATAACGCTAATCGCTAAAGCTATTCCCAAACAGGCCTGTGATATACCACATTTTCTATGCATTCAAAATGTGTATTTTTTTCGAGTAAATGAGTATTTATTTTCGAGTAATTGGATAAGTATATACTCGGGTATCTAATATTTAGTTATTCTCGAAAATGAGTATTGAATTACTGAAAAAAGAATATTCATGAGTATTGAATGGTGCACACATTTCCACCAACCTATTTTAATAACAAAATTAACATTTATGCTCTTCTTTTCCTCAATCATGAAATTTTACTATTTTGTTTTCATTTTTTCTCTATACAAATAAATAAAATAACATATACGCTCTCCATTTCAAATTAAGGTTTTTCATTTATTTATTTTTCAAAATATTGTTTGAAGAACGTTACAAAAATAAAAAATAAAAATATTAAAATGAAAAGAAATACTCTTTACAAAATGAGAGGAAAAAGAATAAAAAATAGTCATTAAAAAGAAAGAAAATAAATTTAAAAAAATACCTTTTTCTTTTACTTCGTATTTTTCATCTTTTTATTCTTCATTTTTTTAAGTCCCAAAAAATCATTTTAATTCTGAAAAATAAATAAGTTAAAATTTTTAATTTGAGACGGTGTTAGTATATGCCAACTTTTATATTATTTATTTCACTTTTACTTGAAACAAAAAATGGCATTTTTTTTTCTTTTTCCGTTTTTTTGTTAACTTTTTATTTTTTTCTGTTCAAATTATTTTATTTCATTTTATATTTTTCATTTTTTTTAAAATCCTCCAAAAATATTGTCTTGAAAAAATAATAAAAAATTAGTTTGAGATGGAGACTGTAAATTTTTTGTATTTATTTGTACAAACAGAGAAAAATAAAAAAAAGAGGGAAACTTTATTATTGAGGTAAGGAAGAGCATAAATGTCATTTTTACTCAAAAATATGTTATGGGGCTTGTATGCACCTTTTAGAAACCATAAAGATTTTACTAAAAATTTTAAAAAATAAAGAAGATTTTGTTGCGCCTTTTGTAAATTATGCTTGGCACTTGTGCTATTAGCCCTATGATTGAAGCTTGATATCACAAAGACGTCATGTAAGTACTAAGTGGATAAATTGTGAGTCAGACGTCATAAAGACGTCATGTAAGGATTTAATGTTATCAAAATAACAAAATAGGAATGACATTGCTTTTTATCTCCAATGTAGAAATTTGGTAATGTGATGACAATATAGTAGCGTGAATGATGACAATGTGGTTGAAAAAGTGTGGCGACGATGATCAACACCGGCAAACGGTTGTGGCACTTCGACGACCTACGGTGACACTGGGCCCCTAAAATAAATGGGGCCGGTCCTGTAGGGCTGCTTAACCCACCCCGGGCGGGGCCGAACCTGACCTCAGTAGTTGGTCCCAAAAGGGGCAGATTTGTTACAAGATACAAGGTTCAATTTTCTGCGGCGTGTTGTGTGGGAGTGATATTCTTAGGCCATTCTGGATTATAAGAATGGATTCCTTGCATCTCTTTAGGGCTAGCCTCTCTCTTTTACGAGTTGTTGAATTCTTGAATTATCTCCCTTCACATACCTCGACGGGCCGGGTGTAGGAGGCCCCCGACGGGCCGAGTGTAGGAGGCCCTTGGAGGTGGGGATTCAACCTTTTGCAACAATAAAAATTTCATAATTTATACTTTCCATTTCACTTCCTCCTCTCACTTCCCTTCAACCAAGTGGAGTATCAATCATCACAATGTGATTCTCACGTCCAATCTTTCTTCCACTTTCTTTCCCATTTTCTTCCATTAGTTCCATATCTCCTCCCAACTTAACAATGTAAATTCATAATTTACTTTCCATTTCACTCCCTCCCTTCACTTTACATAAGTGGAGTTTCAATGAGTAAAGTTTAATCCCAAAGATGATAAATAGTGCACAAATCTCAATGCCATAATGACATGTGCAACCAACTCCCACTCATTACCCTTCAACCAACTCAACCCACCCTGCCAAAAGCCAATTAGTCATGGATTTTGACCACCCAAATGCCCAAAGCTGAAAAACTTTCACAACAAATCTAATCTCTCAACTGTTAATCAATACTCATGTCAAGAAAAACATAGAGTAAGAGAATTGAATTTGTATTCCTTTCAAGTCAGTGTGAAAAAACAACAGAAAGAAAACCATGACCAGCATCTTAAACTGTGCATTTGCTGCAGACCACACTATGGTGAACAGAACTGAGACTGCAGACATATTTACAGAACTATGATAATTGGATTGAAAACAGAAAGAAGAAAACAGAAAGGATTCACATATGCAGTTCTAATTGGAGATCATCACCAGCAGTTGCTTGTCCATGCCATGAAGCCACACCCTTTCTTCCATGGCCACTCCATTGACAGGGAGGAGATTCAGATCAAGAATGCTATGAATCTCAGAAAGTTTCTCCCTTTCTTCCACCACTCCTTCAGCTATGTTTGCATTAAAGTGGGCCCTCTTGTGACCACCCAAAGCTTGCCCAGATTGGAAAACCTTGAAGCAGATTGGGCAAGCATGATCTTTGGGGAATTTGCTGATCACAGCTTCAATAACTGTTTCAGAAACAGTGTTCATCTCTTCATTATCTGCTGCAGATTTCTCTGAATCATCATCATCATCTTCATCGCCTGCTGCAGATTTCTCTGAAACATCACCATCTTCATTGCAGCAAAGTGACTCTTTTGCAGAAACAAACCCATTCCAGGTACTGACTCCCATAGAAAGCATTAACAAGCTCATAGCAGCATCGTTCACCTCATCAAGATCAGAAATTGTGGGTTTGTTGTACCTTATTGACGACCTCTTCTTCCGAACCGGACACATGGCATCCAAATCCGATAAGCTTTGCACTTCGTTGGATCTTTTGGCGTGGATCTTCATGTGACCGTACATAGCCCTGATCGAACCAAACTCCCTGCCACATTTCTTGCATATATGATGTTCTTCTTCTTCTTCTTCTTCTTCATTGTCGTCGTCTTCATCTTCTTTGCTGTATTTTCTTGAATGGACTTTCAGATGACCCGCCAGAGCCTTCACCGAGGAGAAAGCTTTTCCGCATTTCTCGCAAAGATTGTTCTTTGACTGGAAATTGACGTTATTGGCGATCGATTGACTCTTCGCCGAGATGGGTTCGGAGTGCAGAAAGAAATCTTTCTTTCCGGAAGCTTCGGATTTGAGCTTTTGCTTTTTGGCAGCTGCAATCAGGCCCAGATGGCCTCGCATGTGGCCTCCCAGTGACTTCCCAGTAGAGCAAGCTTTGTTACAGAACTTACAGAAGAATCTGGGTTCTTGGATTTCTTCTTCCATTTGATCACTCAAGAATCGGAAAGATTGGAAATTTTCTTCAAGAAAGTGCTCAATACGCGGAGAAATCAGCGGAAAAGGAGTGATCAGTTGAGATTAGCAAACGCCCGATTAATGGGACTCTTCATTCCCGGAAACCCATGGAAGAACCGAGATGAAGGGAGGAGGTTATGGAGGGCAATTAGTGAGGGCTCAATGTGAAATTAAATGATGATTGTGATGAAAGATTTGAGGCTCCCATATTTGATAGGATCTTTCATCTCTTGTGCTTTCTCTAGAAGAATGAAATTCCTCCGCAATACGGAGTATAAATGTATAATCTCTTGTAAACTAAAAATTTTCTTTTTATTTAAATAAGTATTTGTTTTTTCTAATAAAAAAATTTATAAAAAATATATGTAAGAAAGTCAAAAAATGGTATGCACTCAAGGTGCACCATGGAAGCATTTTGTGCTAGAAGCCTGTAATCTCACTAATATTTATTCTCTCCAAATTGATTTTTTTTGAGTTAAATTACATTAATTATAATCACAATTACTCTAAATAAGCATATTAATACAATGAATGAAAATTCCTTACATGATAAATAAAATAAGATTATTTTTAAACTAGCATACATTATAATTTTTATTTTGTAAATATTCAAAGTTCTTCGCTACTCACCCGAAAATGTTAAATTGTAGATATACATTGAATGAAGGTAGTACTTCCTCTGTTCAATAAAACTCTTCTTATTTTGTTTTTACGTGTAGAATCTTAACTTATTTAAAAATAATTTTATTTACAAATTGATATGAAAATAAAAAGTAAAACTTATCATATATATTTAAAAACTACATCAAAAGTTCTACAAAATAAGTGGTAACATAAATATTTTATTTTATCAAATGACTAATAAAAAACACACGCGAACAAAAATTTTCGAGCATCATTAAATAGTAAACATGAAGGGCTTCAGTGAATGGAGGAAGTACTATATTTACTCTTCAATCTACTTCCCTCCATTTTTAACTATCGATTTAGCTTTTCGTGTTGAATATTTGACCAATAATCTTCTTAAAAATATATTAGAAAAATATTAAAATGATACATTAACATATTTTTATAATAAAAATGATGATTTATTTTTATTTGTTTTATTAAATATTTTTATATATGTATATATTTAATTAAAAGATCGGTATAGAAAATGAACCAAACATTTTAAAAATATTCGTAAATATATGACAATATTAATAAAAGCTACATGATTACAATATACGGAGTAAGTATGTTAATGTTGGAGTGTGGTGGTGGACCACCGGACAATAGTGGACTACGCCAGCAATAGATGACAGAGTTCCGGTGGCTATAAGGTTTAGTAGTCAGTAGTGTGGCAATGTTAGTTGAAAGTCTATTTATGTCACAAAATGAGTGTTACTTTTAGTTTTATATTTTCATTATATATCACTCGTAATGAGAGAGTTTTCACTTAGAATATAAAGGGAGTATTACTGAAAATTTTAAAAAATCATTTTAAATATGAATAAAGTGTAAAACATAGTAGCATTTATCGTTGAAATAAAGGTTTCATTTTTTTTTCTCTAAAACTAAAATTTACACTTGATATTACACATTCTATAGTAACATCCCACTATATTTTAGGTACTATATATATTCATATTATTGGCATTCTATTCCTATTTTAATAATAAATATCATAAAATTATTATTTTGATAATTTTAATCATAATTTAGTCCTTTTTCCAAGTTATACTTAGTGCACAATACTACTCCCTACTTAATACTCTATTTGTTTCATAATCACAAAGTATATTTTTGTACAAAATTGATAACTTTTTCAATAAAGTAGAATTTGTATAGTTATAATGTGCATAAAGAAAAGAGAAATAACTAATCCTTCTTCTTTCCTAAAACTATTTTATCATTCACTCATATTATTTATTGAGTCAACCCTCATCTACTCCGTTGACATATTTTTGTTACTTATATGATAAAAAAATATAGTAACATCACCCAATTTCCTAGACCTATTAATGTGATTTTTAAATATATAAATTTATTTTAAAACTTCACATCAATTTTTCAAAAAAAATAAAATTGAAAATGTGAAATATTGTAAATCGCAAAAAGAAGTTAGTTTTTAGGACGAAAGTGTTATGAATTACACTGAGTACAATTTTTTTCTTATGAATTACACGGAGTATATTTTACTGTGATGCATAATAATTTCCACTTTACAGAAGTATGAGAGTTTTGGGTCGCCGTTATTACCTTGTTTATGTTTTTATTCTTAATTGAATGATTTTTCTAGAAAAAACAGAAAATTTAGTTTAAAAGAGTAAGAAAGGAGATAATATAATGTGACTCCAAACCCGGCCCGGCCGCACTGGTCTGCTGGTACACTGGTGAGTCTGGTCTATATGCACCTCATCCCTAACGGGCATATACGAATTTCTCAACTATATAGACGAAAATTTAGGCGGCACAAAACAGCTCGTACTAGCCGTTAGGAAGCTCTAGAAGTAACGGTTTCCAATCGTCTTCTTCCTCAATTATTTTTTTCTTTCCATTCTGCTCATACGAGCTCTCTGTCAAATCTTGGTAATATCTTATGACTTCTCTGTTCACTTCAATGGAATCTTTCAGCGAGTCTAGCGGCTTCTGTCACTGCAATCCAGCAACTGAAAATTCTGACCCCAATGTTACAAACTCAGGTTTGAAGGAATCCAGCTCGCCGTCGTCAAGAAAGCCGGCGAAGAGAACCCAAAGATCTGGTTCGAAAAACCCTAGATCGAATCCTTCTTCCGTGGTTTCGCATTCCACCCAGAAATCGGCTTCTAAAATCCGGAGTCTTAACCCCACCTCGACGCCTTCCCCTCAAATCCGAAAATTGGATTTGAAAATCCAAAATCCAGTGGCGTTGTCTTCCCCGCAAAAGAAGGGTGGTGAGAACGAGTGTGTGCGTGCTGCTGATGATAGTATCTGGGTTTCTCGAGAAGAGTATTTTGAGAATCATGGAGCAAGTGTTGATGAAGAAGTCATGCTGGAGGAGTTTAAGCAGGGACCAGATGCACACGAGGTGTTCGATGAAAGGGCTGTGTCGAGTATCAGGAGAAGTAGGGAAGAGTTGTTGGATTCTGGGCGGGTGTTGCATTTGGTTCAGGCTTTTGAGAAGCTTCTGTTGCAGGCAAAACCAAATGGTGCAGATGAGGAACAAGAGCAGAATCAACAGACAGAGAAGGACTTGGCGAAAAGGGAATTCTCTCCACCAGATGTTATCCTCACGCATGAGAGATTAGGCTTGGAGTCACCTTGTTCCTCTTTGATTAATAGCATCCAAGTGTGGTTAGTGACCTACTCCATTGTTTTTGGCTTTGTGCACATAATGATCTATAGATTTCCGCCTTTAATTCAATACGTTTCTCTGTTTTTCAATGCTTTAGTACTTTGAGGAGTTCTGCCGGTGATAGAAGGAGCAGAAGGAAGGTAAGATTGTTGTTTTTTCTTTCACTTTACTTTTAAATGGTTTATAATATGTGTGTATATGTGAAAGAATATCATCTGGATGATCTTTAATGTTAAGTAAGAATTTGCAGAGTGCTGGATCAGCCAGGAGACACTGCAAGAGAAGGCAAATGAAACCAATATCTCAAGAACCTTTCAAGCTTAGAACCGAGGTTTGTATCATTCAATTGGTAATGACATTGCTTCATTGTTCCTAATTTGGGTATATAGTTTAGTTGTTTAGAGGGATGGATTTGAGGGGTTCTCTAAAGGAACTCTCGGAGGCGTAACTACCTTATCAATTTGTGAAAGCAGTTGTGGCAATTGTGATGCATGTTTATTCATTTATGTCGCTCTACTTCCAAATGACTATATATTGCTAAGCGCCCCTTGGATCCACAACGATTCAAAAAATATATGTTTCCGTACAACACCGTTAGTCCAAGATCACTGTCTTTGACTAACATAACGCTTATCATGAAGGGTTATAGAGCCATTTATTTTTTCAAACGAAGTCAAATTTTATTTACCCCCTCCATGCTCTAGGCTTTTACACACAATGGTTCTATTTAATGGGATCACATATGGTGATAACAACATAGAGCCAAAGTTGAAACCAATAGATTCAAGGATAAGTTATTAAGTTGGGTAAAGAGTTCGAGATGGAGAATTTGGGACAAGCGAGGAAGATTTGAGGCAGAATTATTTGAAGAATGTACTACAATGTTTCATTGTGAATGAAGATTCAATTCTATAAGTACCCCACTTGGTCCTTTTCATTTGAAACTTATAACCAGATGTCTCCTAAGACGGATGGTAGGACGGGAATACACAGTGAAAGTCTCATATGCTAATGAAGGTTGAATAAAACAATGCTACTTGGCTTTAAAGACCCAAAAAGAATGATCATTAAACATGATTTACACTTTAATTGGATGAAGGGAGTAAGCCATAAGTTCTTTTGTTATATAATCAGGTTCAGATCCTCTCTAGAAATCTAGGGTACTTTCACTCACTAAGTTAAATCCAACACTTTGCAGCTACGGGGAAAATGTAAGGAAGAAAAGTTTTTCACTAAAATAAAGCAAATGATGGAGGAAGAAGAGAGGCAGCGGGTTCCAATTGCACAAGGCCTACCGTGTACAACGGACGCTCCAGAGGTATAGAAATGGATTCATTAGTTTTGGTACATTTTAGACCAGGAGATCCTCAATCCTCATGGTGCATATGGCCTTTGACTTAGTGTGGTTTCTCTCATATTGTTTCAGTGTTTGGTAAAACCTCATGTAAAAGATGGCACAAAATCAATTGATGTGGTGCTTCACAGTGATGTCAGGGCCGTGGAACGAGCTGAGTTTGATCATCAGGTATAAATTCTGTAATTCGCTCCTTTCAATGTGTACATGCTAGCAAGCTAAATAGTTATGGACCATCTGTTTGGGGTTTTGGAGAGGTTGGATGAGAAAATCTTTGTAAGGCTTAGTCTATACTTTGATACTGGAGTATATATTTAAGATTTCAGAAAACTGAAAGTTTATGCTGATCCAATTACATTTCAATTTACTTTTATTCATTTTTAGAGACATTTTTTCTTATATATCTAGATAAAAAATAAGAGAAAATTCCTTTTGTACACTAAGGTGTTCCCCAAGCATGACCCAAGAATGAGCCTTCCAAATTCATTTCCTACAAACCCTCCATCTTGTTACGATCTCACACACTATGGTTCTAACTTCTAAGCGAAGAACACGATGAACATTTAGGGTCTAGAGAGAAGAAAACACAGCAAGAAAATAAACGTGGTAACACCAATAGCAAACTCCACGGTGGTATATGGCTTTATGTAAAATAGCCACATGGAGGATAACATAGGTTGAACCGCTTGAGCGAGAATATTTAATAGTACACTAAATATGACATCATGGTCCACAACCTCACACATGTAGATAGATCCTTATTTTTTGGTGCACATGCGAAACAGGTGGCAGAAAAATTGAACCTCATTGAGCAATACAAGGCAGAGAGAGAAAGACAAAGGATGGTAACTAAAGCCGCTTCCTTTATTTAACATATATTGCCTTGTGTGGCTCCTTCTTCTGTTCACTTGGTTTTTATCTGGTGTCGTAGTTGGCAGAAGAAGATAGGATTAGAAGATTGAGAAAGGAACTGATTCCAAAAGCTCATTCCTTGCCCTACTTTGACAGGCCTTTCATTCCTCAAAGGTACCATACTTTTGCTCCTAATTTGTACAAAAAAAGAATATAAGATCTTCATCTGCAAAATTATCCAACCTTTGTGCTCATACTTTGTTCGTGCTATTGAGTGTACTTTGTCTATGCTTTCGTGTTTGAGACGTGAGTCTCTTGGTAAAAAATGTTGGATGCTTTAGAGGTTCTCTAGAGCATCCATTCTAACTTCTTTTTCGGTTGTTGTAGGTCTCAAAGGCAACCGACAATGCCAAAAGAACCAAAGTTCCATGTCCAGCCTAAACAAAGATGATGAAAAGCGGCTGAAGTAAAAAAAAGAGAACATATTGAAGTCCCTCCCAGTATAATTTGAATTAGTTTACAGCAACCATTCCAAATTCATTCATTCATTCTTCTTGTTTATAGGCATTATATTACTCCATTAATTAATAATAGTTGTTGATTCTTTGAAGAGTTGTGCCACTTTTAATGTTTCTAAAATCAGTGCTCGAAATCTTATTGCGCCATACCCAAGTTTGATGCCTTCAAATAACATCAGAGATTCAGAGTCCTTTAAAAGTCCCTCACAGTATCATTTGAATAACCTCGATGGTTGTGCTTGTTTGAATTGCGTACTTTCAGTTGTATACAAACCTTGCCCCTACACGCAAAATAAACATGTTGTTTTCTCGAGATCTCAAGTTCAAAATAAAATGACGCAAGAAAACAATTAACATAAAAAGGCACAACAAAGATGAGGAGCACCAAAATAGCTATTTTTACACCATACTTGTATCAAATTTGCACCACACCAAAAAATTCGAACTATACGGACAAGTTTTTTCATGTACACTTATTATGTGAAAAACAACTAAATTTGTATGTCTAGTTTAAATTTCGGGGCATAGTTCAAATGTGATACTGATACTTTAACCAATAACACATTTGAACATGTTTATTTAAACACACATATACATTTTTACAAAAGATTTTTTATTCACGCATTTTCTTTTCGCGCCAGAGTAACATTGGTAACAAAAGAAATAAACTTCCTTCGACAATTAACTTCTCACTCTTCTTCTGAATTTGTTTCAAAATAAACTTTACATTTTTTATTATTATTTTCCTTTAAAGAAAGCAAAATGAGATTCATAATATTTTTCTGTGAAATAAATTTCAACGTAGTTTTTTTAAAATGTTATGAAGTCAAACCATTATTAACTTAAGAGCCATTTGGTTTGATTTCTTTTGATTACTCCAACACAGGCCGGATCCAAGATACTGTATAAACATCAACTAATCTGGGCCGCTCTTAGTTCGACTTGGGGCCCAAAAGGCCCACTACGGTTCAACGGAGACGGAGAGTTTTGTTGTCTCTAATCTCAATCCTGATTCGGCTCTTCTTCTCCATTTTCATCTGTCGGCCTCAGTTTCACAGCCATGGCGATCCGGCAGCTCCTGAGTCTCTCCCGCCGGTCCCGGAGGCGCGTCTCCTCCCAACTAGTAAGGCCTCTTTCTTCATCCTCTGCCGCCGTCGCAGCTGCCGCTCCCGATTCCGCTCATTCCCTCACACCTTCTCCGCCTCCACCCACCCCTATGATCTACGACCGATTGGCAGAAGCCGTCAAATCGAAGCTTAAGCGGCTCGAGAATCCAGACCCCCGCTTCCTGCAGTACAATTCTCCCCACCCTGTCCTGACTGACCATACCGATATCCTCAGCGCTCCCGAGACCCGCGTCACCACCCTGCCCAGTGGTTTGAGAGTCGCCACCGAGTCCAATCTGTCCTCCCGTACTGCCACCGTTGGTGTATTCATAGACTCTGGATCGAGGTTCGAGACGGATGAGACTAACGGTACCGCGCATTTTCTCGAACACATGATCTTCAAGGGCACGGAGAAGCGGACGGCGAGGGAGTTGGAGGAGGAGATCGAGAACATGGGTGGACATTTGAACGCTTACACTTCAAGGGAACAGACTACATACTATGCCAAGGTTCTGGACAGAGATATTCCCACAGCTTTGGATATTCTATCAGATATTATTCAGCATTCAAAATTTGATGATGCTCGAATCGAGCGTGAACGCCATGTCATCCTCAGAGAAATGGAGGAGGTGAGTTTTTGTTTTGGAAACATTTTGGGTATGTCATATCTGGAGATGATAAGTTTGCAGCTTGAATATCTTATTTCTTTAGCTCAGTAGAAGACAATGTGCCAGTTTTTCCTAATTCTGGTCTTTTTGTGTTCAAATTTTAATTATGAATAAATGTTTGATTTGGGGGTATTGCAAGTATAGATCTTTAATTGTCACCTTAGAGCCTTTACAGTTAAAAATGATTTGATGTTTGTTAGCTTAAGCCATCCTCCATGTGCTTAATGAAACTTGACTGTAGATATATAGTTGAATACTCAACTGGACAGAGTTAACCTTGATCTGCAATTCTTCTCTAGTTGTAGTGCTATGTGAAAAACTGTATCTGGCTACTATTTCCTAAGATCTCTTACCAACTTCTAAATGCCATTTGATTTCTATTGAAACACTACTCAATCTTAGTAAAGCTCATCTCTTTCTAATTTTATATGCAGGTTGAAGCCCAGCCAGAGGAGGTTATTTTTGACCACCTACATGCAACCGCGTTTCAGTATACTCCTCTGGGTATGACTATCCTGGGACCGGCTAAGAATGTTAAGACTATCACAAAAGCACATTTACAAGAATACATATCAACACACTACACAGCTCCGAGAATGGTACATTATCTATACACTACAAGCTTGAGTTGACGTTGGTTTTTATTTGCTTGATTTCATTTTTTGAGGCAAGTATTTCAGTCAGGGGCAGAGGGAGGGGGGGGGGGGTGGGGATTGCCGTCCGGACGTCTTCTCCATTGAAGGTGCCCCCCCNGAGCATAAAGCTAGAATCTTTTCAAAAGATAATACGGAGTAAAACATTCATCTGATCCAATGGTCGAATCTCACAAACGACAAAAAAGAAGCAATGCCATATGACAAAGAAAACAAAAAGGTGAAACCCATAAAGGGGTGGCAAAGTACAACCATACTCAGACACAGGTCCAAGTTGTTGTTCTTTCACCTGGTCTTCTTCAACTGTACTGTTAATGGAATCTGTATATCCAGTTTGTATTGTGCTATGATGATGAAGATGAAGGTTGTTTGGGGCAATGTGCAGTAGGGAGATTATGATTATGTTGCCCTTCATAGGTAGTTATGACATCTGCTGGATCTGTCAAAGCCCTTTCTACATGTTTGCGAACCGTGCATCCCTCATATGCACATCTATAGTAACTCCTGCAATCACCAAACTTGTATGTATATGTATGTATGTGTGTATATGTATATATGTATGTACGTATGCATGTGTGTGTGTGTGGGTACATACATGGAGTATATGATTCTTAGGACAGAAGTGTCCAAAAATATTCTACGAACTCCAAAAGCTCTATTTTTTAACTTCTGGAACTTGAACTAAGGCCTTTAGAATGGTGTGCATCCAAATGACCCCAAAAGATGAGTCTAAAGAACTACTCCGTATATGGTAAAAACTATCTCTTAAATGGAGCTTAACAATCACACAACTGAGTATTGACAACATTATAAGAATGAAATACCTTGGATTAGAATTCCCCTTCACAACTTTTTGTCCGTATTTACGCCACTTATATCCATCGTTCCAAAGGTCAACTGCACTTCTCATCTGCAAAACAGTCTTGGGTTCCACACATGTCTTGTGCAATGGAGGTAAAACACATGTGCCATTGCCTGTCTGGTTTTCGGCAAATGACCTTTTAACACTGAAATATCATAGAATTAATGATATTAATAATAATAATAATAATGAAGCTTCATATATTCCATTATCTTTAACACAGTTTATTGACTAAAATATTTGAGCCATTCCATCAAAAAGACTCTTTGCAACAATACCATTACTTCGGTGGCATTTTGTGAAATATCAGGATGGTGGAGGGTCTTATTATCATTTTTTTTGGAAACATTGATGCTTCCTTTTGGATTGAGATGAACCTAGGTGAATGTAGATAAACTGGCAAAACCTGAACCCAACCAAGGGACATTTTGGAAATTCGCAAAACCTAAGGGATCGGGGAGACAAATGTAATTAACCAATTGATGGAACATATCAAATGCATACTTTGTCTCTGTGTTTGGAGCATCATCATCTTCTTCCTCTTCATCTTCTTCCTCCTCATCTAACACCTTAGCTGCTCCCTCCACTTCATCACTTTTACAAGCCACCATGACTAGTTTGGTGGGTCCTCCAATTTCCTCACTTCTGCATTCATCTTGCTTTCGCTTGTTTGACTTAGGAAGCTCATGGTTATGCTCCCCATTGTACGAGACATCAACTATGCGTCCATCTGTGGACCGTTCGACTTTCTTTTTAACAGCGCAGTCCAAATGTGAGCATCTATAGTAGCTTCGCGGACACTCACTTCCCTTGACCAGTTTCTGCCCATACTTCCTCCAGTTATAACCATCGCTAGCAGGTTTCTCAATAACAGTAGAATTGATTTTAGGGTCTGTTTGGGGAAGTTCTTTTGTCTCCTTTTTCAAATGTTGATACTCGGCTTGCATTTGTTTGTAAGAGTGGTTGAATGCCGCCTGAGCTGTGACGTGAGCCAGAGCCTGCTGGTGGGACATCCCAAATGGACTCTGATTGAAATCCAAAACACAAACAAATCACAATGATGCTATTGAATAAACCAAGTTTCTTGTTCTTGAGAACTAAGTCGCCAATGCCAGATTAACCTAACCCATCATTAAAGAAACAAGCTTTCGTTAAGCTTTTCAAAAAAAATCTTGGAATTCCATGGGATTGTTGTTGTTGTCGTTCTTGTTTCTTGTGAACACTAGTGGCATGTTTTATACACTGGAATCAATTTTCATACCCTAACAACTTCTAAACCCTATCATTGATTCCAAATGAAGTATCAAAATTTGATCCAAACGGACCCTAGATCTTTTCTGTGAAATTTGAAATCCCCATATCCTTTTCCCAATTTAAATTCCATTCATCAACACATATTAGCTAGCAGTAATAAAGCTTGAAACAATGAAAAGATCTGCAATTAACAGTCCAATTGATAATTGTAAAATTAAGTAATTGGTTGGAAAAAAAGAGCCCAGCAAATTACGTGGAGTGGAGAGGGAAACCCGGGCGAGTTCAGCAACCCGGATGGACTGAAAGGAGGAGATAGCATTAAGCCGGTTGAGTTGCCGGCGACAAGACTCGGTTTTGCGAGCGGGGACGCCATGGCTCCGGCGAGCAACTGAGAGAAAGAGCAGACAGGGGAGTCGGGGAAGAAGCTGGAAATGGGAGTCATGGGTCCCGGGCTGAAAACGGGTGCGGGGAAGAGGGAATCGAAAAAAGCTCGGTCTGGGATTGTAAGGGCGGCGGGGGAACGGCCGGAATCCGCAGAAACCGCCTCTGTGCTTTCGCCCATTTCCCGGCGATTCTTTATCGGAAAAAAGAAACTGAGCGGCGGCGCAATCTCTGGTGATTTTATGCAAACCTCCGCATTCTTTTGCCCACTACACGAGTAAACTGCAATCCCCACTCAGAAATTCTTTGGCGGGCTAATCGCGGCAAAGATGCCGATTGTTTCGCAGATGATGTCAAATTTCAATTTTTTTCAATCACAAGAGATTTTGTACGGAAAAGTGTTTGAAGAATTGACGATCTTATGAAAGTGTTTGGTACCCGCCCAAAAAGAATTGACCATTGATAGAATTCTGCTCCCGTCCTTCCCAATAAATTTCTGGATTTGATTTTTGTTTGGAATTTTAAAAAATGTTGAAAAATAAGAAAAGGGACTAAAATTTGTTGACATAAAAGAGAATGTAAAAAATAATAGAAAGTTAGAAAAAATGAATAAAAAAATTACATACTCCGCATAATATTGTATTTAATGAAAAACGAAAAAATGAACTTAAATTTTGAGATACTTATTTTAGAAAGTTGATATGATGCTGAGTCAGAAATGAAGATGGTGAAGATGGGCATTAAAGATTAGCGCCTTTTGAAAAGATTATTCAACTGTAGCTTTTAGCATTAACATTTTTCAGTATTACGAAGTAATATATTAACCATAGTGCCCTAAATTGAATCAAATAATATTTTAAATGCCGGTCTAAATTAGTTTAATGAATCAAATAACAATAATTAATAAATTAAAGAGTGGAAAGGTAAACAATCTTTCCCCAAAAGAATATTCAAGTCACTAAAAGCGCATAACTTTGGAAATACGATTTCAAACACAATAGCAAAGGAAAATTAGAAATCTTTCGTAATTACCATTACACTACAAAAATATAAGTTACACATATTTAGATTAATTTTACTTTATACTACAAAAATATAAGTTACACTAATGGTGGCATGATCATTTTACTTTATGAAATGACTAATAAAAATAGAGATGGAAAATAAATGAAATTTAAGTGTGAATCGTAAACAAACAATTTAATTTAAGATAGAGGGAGTAAAATATTATCTTCATAATTTTCTAATATTTGTCTAGTGTATTGTTCCCAATTTATCCAATCAAATATACACATTCCTGTTTTCCAACTTTACCTTATTATAGTTTTTAAATTTTAAACGGGCGAGAGCCTCACTATATTTCAACTCTTTTTTTTTCAAATTTTTAATTAATTATCGATTCATATACTACTACTACTGCGTATCATGCATTTTGCTGAGTTGGCAACAACAAAATAACATCGTAAGAAGATGAAATTCCCGGTCAACATTATGCTACAAACATAATCTTTTTCAATTAGTCTGCAGTGAATAATAGGCTGGTTGAAAAGCTACAAATTTGTTCCCAACTTTCTTCCCACACCAATAACGCATCTAAACGAGACTTTTATTACATAAAACATGAATGCATCATAGCCCAGATAAATTAACTCGAGTTAACCGTCGATGAACTCGAAAGAAAGACTACTACTATGTGAAAGGAAGAGCTAAAGAAAGCTATATTAATTACCATTCAGCATGCAAGCTGCACAAGGGGACGAATCCGGATGATACAAGTTCTTTGGGGGGGGTATATAATTTACAGATAGATATCAGGGCAGTCTAAATCTACCTCACCTGATCAATCAAGGTTGAAGTGTCCGTTGTCGTCTGGCGTCTGGTTTGATGTTTTTGTGCTCTGCATTTCCAAATCTTCTCATTGCGGTTTTGGTTGATGGGACCGAATGTATTCTTCAATCTTGGCCTTAAGCTCAGTGTTTGGAATCAACATATCCGCAGTTAGATGAGAACGGTTGAACGGATCCGACTGTAATCCAGAAATCCAATGGCAATATAGCAGTCAAATGAACTAAGTTGGTAAAAGTCATATGTTTGGTTGAAAAAAGGTTGAATTTGGTAAAAGCATGCTACAAAGAAACAAAACAGGTACTAAACAAAAGAAAGAGGGATGGTAAACATACACTATGGCTCAGAAGATGCCGCTGGATGACAGGCAAATCGACCGTGATCTTTGACGAGGGCAGAATAACTGGATCCCTCATCAAAGTATACTGCATATATCCAAACAAAGCATTACAATGGAACATTCAAAAAAGCTGTCAAATGTAACAAAACAAGCCTATTTCAGAACAATCTTGCCCCCAAGGTATGGAAACATACTTGAATTGGATCGAGGAATTCATCAGGAATGTCTCCAAGAGCAGCTTCAGTGTCCATGGCGGCTGATTCTGCAACTTTGGCTTCAGCACCAAGGTCCATAAACTCTTGTATGATCCTTCCATCTTCACCAATTCTTCTAAGGACATCAGCTGCAGCACTAAACAACTGGACAAAATTCAATCTGTTATGTCAAAACGCAGCCACTATTGGGTACATTTGGAAGCCAAACAAACGATACTTTGGAATTTCTAAATAAGTAATTATACCTGTTCGTTGTATGAACGGCCATCTTTAGTGATTGCAGTGGGGAAGATATTCTCTGTATCTCCTCTAGCCAAATGCACATATATTCTCACAATCTTCAAAACCCACAATTGTTTTATGAGTTTTTTGTCAAACATTGACAAGGAGTACTTTCGTTTATTTTTTTGAGCATTAATAACTCTATTACAATGCAGTCTATGTTAATACATTCTCAACCTATTAAAGCATATAGAGTTACTGCCCTCCAACCTGTGACCTCCCATTTGGGAGAGTCACCTTGATGTCGCTAGACAAACGAGGTTGAACAAAACAATTATTTGAACCAGGAAAACTAAGCATTAAGCAAGTCTAGAAACTCTTTAGATTTACAATACACAAAATTTCAGCTACTTATATGCATACCTGCTTTAACAACTCTTTTGGACGAAACTCATACTTTTCGGGGTCTTTCAAGCTGAGAGATTTTCTCTGTGGGCCCACTAGTTGTAACAGAAAATAATTCAACATGCTGGCAACTCTCTCCACCTGAAACGAAACCAAGCAAGATGGGTTGATAATGAATCACGATCAACTCTGCTAACTTTGACAAGAAATTAGAAAGCAAAATATACCATCTCAGGAAGTAGAAATGGGGCTGTAATCTGTTCCGTAGTAAAAGCCAGCAAGCTCACATCTTCATTTGCCAGCTTCATATCAATTCGAATTATCTAAAAACAACAAGACATTTGAATTCACTCAAAAATATTAAAAATAATAATGACAATGATGATGATGATAAGTGATAACAACGACAACAATAATAATAACAACACCCTCTATCCCTCTTAATAAACATCATTTTTCCTTTTTGTGGTGCATACATAAACTTCACGAAATGAATGTGTGGATGATAATATATCTTTAACTTAGGAGTAAATAATTCTCAACCACACAAATTCCAGTATCTTAAATTTTATGCCAAAAGCAAACATGAAGTTTAATTAGGGACGGAAAGAGTAGTTCTTGAAGGATGAAGACAAACATTTTCCTGAGAGTGGAAGAGTCGAGTCCTCTCCTGCCTCTCTTGAGGTGTCCTTTGCTCCCACTCCACTCTATTAGACATCTCAGCTTCCAATTCTTTGATTTCAAGAATTTTGTTAAGACTCTCATCAAGAAGATAAATGCTATCATTGATCAAGAAGTTCAAGAAGTTCAAATAGACACCCTTCTCTTCATCTTTAGCAATCTGGAACAGCATTATACCAATTTCAATTAATCACTTCAGTAGTCCAGCATCAAAGAAAGTTTGGTGGGGGTGGATTTAAAAAAAAATCAGAGAGAGTAAGTCACACTCTTGGTCCGACCTGTCTCCATGCATTACGGTGGCTTGGAACCTGCCATAAGTATTCAAGAAGTTCTGCAATGTTGTGACGGATGTTGAACTTGTCATAGAACTGCACAAGAAATAGTTTCATAGTTGAGTCCAAAAGGAAGGGGTAAGGTAAACAGATTTGAAGGTCAGAAACTACAAGCATCAAATAGCTGTAAGCCTGTAACACAAGGAATTTGTTTAATTAATGGTACTCATTCCATCCTAACAGAACATGTTTCAAGTACATTTCTTGTCCCCCCCCCAAAGGAAGACTAGCGGAAATACCAAACAAATCCTAAAAAACAGAAGTAAACGAGAAAATTGAAGCAAAAATCCCCGATTTTTATTGTGATGCGGCCTTTATGTAATGAACATGTAACCATGTTTGCAAAATCGAAAAAAACAAAACAATAAAAAGCAATTTCAAGTTTCAACCCCAAGGAGACTAATTGGAAATTGATATATGTATCTTCACCTGAGTGTGGGAACCTGTGAATTCAATATCAACATAAAGCTTCAAGAGATTCTTGACAAGATACTGCAGAGAAAGTTGGTGCCCTTCAAACAGCATTGATGTTGCAGATGAGCCACTACAAAGAGAACTTAAATCAAAATGGTGGCTACTAAAAGATCACAATAAGAAAATATATTTCATCACAAGTGGGAATTTAGAAGATCACCTTCTACGGGGCATCCAACAGTTAAGGACTTCAACCATCTTTGCTCTTAAATATGGGTTCCTAATATACTGAGGATTTCCCATGAACATGATGATGAAGTTCATGAAGTCATCCTGTCAAGTCATACAAATATTATGTGACATGCGATCACCAGACAAGTAGCCAACATACTGGTACATAGAAACTAGATATGATTCAACATACCAGAATTATACCATCCAAAGCTCTAGGTACTCTAGAAGCATAAATAAGCAACTCCATGGCATCTTCCACAAAGTGCTCAGGCAATGAGGCAAATTCCATAGGACAGGTTGATGCTAGAGGCATATGAAATCCCCCAGCAATGTCGACCAACCAAACAACCATTAACCTATAGAATGACAATGCACGTTGAATAAGCCCTCCATCCTGAAAATGAGAAAGCAAAAAGCATGTGAATTTTAAGTCAAATAACGGATAGAGTAATCTTTCCACAGGTTGAGGGAAGTAGGCGAGAGAAGCAAATACCCTAAGTATTTGAGCTTCATAGCATAATTTCTCCTGATTATACAGCTCAAGTTCTTTCTCAAGGCGTGCTATGTCATTCTGAAACTGGGAAACTTGTGATTGTTCGGCCATCGCTTTTAACGTAGATAAACTATCTTCGCATTTTGAAATGTCCTGGAAGATAATTTGTTAGATTAAGAAAGTACATTGTTTCAACTTTCACTTTATAGGACAACAAACCAGCATGTCTTCTACGATATTGTGTGATCTAAATTTTCTTCACAATAAAATAAAATGTCCCTTTGAAAAAATGTGAAAAATGTGTACCTGAACGAGATGTTTGATGTCTGAAAATGCTTTTAACAGGCCTAGATTAAGGACCCTTGATGTCATGAAGAAACATTCACAAATGAATGAATATTTATCTTTCTCGGTGGAATTGGGTTTTGTTTTGTTATCACGCAGAATAGAAGATCCTACTGTATTATTCACAGAGATTGTAGATTCCTGCGGTAATAACAACCTGAACTCGCCACCATTACTATCTTTAGAGGTATCTGTTTCCCCAGGTCTACTTCTACTTATCCATTCAGAGACTTCTTCAGATGATGCATGTAAAGAAGTTAAATCCCTAGTACGTGTCACAAACATTAAATAAGAGTTACAGTCAATAAAAAGAAAGGCCGGATGGAACCAATGAGTGTTGAATTTTAGATAAAAGAGAACAATGATTGTACCTAAAATTCAGGCGTTCACTGTAAAACACATAGCTAGGATCAATCTTGTCCCTTTTTGACAAATTGTGATCTAAAAATGGTTCGCAAAGCCGAAGCATAACTGCACTCAGATTCACGAACATACCTGAACTAGCACAGGATAATGGATCAACCTGCCATCAGATTAATCAACAAAGACTAAATTATAAGCTCAGGTGGAGAAAAAGATGGAGCCAAAACTTAAGTGATGGGTATGTTCAGAGGAAAATGTAGAGAAGAAACATGTTTAAGTACTTAAGATACAGTGGTATTTTGTCACCACATATAAACTCACCTGCATATAAGCCCTTTAAACGAACTTTCTCAATGTGATGCAATCAGGAGAATTTCAAATCAGATATGGAGTATATATTTACCTGAATATGAGCCCTTGATGCATTTTTGTTGATCACCAGTGCAATATATTCAAGAGCACTATCTCGGGTGTTTATATTCTTAAGAAGACACTTGAGCACTTCTGTCAAGCCATCATACAAGTTGTTCATGACAGTTTTGATAGTTGTGAACGAAGACAATAGATCAGCCGGACGACGCATTGACACGTCTGAGAAGCACTGCTGACTGACATTTTGAACAGGTAAAGGGATTCATTAGCACCATAACCTTCTTAAGCAAAAGAAGCGTACAAAAAGGAAAAAGGATCAAGTGAAATGTTTGTGTTTATAATCACATAGAAATGTAATATGTGTGCCTGCCTAAGCATACAGTTCATGTAAGAAAAGGTGCTCAGAAATCAGTAGTGTTGAGTGTTATCTTTATTGAGGAACCTGTGTCATTCAAATAATCAAATCATGTTACTTATTCTTTCAGAATTTGGTACCTAAACAGTTACACGAATCTTGACAGATTTCCCATTATTGAACATTACATCTGAGACCAAATATAATTTGTGACGACAAGTGTATGAGAAGAGATAATGAAAATATAAAACTCACCCAACATCAGGCTCACTTTTGAATAAAGTATTATCAGGTAAAGCACTGACATGAAAGAAAGGCCCCAAAATGCTGGTCATCTCGATAACCCTCCCATTCATATACACATTTTTTGGTATCCACCAAGGATGATTCACCAGACACTTTGCCCCTACTGGATACTTGACCAATAGCAATAAAGCTCTGAGTGGCTGCTGAAAATCCCCCAAAGCTGATACTTTTAGCACACTTCCCCTCAAATCAACATACAACTGTTTCAAAATCGGGTCCATACTATCAAAATCCCCATCTCTAAAGAAATCGTCCAGAAAACCAGGAGGACAAGTCACTCCACTACCATTACTAGTGCTCCCAAATCCATCCACTGGAAGAGAAACTTCCGAAAAGATCAAAGGCAACAAAGGAGAAACATTGGACTTATCCTTTGCCGGATTCGGAAACATGTCCGGGTTCCCTAAATGTATTATGCAGTAGGAAATTGCCAGTTTCTTTGCTTGTGCCACCACCAACTCCATCTGAGATTTCAAGCTCTTATCTTTCATGTTAGCCATCTTCCTCCCTTCGTCATGGGCTCGACGATAGCAATTAACCAAGTACTGGAATGGCGGCTCGGCAGCCACGAAGTTCCCAGAGAGTCGATCTATCAGAACTCTCTCCATCAAATCCCTAGAAACCCTCAAATCCCTCCCCTCGCTGAGTATCTCAGCCGCCGTCTGTTCCAAATAAACGACCCTAGAATCGTTTTCCATGGAATCGATCAAAGATACTAGGAGGATTTTCCGGATGACAATATCCTCCATATCATCCGGCGTCCTCTGCGGTCTCTGAGTCGCCATACTTCAACAATCCCCTCAACCAAATCAAATAGATGAAGAAAACAAACAATCGAAAATCGAATCTCCAGAGACGAAATAGGGTTTGGATCAGAGCTACAAACTAAAACTTGAAACAATGAGATTCGATTATAACATGAATTGTGGCAGGAACTATGGTGTAAGCTGTGTATCTATCTTCTTCCTTGGAAGAGATGAACTTGAAAATTGTAGTGAAGGAGTGTTGAAGAAAAAGAGAAATTTCAGAGAACTTCTGCCACCGTTTTATATAAACAAACCTTCCAAAAAACAAACCTTATTAGATTTTACCACAATCTTATCTCTGGGTAATCCTAATGTAAATCCAAATCATGGCAAAATATATTCTGTTTCTAAAAAATGGATATTTTACCCCTTTTTATTTATTCCTTTTTATTAAACATTAATGGCAAGTTTAGATATTGGGTTTTTAAATTACTTTGAGTTGTTTTAACTAATTTTAATTTGTATGACTGATGAAATAATTTAATAAAGTGTTCAACAAAGAATTGTTGGGAGTAGGAAAAGATAGATTACAAGACACTAGAAGGAATAGCTTTCGGATCAATACTACGCATTTTGAATAATTAAATAGAAATATACGAGTAATAAATGTTCCTTCCTAAATAAAATTCATTGATCGAGCAAATGATGAGGTAGAACATATATTTTATTAAATCTTAAAAATAGAACATAAATAAAAATAAATAAAACTTACATATTCAAAAACAATATAAAAAAAGTTTAAAACACAAAAGACGATATGATTGTATTATTTTATCAAATAATCAATGAAAAACGTCTTGGTGTTTTTGTCTCACTTCGACATACAATATTTAGCTATTTGTTTTTATAATTCATCTAAATATTTGTGTAAATTCAAAAAATTAAAATTATGTATTCAAAAACTACATTTGTATACTATATAGATACCGAGACTAATAATTAGTGTGATATGAAAAATTAAAAAGAGAACTTGAAATAAATAAAGTATATATTATTTTAATTTAAGTGTGAAATTTTAAAAGTATAATATTAATGAAAAATGCATACTAATACTCTCTTATTTGGTCGGTTATGTAATATTTTTCCAGACTTTATTAGTTTTTGCACGACAATACTGTGAGAAACCGGATTTTGGATTGCTACTCGACCGAACTAAGTTTGCTTCGATTTTACTTATGTAAAATTATTTGGCTCACTATTTTAGAATAGCCTTACACTCATTCATCGGTCTTATTAATGAGTGTTTTTTTGTACTTGTAAACTGGTCAAAATTACTTAAGATCATTTTTTAAACTTATAAGTCAGTAAATTACGTGTTTCTTTGTGCTTGTACTCTGACTTATGAACTGCTTTAAACCAAAAAAGTAAGTCTTACATACTTATTTTTAAATTAGTTTTTTGTTCATTTCTCCATTTGACCAATTTATTTACAAAATATTTCTCACCATTTATAAATATTTCCAAATAACGAATCTGTCATTTAAATTGTTTTACTTTCATAAAAAAATATTTACTTGAAAACTTTTAAAAATTGTTTATCAACAATAAGTCAATAATCACGAGCAGAAAGAAATATACCTAAAAAATACAAATACCTTAAGTCATATGGAGTATCATTTTACTCGAAATTATCTTTTATAAAAATAAAATGTCTTTCTTTTGTGAAAAGGATAAATATCTATATATAAACCCAATCCAAGAATTTGACAAGTCTAGTTTTAAGGGCACTGGAAATACCCATGAAGCTGCAAGGCTTCAAATCTTTTCTCTCTGCCACGTATGCTTTAACTTACCTCGCAGTTTCAGTGGAAATGAGATTGAAACCCAAGGCTTCAAACTAGAGAGCTTCAAACCTTCATTTTTTACATTTTAAATACACATTTCTAAAATTAAATTAATAAAATTTAAATATTTAAGTATTTAAAAGAATTGAAACAAGAATAGTTCATTAAAAAATACATTCATTATAAAAAAATTACGCTCATTAAATAAAAAAATACATTCATTGAATAAAATAATTACATTCATTATAAAAAACTACATTCATTAATAAAAAATTACATTCATAAAAAAATAAAAAAAATTTGAATAATAATTTATTAAAAAAAGATGATAGAAAGAGAGAAGTTTGTTTTTATGTTGAATTTTTAAAAAATTAATTTAATTTATAGAGAAGAAAAGAGGAAAAAAGAGGGAGAAAAAAGAAGGAAGAAGGCGTCATAATGCCGTGTCAAAAATTTGACGCAATAGTTTTAACGCAACTATAACGGGGGAGGGCAGTGTTTAACACCCCCAGACATCAAAAGGCTCATAACGTCGCTCGGCGTTAGCAAAAAAATTAAGGGTGTGCACTATATATACGGTCTAGGCTTGAGCCAACTCGAAATCATGTCAAAATCATATTGGACCGGTTCAGACTGGTGGATCGATTAAATTTCTTTTTTTAATATTTTTTCTATATAATAATACTCCGGGATATAATATAACTTTTGAAGTTTTTTCTTATATTTTACCAGAAAATTACTCACGGGTGACGCGAGTTTTGTTGAAATAACTCTCAGGTCCCTCTATTTTCAAAAAGACAGGAGAGGTCCTTACATTTTGTTGTAATGACTGAAAGGGGACATTTCATCCAATATTTTATCTGTAAACGTTAATAAATATTTTTTTTCCTATTCTTTTCTAAATGTTTTAAGGTAATAAATATTAGGTCGCTCCTTTTTTTATTTCTTTGTTTTTCTTTCATTTTGTTACTATTTTTTTAAAGTGTTATTTTAGAATTTCTTCTATAAAATCGTATAAAAATTCAAAATTGTTTGTATTATATTAAAATAAATGAAATAAAAAATTTTAAAAAAAGAAAAAAACAAGGTAATGGCAAAATAGGAAAAAAAAGTATTGGAAAAATAGGAAAAAATTCATTTATTAACACTTACGGATGATGTATTGGATGAAATGTCCCCTCTCAGTCATTACAACAAAATATAAGGACCTTGGTTGTCTTTTTGAAAATAGAAGGACCTGAAAGTTATTTCCACAAAACTCGCGTCACCCGCGAGTAATTTTCTGTATATTCTACGCATGGACTTTAAGACTAATTTAATGTAATATTTTTGTTCTTATCACACAATTTTTAAACAATCAATTTAAAATAATATAGCAAATTCTAATAAAGTTTTTTCAGTTTATTTTTTTCTTATAACGTATGTTCCAATAATTTAAAGCGTAATTCCATCTTATATTTTTTATCACAAAAATAAAGTTTTTGTTGGACGACTAAAATATATTCCATACTTTAAAAACATACCTTTACATCTTTTCAAAAATGGCATCGTTTACTATTTTTATTTATAAAAAATATACGGAGTATGTAAGATTCGAGTGCCGAGTCGCGATCTATGAGTGGTTTCTCAAACTTCTTTATTCTCAGTGTTTATACTCTGATGGTATTATTATTGGATTTTTAGTATTATCCTAAAGAACATGTTATAAGTGTAGTATTGGTATTATGTTAAAAAAAGTTCAAATAATAATAGTAATACTTTTTTAAAAAAATTTGATACTTTAATTTAAATAGATAAAAATGATTCTTTAAAAAGAATTATCCTTGTCTGGTCCGGTCCGATTCAGGTTTGGAGTTACAAAAAAATCTGTTAAAACAAGGGTTAAGAACACGGCATGCCGCCGGTGCCGGGCGTGGCTTTCCATTTCAAGCTCTTCTTGTTCATTCTTCAGATAGCTCAAGACCTTATCAGGCCTGTCCCAAATCTGCACCAAGGCACAGATCTGTTAGCATTTCTGACATAGCCCGAGCCCCAGAACCTTCATTCTCCAATCCTCTTTCTGCGCGCCAGCAAATTCAGGTAGGAGATCGCAGCTCCCCGGCCCTTTTTTCCCCATATAATATATTGCTTCTCTGGGTCGAATCTTTGGTTCAGCAGATCGATTTCGAAACGATGAATCCAGGGCACTAACGTGCTCGATCAGGCGAAGTTTGAATTTTGTTTTGCTTTCTTTTTCGACATTTTGGCTATGAATTGTGCTTATTTTAGGCTGATTTTAGATCTTTCCGTTGCTCAATATGAAAAGAAACGTGTTTTCTTCCTTGGCACTGTTGATTAGGTGCAAACGACGAGGTCTTTGTCAAATCTTAAAGTTCCAGTTGTTGAAATTATAAGCAGATCGCTCACTGCTCTTCATTGAGGTTGTTTCAAAGGACAGCTGAATTCACTTAACGGGGTGGAGCTAGACTCTAGAGTGTGTTTGGATAACAGAGTTTAATTACTAGGTTGGGTAATTACTAGGTAGTGCTATTACATCATTGTGTAATTACATGAAGTTTCTAGTAATTGTAGTGTAATCTCTTTGTGCTTGTTTGGTGAAGGGTAGTTTTACACAATTTTGTTTTTTGTCTGCAATTGCAGTGTGCAATTACATCAATTCCATACCCCTTGGAATTGAAAATTGTAATTAGATCCCTTCAATTACATCGATTATGCAGCAAAACAAACATGACAAACAGTGTAACTACACACAACTACACCAAATCTCAATTACACGTGGATTATCCAAACACGCTCTTAGATATTGACTTTGTGTCTTGACAGCTATTAGCGTGCTTTGTGGTGGATTCATATTTCCTTATTTGTTCGCTCACAGTTATTAGTTGCATGTGTTTGTTATTCTTCAATTGTTGTTTAATACTTCATATGCAGTTTTGGGTACTAAATGCAGCAATGCATCATAAGTCTAACAAAACCAACCTCTATGTTTTACAAGGGTGCCAATGGGTTGATCTTGATCCTCAGACCCTAACAATATTTTTGGTTCAAGGAATTTGAAAGGGAAAAGGAAATAAAATAAGAGGGAAAATAGTTTTTCTTGTTTGCTTAGAGAGGAAAAGAAAAGAAAAGTGGAAGGAAAAGTAAATATGAGAAGAAATGAACTAAAGAGAAGGAGAACACATTTCCTACCCTTTAGGTGAGGAAAAAGAGAGAAAATTACTTTCTTTTATTCCACGAGCCAAATATAGTGCAACAAAACCAAGATTATCTTGGGTTTGTTGTTGCTGTTTTTTTACCCTCAAGCTCTCGTTGAGTGTTTATCAGTGTGTTTGTTTGTATTTTTATTTATTATTTATTTAATTGGATTTGGTGTCTCAGGTAACCAAGGCGTCGTTGTTGCTGTCTTTGTTTAATTTGTTTCTCTGGGTGAGAATGTGGAACTTTGCATCCAACTTTACTGTTGGGAACACAAGGCCGAAGGAAGATCATCGGAATCCTACCCGCGATGCAGATTGCTCTGATGATGAAGGTTCATCCATCACAAGTAGAGAGGATAGACTAGAGTGCCCAATATGTTGGGAATCCTTCAACATCGTTGAAAACATACCCTATGTTTTTTGGTGTGGCCATACACTGTGCAAAAACTGCATCCTGGGGTTACAATGGGCTGTTGTGAAGTGCCCTTCTTTACCCATCCAGCTCCCACTCTTCATATCCTGTCCTTGGTGCAATTTATTGTCATTGCGTCTGGTTTACAGGGGCAACCTCAAATTCCCCAGAAAGAACTTTTTCCTTCTATGGATGCTTGAGAGCATGAATGGTGACAGGAGAGTGTCCTGTTCTGCCTCATGTGGGGATGATGATCCACCATCTTGCCCCCCTGTGAGGACATCATCTGGAAATTCTGCTATCGAGCCTAATTTCAGGAGGGCCCCACACACTGACCTTTCAGAACCATTACGACCACGCCACGATCAAAGTCATCCGGATGGCTTTCTTGCCCTTGAGAGACTACATTCTTCAATCAGGAAATCACTGGTCTTCTTCATTCATCTGACAGCCAAGTTCCCACTGGTGATTATATTCCTTCTGATCCTCCTGTACGCCATACCCGCCAGTGCAGCAATATTGGCCCTCTATTTGCTCATCACCGTTGTGTTTGCTCTTCCATCTGTTCTCATTTTGTACTTTGCGTATCCGAGCTTAGATTGGCTGGTCAGAGAAATCATGACCTGAGATGACAGAGATTGATGGATTCAAGTTTCTTGGGATTGTTTGCTGCTACATATTCAAGTGTTCTTATGCCAAATCTTCTACTCAATCTAGTTGCTTCCCCTTGTAAATTTTGTTTTTTTGTTCTTAATATATTTGGAGGTGGGAGCTGAAGTTCCATATAATACTAATGAACAATGGTGTTTTTATACAGTTTTTTTTCTTCAAACATTGAGCTTGTATTGCAAAATGATGCAAAGCTTGAACCATGGGGAATTCATTGCCCACATTTGAATTTTTGTTTAATTTATTTAAAGAATGCTTCATGCATTTCGAAATTTATTATTCTCCTCGAGGTGGGTATATATCCACATCATCATAAGAAAAATTGTATTTCTAATTTTTTTAATAACATGATTTTAAGTTCGGATTTTATGCCCTTTATATATAAGTGCTAAAGGCGATTTGGTCTAACAAAGAGTTCTCATTCATGATTGGGTACGCAATTTTCTTTCTTTCTGTCTTTAATTAATTTTGATACGTTACAGGTAAGGGGAATTAAATACTACGGTTATTTCCTTTGTTATAAAATGAATTTTTCAGTTTTTTATTGGTCTTAAATCTTAGTATAAATTTTGTATGTACTGAATAATTCACATTATTTTTTCCATTTTCTGCATATATCTCAACTCTAAAGTTTTCAAAATCTATGAAAAAAGTTCAATTTGGGGTGGAAGGAGTAAATAGTTACAAAAGTATTCACCCAAGTTGATATTTAATCAATCAAAATAAACTTTGATCAATGGTTAAATGTAGATGACAATATATTGCACTTTAATATAGTACCCCTCCGTCCCAAATTATTTGCAACGTTTGCTTTTTCGGCAGTTGCGGGAACTTTTGTTTATTTCTACGTTTTCATTAGTTATTTGATAAAATAAAATATTTTTGACACCTCTTATTTTGAAGAACTTTTCATCTATTTTTTTATATGTAAATTCTATTCTTTAATTCTATACCAAGATGTAAATAAAATGAATTGAAAAAACTTGATATTTTGTCTCGGAAATATAAGTGTGGTAAATATTTAGGGACGGAGGGAGTAATAGAGTCTGTCTCAAAAAAGTTCTCAATAATTTGTAATTTTAAGGTATTGCCCAGTGTATTACTTCCTTGTCCTTAAAAAATTGTCATAGTTTAATTATTTTTGTCAAACTGTGACAACTTTTGATCACAAATTAAATGTAACTTAAAATAATAAAATATCATAGAAATTTGATATTTCAACACTATATTTTAAAATAACCTAATTTTACTAAATTTATATTATAACTAAATATATTTTTATCATAATTTCCGATCAAAATGTATCACAGTTTGACCAAAAAAGGATAATTTTTCTTGAAATATACTTATGACATATCACATATGTTTTTTTAAAAAATAAATTTATTATAGAAATTAATGATTAATGTAGTATCACATTAAATACTTTTTTTTTAAAATGAGTCAAATTAAATTGGAAATTAGAAAAGGTCAAATAGGAATTTAATTTGGGAGGGGTAAATACGTGTGGCACGACGATGCTGACAGCGCAACTCTTCTTCCGCGGGGTGGGTGCAAACTTCCTTCCACACTGCTGATTCATTCCATCATCTTCTTCTTCATCTTCCATTCTTCCCTTCTTTATCGCCCCCCCCCTTTTCTCCCCTCTTCCACGGCGTTAAATCCGCGATCGCCGCCCAAACGATGATCGTATCGAAAAAAAACGAGATCTTTTCATTACCCGTCTTCTCCTTCCACTACATATATGATCGCCGCTGTGTCTGCTCCAGGTGGTAGGAAATCGAATCCTCCCTTCGTCTCGTTTTTCAATCGTTTCATTCGTCGATGAATGTTTTGTTGGATTTCGAAATGATGTTTATTCGTTTTGACAATTGAATTTCTGCATCTGTTTTGCTTTCCCTTTTTCTCGATCAAAGTTTGGGTTTTGCTCGCGGTCTGTGGTCGTCACTTAATTGATGCGTTTTCTTCTTCTTCTTTTTCAGACGTTGATCTGTTTGCGTTTGGATTCTTAGTTGCTGGTCAGTGTATTGGAAAGAACAAGTTACAGAGGTATTGAGCGTTAATCTGTTTCTTTGCTGATGGGTTTTTGGTGTTAAGATTTATCATCTCATCGAATGCATCGATCACAAATTTATTGTTTATGGTATTCTGTTCTGTGATTCATGGTTATTATTTATCCCATTTGGAATAGTGATATTTGCCACGTTTTCATTGATGGGGTATTGTGCATTGCACAATGGCAGTTTGTTTTCCTGCTTGACTGTTGTTGATTGTCTAGGTTTTCAGTTTCTTCCATGGATGGACACCTTCAAGTTCTTCATAAGTTTATCATACTACAGAGGATCATTTATATACTGCATCAGTCCCAGAAAAAGCCCTGTTTTTAATACCTAAACATTATAAATAAGAGTATAAGACACATTTTGCATAAAGTTATAGTTTGGTATGACTTTTATTGTGAAATATATAATGTGATGTAATTAAATGCCCATTTATTGTAAGTTTTCAATAAGAGTCTATTATACCTAAATGTGCCCAACCTAATCGTTGATTACATTAGATGGCATGCTACTATGGTTTCTGAATTTCAAATGCAATCTTTGAATTGCAGCAACTTTTTGCTTTATGAAGAAGGTAATTGCAACCAACAATATTGTTGCCAAAAAAAAGGGAATAAAATCGAACCTTTCCTTGTGTGTGTTAGTATTCTATTTGTAAACCCAAAGTTAATGTTCTTAACTTATTGTTTGAAGCCATTTGTTGCTTTGAGTTACAGCTTCTGCATTTTTGCATGTGGTTGTATATTAATACTCATTGAACAGCTGATAATAAGCTGAACCACCAATCTTTAAAAAGGGGGAAGGTGGGTGGAGATCATTTATTTGTTCCAAAATTGTATTCTGTTAGGTAGGTAAATAGCTGGATTGTTGCCACATGTCTTTTTATAGTGAAATGTTAAATGGAACTATCAAATCTAACACTTGGAATACAGTATTGGATTAGAGATCCCATCCACAAAGCAGAGACAAGATAGATTATTATTATTATTATTATTATTATTATTATTATTATTATTATTATTATTATTATTATTATTAAGTTGTATATGTTTATATTAATGTTTGTGAGAGTTGTCTCTTGTTTTCAGGGACTTTGGAGGTTCGGCTTTGTGTGAGTGGATTTATGTTTGATGGCTGAAGATAATATAAATTCATCACTGGACTTGGAAACACTTGCGAAGGAGTCTGAGGGAGGATGCCCTATAAAAAGCAGCAAAATAGAAGCATTGGTTCTTCCTTCGGATGGGATTGGTTCAAGAAGATACTCTACGGGAAAACAAAACTCTCATCCCGGTAGTGATCAAACTACCAATCCTCACTATCTCAGAGCCTCTACTGGTTCTTGCCATGATTTCTGCAAATACGGAAGGAATCATTCTTCTGAACAAAAACCAGTCCTTCCTCTGCCACGAAGAAGAAAAAAACCTTTAAATCAGAAGCCCATTCCTGCAAGGGCTTCAGGGACTAGTGTGTCTGGGGCCCGTGATTCCGAAGAAGCCCACTTTCAAACACCAGCTGAAATCATCAAAGATGTAGTCTTTTTGCAGCCTAAGGAAGTCGAGTCTTCTCCAGTACAAGATTTCTCAAAGTTGGAAAGGAAAATAAAGAACATGTCATCTAAGGGCCATTCACCTAAGCCATTGACACGACCATCTCTCTCTAAGAGTCTAGACAGCCTGAAACCAAGTTCAAGAAAAAGCTGGGAAAGAGATGCCAACACTAAACCTGGCAGAAAGAAAGTCATGGAACCCCTAACTGATTCATCAACCTCAAAGTCTTCAGTTAGTGAAGCAACAAAGCTGAGAGAACAGGTGAGTAAAGGCGTCGAACCCCTTACTGCCTCATCAACCTCAAAGTCTTCAGTCAGTGAAGCAACAAAGCCTAGAAAACGGGTGAGTAAAGTGGTGGAACCCCTAACTGCTTCATCCACCTCAAAGTCTTCAGTCAGTGAAGCAATAAAGCCGAGAAAACGGTTGAGTTTGACCTCAACACCTATGAAGAACCAAAATCAAACGGGGGAAGCTGATTGCGGGGCCAAAGAGGGAGTATCTGAGAAAACATTGCATGTCATCCAAATGGAAGATGTGGAGCCCACTCAAGATGGTGGAATTATTGGTTCACTCTCATCACCAGAATCTTTATTGTTGCCCGAATCTTCATCCGTTTCACACACTCCAGATTCAATCATAGAAAGTAAGCCGAGCAAGACCATGACTAAGTCCAAGCAGCCTGTTCTCCCTAAACCAGATATTCCATCACCAGTGAAACTAAAATTTAGGAGAGGTAAGGTTCTGGATATCGGGAATGAAAGCCACGGTCCAAGGAGAATAACTCTTAGGAAGACTAGGCTTGTAAGGAAACATCAAGAAGACGGCAACAAGGAAGGTAAAGATAAGACTTTGGAGTCTGTTGATGATCGCAGCACCTCATCTCCCTTACCACCTTCCTCTGGAAAAGAAGATGAGAAGAACATATCTGCTGACAGTAAGGGAGTTAAAAGTGGGGGAAGAAGTCAGATCAAAACTTCTAAAAGGGGAAATCTCATTGTCGCTAGAGTTGAAACTCCTTTACCTGTGAAACTAAAGTTTAGGAGAGGAACGGTGGTGAATCTCCATCAAGAAAACAACAGTGGTCCGAGGAGACTAAATTTTAGAAAAGGAAGGACTGTGAGAAAAAATCCAGAAGACAAGGATACTGTGGATGGCAAAGAGGGGGGAGAACAAGATGCCAAAGAGGCCGGACCTGAACTTGCAACCAGTAAAGGAGGAGATGACAAGAAAATAGGTTCTAACAGTAATGGAGCCAATCTCCATAATGAAAACAAGAGATTTAGCTTTGCAAAGGGCGGAAGAGATCTGAGGGAAATCCAAGGGAGTAAGAGCAGTGACTCTGTGAAGAGGCGAAATTCAAAGAAACGAACTGAGGGTGGAGAAAATAGTAAAGAAGCGATGGAGCCGAGGAAGGTGGTTTTGAGGCATCACCAAGATGTGCAGGAGGGAAAGAAAGACGGGCAGGGTTTATTACTCAATAATGTTATTGAAGAGACCGCAAGCAAGCTGGTCGAGAGCAAGAAGAGCAAGGTTAAAGCTTTGGTTGGTGCCTTTGAAACCGTGATCTCTCTACAAGAGAAAAAACCATCTGCTAGTTCAGCTTCTTGACAGAATAAAAAACTCTGCTCCAAAACACAGAAATTTGTTTTATACTGAATATTCTTTCTTACCACTTTCAACAGGATGCCACAGAAGAATACTCTTCTTGAAATTTGTTTTACTGGTATGCCATTAAGCTTTCTGCACTATTTCATCCTGGCCTGGTGTATATGCATCTCCTTTTTATTTTTTTTCGTGTTCTAAAGATATAAAATATGTACTGAAAGGTGCACGGATTTGAGGATTCATATGGATATAACATTCAAGAATGAGTGGATAGATATATTATTGGTGGTAAAGATCTTTGATGATGGTTTTTTTTCCTTTTTATGATGTGTGCATAACTGGATTTGCATTTTTTAACTGTTGGTCAGGTTTGAAAACCACCCCTGTTAGCTAATTATTTGGGGGATTAGAGAAAAAAAATTCCTTTTTTGTTTTGTTCTCGGGGGAGTTTTCCGGTTTTGTTGGCTCAGTTTTTGGTCATTTTGTTTTGAAACATGCAAAATTGAAAACCAAAGCGAGTTGCTTAAAACCGTTTTGGTTTGGTTATGTTCGGTCAGTTTTGGTCGGTTTTGGGTATGTTTTAGTACGTTTTTGTCGGTTTCGGTAGGGTTTTTTCGTCCATAAACCTTAAACTACAAATCAAATCGCTAATGAATGGGTTGGTTTTGGTAGGTCTTGATTTTGGTCGGTTATTGGGTTCGTTTGGACTGGAATACATTCCACCAAACCATCAAAAATGAAAACGCTACTCGAATAGATTTTTGAATACGCCGTATATATTATCTATATACTCGGCATTTTAGAACTCTAATTAACCCTTTAACTTTGGCACCTTCAATGTTTTTTTAATCATAAATATTCAAAAAAATAAAATAAAAAACACAAACTATGATAATAGTTAAAAAAGAGAAATCATGCGATTAAAAAATGATATAAACTCCACAATTCTTTCTTAGATAAAATGATACTTCCTCGTCTCAAATTGAATTGCATGTTTACTATTCATATAGTCACACTTCATTTACTTTCTTTCTTTATTTCGTTAGTCATTTGATAAAATAATACAGTCATATCATCGCCAGTTTTGTAGAACTTTTGATATAGTTTTTAAATATATAATTTTTTTTAATTCTAAGCCATTTTTCATATAAAATGATTTGAAAAACATGCGACTTAAATTGAGACGGTGAGAGATCTTTAATTACATGGACGATTTTAGAGCAATTTTAGTGGAAGTTGTTTAGGAGAGTTCTTAGCTAAAGAACAGTTGTTTCTCTAAATAATTTTTTTGAGAAAATTAACGATTCATATTCCACATAATCTTTTATTGAGTAAATGTTTAGCAACTCTACACGATTCTTCCATTAAAGATGCTCTTAACTCGACAGTAAAAGTAATTTCATTAAATTTCACTAATGATACTAATGAGAGTATCATTAGACATTTGAAATAGATATTCCAATAAATATCTCTCCTTCTCCTTTTACGGAGTAATAATTTTCCAAAACAGAAGAAATGGAGCGGCGAAAGAAAGAAGATGGTCTCCTGTCTCCACGCCACACTTTCCTTCAGAAAAATGCAGATCGCCAAGTGGAAATGACCATAGAATATCATTAATAAATATATTTCCAATTTTTCCTCTCATGGCGAAGAATCATGCCATTCCAAATTGATTATTTCCCTCTCTTAACTTGCACTGTTCAGGTAGCCCGCCCCTTTAACTATGAACTTCTGATTTCTCCCCTCTTTTTCTTGCTCTAATTTCTTGCAGATGCTATAAATAAGAGCTTTACGAGCTCAGGTGAGAATTCTGGTTCTGAGTCACGGAATTACTAAGATCTATCCATTGATCGCTGTTTTTATTGTTTTTTTTACTTACAATTTAGGTGTTTATGGATATTTTTCTGCACAATTAGGATTGGGAGCTGTGTGCTTGCTTACTCGAACATTGGAGTTGACCTCTTCTCAGAATCTCAGGTATGGATTGCTTAAGGGCTTAATCAGTTGCTGGCCAATACAGTGTTAGTTTAAGTGAATTTGAGTCGTCTGTGGGAGAGAAATTGGGGTTCCTGAAGATGTATTAACATACATTTTCAGGTTCGATTGAGTTTGATGAGGCACTAAATTGAGTCTCTACATTTGGCCTTTTTTATACGGAGTATCATATATGGATCTGAAGCTACTAATTTGTCGAAGAATGATTTTTTGCAATTGTATGCATAGTCTAAGTTTAGTTGTTGTTGAATTGTTGCAATTTTATGATTAGTCTAAGTTTTTTACTGTTGAATTGCTGTAATTTTATGCTTAGTCTTAGTTCCTGAAATGTCTTCTTCTCCATTTCCCTCAGTCACAAGTCACGAGTAGTTTTTATGTTATGTGTAACTCTTCCTAATACTAGCTTTTAGATTGGAGGCTCAAGTCACATTTTTGGCTATACCTGAAATTATAGAGCTAAGACTTACGGTTTGTGACTTGCGTAATTTGGAATTGTTATTACTGACCTGAAACTGTTAAGACAGACAAAATTATAAAATTTGAGAGTGGAATACAAGCTTTTATTAATCTCTCATTGTTTCTGGTATTGTAGTATGAGTATACATTCATTCCTGCTTGTGAAGCTAGCTAGGATCATACAATTCAAGCTTCATTTAAAGGGTGAAGCGTTTATTATTTTTATTTTTAAATTTTGTTATCATCAGCAATTGACAGGTTTTGGAACGATGAAAATTACAAAACAATACCGGTGCTGTCACTCGGCATACTGCATATGCACAAAAGGGCATCTGAGTGAAGAAGTCATATTTCTAGTCTTTGAACATATGAACTGGAACCCAAAGATGATCGCGGATCTATCTTGTGCGTGCAAATGGTTTGATGACCTTGCCAAGAGAGTGCTCTGGAAAGAATTCTGCAAGAAAAGGGCTCCCAAGATGATGCTTGACCTACAGTCTTGTGGCAGCCACAGTGTGGACGGGAACTGGAGGGCACTTGGGAAACTTCTCATTTACTGTTCTGGCTGTACCAAGGGTGGTTTGTTCAACACCATTCACATTCCGGGACACTTTGTGTATAGGACACGGTTCTCAAGGACATCCGGGAAGAGCTTTCTGTTGCCACAATGTAGGAGCGATGTTTTGTACGTTTCTGATCCATGCGAACATCTTGACCAAGGAGAAGAAGGGGACGTTGGGTTTTTCCGGGGGATATTTAAGTCATTTGGGTCGTCAAAGGTTAAGAAGATGCTGATTAAGAGGGACGCTCAGCTGCATCCGAGGGAGGTGTGCCCCTATTGTAAAGCTAAGCTGTGGAGTATGTTGCAGGCGAATATGATACCTTCAAGTGCTAGTTGCAGGCTGGGAGCTTATGAAGATTCTATTGAGTATTTCGTTTGCCTTAACGGGCATGTGATTGGGATTTGCACCCTCTTGCCCTTGTCTGATACAGAAGAAGCAGAAGCGTCCGGATCCGAGTGAGTCCAATGAAGAAGAATGGATATATGTGTGTCTGTGCAATGATGCATTTCTTCTTTGTAAGGATCATGAAGACTTTTCCCCAGGTTGAAACTCAGATCTCTTCACAGTCCCTGACCATTTGTTTGAGTGCTGGTGTCTGAGACCAATTCTTTCTTGTGAACCATTTGTGTAATTGTATCCTCTGCTTTGGCGCAACATTGTAATGATCTTGAACACGCCTTTATAATCATTTTGCTTGTCTTGGTATGGAGAGGTTTGTATGGTAAATATGCTTAATAGTAATGGTGGCTAAGCTCGGTTTGTTTAAAGATTAGGGACAATGTCTTTTTATTGACCACTTGGCTAAATAAAATATTCTTATCGTCCCAAAAATATTTTTATATTTGACTTCTCAAAGTCATAATACAACACTTTGACTATTCGTACCCGTATTTGTACATAAATAAATGTTATAAAGATCGGAAATAAATGAGATCCCAGGAACAATGTACACAACATATACCAAACTAAAAAGAAGCTAAAGAGTTCAACAGCCAACCGGAGCTTTATATCATATCACCCACCATACAAGAGGTGGTGAAAATGGCATGTAACAAACAATCTAGTGAAAAACGTCCAAAGGAATTCAAAGAATCATATCTATACACATATCTAATGTGGCCACAATAGGAGAAACAAGCTCCATACATCCTTCCAAGGACTAAGAAGCTACCACCCGTGACGTGAAATGTATATATATATTTTCAACTTTTTTTTTATATATAGTAAAAAATAAGGTAATGTAAAGAGCTTGGTTTACAGAGTGAAAGAATGAATATTTTGTCCCCGCGCAGCTATGGCATTTGTCGTTGGTCCTCTGTGATGCGTTCAAGAGCGAAGAGAACCAAACCGCTTCAATTATGACAATATCGATTTAGCCAAGTCTTGATGTGCTTCCTTCCGTACCGGAGTATACAAAACTGTAATTCCACAAAAACAAAAAAAACAAAAAGAACTTCTAGCAGCTTTCTCGTCTTTTTTCTTCTTCTTTCTTCCTTGAAGCACAAATCTTCCCTACTACTCCAAGATGTGGCAATTCCTAACAAAATCATTGGTGTAATTCACATACTTTGTCCAAAACGGCCGGAGATTTTCAAACCCAATCTCCAGCCAGGGTTTCGACTGACCGTTGTAATGAATCACCGCGGCTCTCATGACATTCTCTATGTTGGTGTTTTTCTGGTACCCTAACCCAAGCATGTGCCAAGAGGAATCTATTGGGTGGACATGACCCTTGAATGCAATTAAAGCAGGCGGTAATGTTCCAAGTTTCCACATAGTCAGGTTTGACTTTAAGTTCTGCATCAATAAAAAGAGTTTTTTAAAAAATAATAATATAATGGATTATTATTGGTTAAGAACCTGCATGTGCTTGTCTCGTCAAAAGTTGAGAATATCGCAATGGAAGTCAATTGATAAATCATGATAATAATCATGATGATGATGATGATGATGATGATGATGATGATGATGATGATGATAATAATAATAATAATAATATAAAGATCAATCACATAATCAACAAGTGAAAGAACAATGCCTAATTGCCTATTGTAACATGGTTTAACAGATCACACCCTAATGTTCTATTGTCTAAAAGATCACACTCATCACATGGGAATTATTCTATAAAAGTCAGCTGGCAAGAAATTTAAATACCCACAAACCCTTATGATATCTATGCACATTAAATACTCTATTATTTCCACATTTAACCCTTCTTATACTAAATCATATATTCGTATTTTGTATTAAATACCTCCTCTATTTTTTAACTGTTTATTTCACTTTCTATGAAAAAAGTTTGACCAAGAAACTCTTAAGTTATACTCCTTACTATGTATTAGCAAAAATAAAAATTAAAAAAAATCAACAACGCATTTTAATCCCACAAGTTTGTTGGGGTTTGGCCCATTTGGGGGTCAAGATGTACGCAGTCTTACCCCATTAAAATACAAGGAGAGTATTTCCATTAGACCCTTGATGCATTATTACATTTACTACCCAAAACTTGATTGAAAGTAAGAAGCAAAGAAAGTTTAATGTGTTATTTTGATTTAGTACATTATTTACCTGAAGCTAAAATAGGGTCAATTACGACTATTTTAGCATTATTGGCAATGGACATGGAAAAATATTAAAAATCAGTTGACTGAAAGTATTTTTTTAGTACAAATATTTTGGTATAATATTCATAGTTTAATTCATTCTATAATTTTGTATATAGACAGTTAAAAAAGTACACAGGGGGGGCATTTTAAGTCATATTAAAAAGTTAAGTCATATTAAAAAGTTCAAATTAATTTATCACTCCAATGCATTTTCTTAAACAATCAACCAAGGCTGATAAATAGCAATGGAGGTAGTATAATGGATTGTGATATGGAATTTTTTCTATACGTAAAAACCCAACCAATACTTGAACATAATCATGGACTAAATAAAGACAATTCATTACCTCTTTGAGCCATGCATGATATGTGTCTCTTATATTGGTCTTTCGCCATGCACGCAAGTCAAAGATATTCATCCCATAAGCCCAAGCGCACTCATCAGGATTCAAGTTTTTAGCAATGTGAGGATGAGAAAAGTTGAAGTAAGTTCTGAATCGCTTGGACATGACCCACTCATCTTCACCTTTACAGGTCTCTACAGCCCCATTAACCTTTCCCTTAAGGTCAATGTCCCATAATGGGGACAAGTCGCGCTGAATTACTACATCATCATCGAAGAAAACCACTTTGTCCAGGTTTGGGAAAAGCTGCACAAGACAATAGTGAAGAGGTTTTATATTTCATTTAGCATAAAGTGTGAAAAATCTCTAGAACAGCTTCAGAGTTCAGAGAAAAGTGATGCAAACAGAAGATATAAATTATACAAGAAAAAAATTGAGCTGCTATAGTGACCAGATTTTTAGAACAGATTCTTATTGTGACCAGATTATTAGAACATATTCTTATTGTGACCAGATTATTAGAACATATTCTTCCAGCCCTTATTACTCCCATTGTCCCCTTTTGTAAGCTACACTTTCTGTTTTTGTCCATCCCAAAAGCATTTTCAGTTCACTTCCTGAATTTAAATTCAATTGATCACCAATATTTTGTAATAAATTCTGACAACCCCACATGGCCCTATTATTTTTCATTTTCAGCAACACTTCAAACAAACGGAGCACAATTATTGTCATAGACTCATAGTACAGATGACTACCTCAGGAAGATATATGCGAAGATGATTTAGCAAGGAGATATATTTAGGACTTCTGGCCTGCAACTTTGAAGCATAGGACCGAGGGGTAGTATCACTCAGGTTAGCCCCGGCAACATGATTCCCATGATAGTAATTACGAATCCCATTATGGGTCTCCACAGCTTCAAGCACAGGAACATTCTCCCTAGTCAACCAGTCAAACTGGTGAACACTTTTCACTTCCACAATAGCTGGGGAAACTGGATTCAAAGCAAACCAGGAATGCATCCCAGCATATGTTTTCTTGTCTGTAATGACATGAAAAACCATCTTTTCAGGATTATGAGAGGACTGCACAGCAGAATTGACCACAACGGAAGCAGCTAGGATGTTATCAGTTGACAGTACAATATGATATAATGAGTTGTCAGAAAGCAAAGGAAGTAATTCTGGTGAAGGCAACTGCTTTCGTGCATGAGCATTGGAAGAATACTCGTCAGTCAACCGTAGTGAGAGACAATGAATGCCCTTAGGTATTGAACTTGCAGCAAAGTGTTTATTTGTCAGCTCTGCAAATTTAGATTCCCTAATTTCCCTTTCAAACCTCTCCATCTGCAAATTAGCAAATTCAGTAAGAGAGAAAAGTAAAACAAGATAAGTAGTTTCAATTTTCAGTTTTATACGGTTACAAGCATTTACCATTCCCTTCAACACTAGTGCAAACTCTTTTGCACTGTGTTTATTATTTTTCATTTCAGAAACAAGTTGATTATATGACTCAGGGAGTTTTAAGCTAGCAGGCACTTCCTCAGAGTTCACTTGATTAAGGATCTTGACAAAATCCTTCACGAGCCTCTGTTGTAATAGAATTGAGACAAGCTTAGATAACATAAATTGACTGCCATTTAGTTATGATGCATTTTAGATTAAAATAGTGACATTATCAAATATCAATCATGAAAAAGAAAAGAATGATAAACTATCAATTACCCCTGAATCATCGGCTCTTCCAAGAAGCTTTGGTCCCAATCTCCTGCCTAAACAGTCTGCAAGTCCGTGTGAAAATAAAATCAGTATTGGTCATCTAGATATTTCTGTTGACAATATAAAATCACAAATTAATAAGAATAAATAAAACCATAACCAAGAAGCCTACGAAATAACACCTATTAAAGAAAAACACAGGTCTTTTTCCCACACTAGTTTAAGTATCTTTTGACATTGAAATATAACGAGCTGGGAAGTACTTTGAAGATGGTCTCTGAAAATATTGTATGTCAAAGAAATTTTTGCAGAAGACAAAGGTGCATTGTGATGTTCACAGTGTCATGTAGAAATGCCTCATTCACTATATAATAAAATTGTAGGATGAAATGCCTCAGTCCCTTAAGTATTAGATGTATGTTATCCACATAAAAAAATAACATAAAACTTCAAGATTTTCAATTCTTAACATTTTTTGAAAACTTTCCATTATGTTCCTTAGCTGATGGTATTCACAGAATCACATTCCCAACTCCTGTGGTGTAGAGGTAACTAGGTAAGGATATAATGACTGCATAGATCCCGCCCTCCCAAAACCCTGTTTCTGAGTAGAAACATACTGGTTTTCATTGGTTTAACTTTTAGGATAAAAAATACATCCACAGGGCACACAATTCAACACAGTATTTCTCTCAATAGGAACTCTTACCATGCATTCTAATACTCCGTATGTTTTTTGGATAATTGTTGACAGTTCATTAACTTTGCAACAATAGGATGCATTAAACCTCTGTGAGATTATGTGACATCCTAGTAACTTCTATCCACCAAAATGGATAATTATCATGCATCAAGAGCATTGATACCAAGCACATGCTGCATGCATGATTGCATGCATTGTTAATCAAAAGAGATTTAATCATTTGAAGTACTGAATCTGCCAACCCCTTCCTGATCCCCAAACACAAATTGGTGCTAACACATTGAATCTATCATGTCATAGTCATGCCATAAAATTAGGGAAGGTAAAATCAACGAAGCCCATCTGATAACAATCTTTGGAATTCAGCTTGCATAGCATAATGAGTTGTGAATCAAATGCGAAAAATAAGCTATGGTCTAAGGGGTACCCTCAAACTTCTCAAACATGAAAGTAGCACAGATAGAAATTAAAATATCATGAGTAAATGATTGTAGGAAAAGGAGATACGGAATGATGAAAAAAACACGAGGAAATCTGGAGAAAATCAAATACCAAGTGAGGAGCACTTGTTGACACCTTCAAGCGTAACAACAGCTGTGAGGATGAAGACGAAAGGCAACAAGAAAGCTAGGATAAGGACTGTATGAAAGAGCGTTCTATAAGAAATGTGGCGAGCTGCGACCTTGACCTTCATCAAATCACCCAACCCTCCATTGCTGTTGCTCGATATCGTTATACTTCTCATGCTAGGAGAGAAGTGCAGCTGCATCTTCCTCCCTTCTCCACCGCCACGATTGCTAATCCCGCTCGAATCCAATCCCAATCCTTCAGCGTCACGCCAACAACCCTAGATGAAAGCCCAACACGAATGCAGCAGGAACCGCCGCCTGCTTTGTCCTTGTCCACGTGCTTCGCGACTACCTCTAAGCAATTCAACCACAATGTTCTATTCACCATCAGATCCGCCCAGGCATCAACTCAACCATCCGGATTCACCGACTTCCCGGTCCGAAACAAAATCAAACACAACCTTCGCTTCCTGTTTATGTCCACAAACTTGCCGAATCAAACCAGAGCTATATATTCAAATCTGCATATTGTATTACAACAACAAACGCCTAGAGATTCCTCCCCCCTACACAGTCAATTAAAACGAGAAAAGAAAAAAAAAACTCGAACGCGTGGCCGAAAATGCATCCCAAATTGAATGAAATCAATTAATTGCTGCGGCCAGCTGTGATCCACAATGGAAGAAGAATCAATCAAATGAAGAACAATAAAAATTTTCTGACGGCAATCAGCAGCGAAAATATGGAATCGAAATAATAACGCAGATGTGATTTGCAGCTTTAGCTGATGAAGAAATCCCTCTCCGGGGAAGGAAAGAATGAATGTGGAGAGAGAAAGTAGGAGATCTGGAGGGAAGAAGGAGATTTCATGAGGGTCAATTGATTTTGTACGAGTAATTTTTTTTTTTTTTAATTTATTCGCGTTTTCTGTTTAACTCTTTCCACCTAGAAAAAGTAGTAGTAACGCCTCCCTAGTCCCGACTCCGGGATCTCTATGTTTTTAGCCACGTTTGATGCTAATGCTGATCGAAAATGTTCTTCCCAAACATGATCATAGAGTAATTTTATCTTTGTCATTAAGTGGTGAACTATAATCAAAGTTTAATTTATTCCATATCTTTTAAAGATTGAATTTATCTTTTTTATGGACTAATACGTATAATAAAATTTTTATATTTTATTTTAAGGGTACGTAGTTTAAAGGTTTTTTTTGAAACACTTTTAAAAAGTTTTATAAATATGAAGGCAAAGACAATTATGCATTATATGATGTTCTTATCAAAAAAAGATGTCACTCTTTATTTTGACTGGTGTAAAATCAAAATTCAATTTAACTTGGACCGGTCTTGGAACCTTAGGATGCGATTCATACTTTTTTCCTTTATGACAATACTATAAAAAATCTCATATTTTGTACAAATTTTCTAAGATTGTATACCGATCAATAAAACCCAAAATATATACTTTACAATTCGATTGATTCTTATAAACTAAAAATTTCTTGGCTTGCTGTTATAAAAATATTGAATTCTTGGGGTGTTGGTGATAATATACACAATTTTGAAACATTAGTATAAAATCTCAAAATTTTAAATATTATTAGAGAAATGCTAAGATGATTTGTATTGTACGTATATTTCATATTATTTGTATGCTACTTATTATATACAGAGTATTTAAAGAATAGGGAGTACTCTTTACAATAACAAAACTTGTATGTTCCATGTTATGTTGAAATAAAAATTGTTCTAATTTATTTAAAAAGAAAAGTATTACGTTTTTTTTATTCTAACATGATAAAGATTAATGCTATACATGGCCAAACCAAACGGATAAGCTAATTACTCATAATACGTTCGGCAAATTAAACTAGCACTATATATACTCATGTTTCAAAATCTAGCAACATCAAGTTGGTTATCTCAAATAGAAGATCATGTATTTGAATTTCATTAAAGAAAGTAATTCTATATGTTTTTTATAGCTAGGTTGAGTCATAGTTATGGTGGGACCGCAATGCAGTGCGCCTACTACTATAAAAAATTTACCCTTCAAAGTTTTTGTCACTGAGACATAGTTCAGTGGTTGACGTAAGGGTACTACAATGAAGGTAGAGATGTCGAGTTTAAAGTGGTTTTATTTTTTTATAACTTATACTTTGTATATACTCTCTCCGCTTTTGAAAACATTTCTCTTTTTTTCATCCATTCCAAAATAACTTTTCTCAATTCTATTAAAAAATTACTGTTATTCCTACTAATTCTTAACCTACGTACTACATCTCATCAACTCACTATTATTCTACCTATCAAATCCTACTTTTACCAATCACATTTAAGGACATTTTTAAAAATTCAACACCAAAATACTCTCCTTAAACCCCTAAAAAATCTAAATCTTCCATGCTTTTAGGAGTTTTAGGGACGGAGAGAGCAAATAAAGATATTCCTTCCGTCCAAAATTATCTTGTCTTTGCGTGTTATGATGTTTAACTCAAGTTATTTTCAAATTATTTTATATGAAAAATGGTGTGAAATTAAAAAATAAAAATTATATTTTAAAAAACTACATCAAAAGATCTACAAACTAGAGGTGACATTACTATATTATTTTATCAAATTGATAATGAAAATAAGTCAATAAAGTAAATAAAGTTTGATCCTGAGAATAGTAAACATGAAGATAATTTTTGGATGAAGTGACTGAAAATTCAAATGAAAATAAATATATGAAATAGGGGAGTATCTAAAATACTAATGTTAATTCAAAACATTTTTATTCGTACTAAACAAAGCCTTCTAGCCTGTTTGGGAATAGCTTTAGCTATTAGAGTTAGCGTTTTGAAAAGGCTATCTACATGCAGCGTTTAGCGTTAGCGTTTTCAAAGTAATCTGCACCGTCAAAATTTTATCCAAAATGCTAACGTTAATCTCTAACGCTATTCCCAGACAGGCCCTTCATGAACCATTCATCAAAAGCGTTACTAATAATGCAATGAGTCAAAGTACATCAATAAACAAAGTTTTCAACATGGAAAATGTTTATAATTAACTACACAAACAAGTTAATTTATGCGTTACATACTCCGTACAATTTGACAATTACGTACCCCTGAGTATGACAATCAGCGTAGTATGCGTGTATTGACCACTTTGACTTTAGTACGGTCTAAAAAATCATTTCGAAATAAAAATTGTGATATGCCTCTATGGTGCATATTTAAATAGTAAAAAAAATGACTATTTTGTTTATATGTAGGCATGGGTGGCCCAGAGTGTGTGCAAAGTGGTCAACCGCACAGGGTCTCTAAAATTTTAGGATCTCATATGTTTAAATTCCTCATTAATTTTGAAGCATAAATACTCTAAAATATTAAAATAGGGCCCAAAATGTAAATTTTAGACCGGGCCGATTTCATTTTTTCATTTTTCGATGTCGGCCATGTATGTAGGTTCATGATAGATCTTAGATCCACAATAGAATTTGTCCCATGTGGGCGTAATTCATACAAAGATTACAAACCTGCGGAATGGCCGCTTACACATAAGGTGGCCGGGGAGGAGAGGTGGCGGCCGTTGCCGATCACTCGGCCGTTTTTGGCGAGGTGGCCGCAAGGAATATCAACCGGCACACCACATGGCCTAAGAGAGTAAAGTTGGGGGTGACGGTTGGTATAACAATAAGTGAGTTATAATTATATCGAGATGTAAATGTAGAAATTACTCGATTTATCGTATATCATGACAAATCTCAAATTAATAACATTTCAGAATGAACAATACTTTATTTTAAAATGAACACGCTACGTTGAACACACTTGAAATGAGTGATACATTGTTCACAATAAATACTACGTTGATTCAAAATGATATTTGCTGGATATACCTACCCCTAAGGTACATTATTTTCAGATTTAAAGTCATTTTAAGTACCCTGTACATTATTTTCATATTTAAAGTCATTTTAACTTTTTCCACTAAAATTTACATTGAGGGGTACCCAAACTTATAAAATTTGTTTTTTTTGAAGAAACATTATATTAATTCATGAGATTAGGCAAAATAAAGTCCGGTGGGGAGGAAATCCATACACCACATGAAACCTCCGCCTTCCTAGCCAAAGAGTGAGCAATAATATTTTTTGAATGGGAAATAAACAGAAAATTAACAACATTGAACTCCAAACCCAACAACCGGCAATCCTCGATAAGTGAGCCAAAGTAGGATAGAGAAGTAAAAGAACTGTGCTTAAGGGCCTGAACCACCCTTTGACAATCCGAGAAGAGGTCCACATCCACTACTCCTCTAGCCTTCAACCATGACAAGGCCTATCGGACAGCCATTACTTCCGCCAATAAAGGATCTGAGGGACATCTGATACGGGTACTACGGGTATGCCACACGAAGAAAACACGAACGAGGCCCACGAGGACCCGGTGCGCAAGGACCGTCCGCGAAGGAACGTCGGGCGACCCCGATGTTATTACGATTACATTTAATATTTTTAATTTATATTTCCATTGTAACATAGATTTTCTTAGGTGAGCAAATTATAAGCTCCTTCGAGGGTTTCTTTTCGGTTCTTTACCTCGATGCTTTTATTGAACCGACAGGATAGATAACTTAGTAATTAGGGTTTGGGGATGCTTCTAGTATAAAAGCTATGGGATGTAAACAATAAACTCGAGCAACAATAATACATCCTTTCCCCTAAATATCTCTCTCTAGAAAACCCTAACCAGCGGCTGGGGTGTCTGTGCGGCAAGGCTCATACGGCGGTCAAGCTCGTTGCGTGCAAACAGTACGTAACAACTGGTGCTCTCGTTCTACGATCTCTATGGCCTCCTCCGATCAGCCTCACACCTCTTTGACGTTAAATGATGTCATGCATGCTATCGAGGAATTGGGCAAGGACTTGCAAGCAACGAAATCCCGGGTTGCGGAGTTGGCAGACTCCCGACGAACCACGTTCGGGGAGAATCCGCGCTATTTTTCAGCCACTAATTCTGGGTGGCGACCTCCGGCATCCCGCACAACGCCACCAACGCTGGATCCAGCACCACGGATGCGTGTCGACGCTCCTCGTTTCTCCGGTGAGGACCCTACTGGCTGGATCTTCAGAGTTCAAAAATATTTTGATTATTTTCTCACCCCGGAACCAGAACGCTGGCATTTGGTGGCGATGTTCATCGACCATCCGGCATCGGAGTGGTTCCACTATTTTCAAGCCAATAATCCAATGGCAACTTGGCCAGAATTCTTGGATGCCGTACAGCAAAGGTTTGATCCTACATATTATGAGAACTATGTTGGGCTTTTATCCAAATTAACCCAATCGTCGACGATACTGGCTTATCAAACTGAGTTTGAGACCATCCTGAATAAGGTCTCCGGCGTTCCCGAATCAACTCTCATCGCCATGTATATTGCTGGGCTCAAGCAACCGATTCGGCGTGAAGTGAACCTTCGCAATCCCACTACACTCCCGCTGACTTTTGCCTTGGCACGTGAGCTTTCCGCTTGTCATTTAGAGGCTGCCGGTTCTTACAGTAGGGAGCTTCGCCGTCCGTGGTCTGCACGGCCACCCACCACTCCTTCGGCAGGTCTGCTCCCCACTCCGGGACCATCAAGTCGGCCGTCTCCGGTGCCCCAAGCCAGTCACAACAGCGAGTCATCTCCCAAACTACCGGTGGTACGCCTCACGAATGCCGAAAAGACAGAACGTACAAAGAAGGGTCTGTGTTGGTATTGTGACGAGAAGTGGATTGCCGGGCAAAACTGTAAACACCGATTTTTGCTCTTGATGGGGCCTGATGAAGAAGACGCCGAGCCACTGGAGCAGCTAGACACGCCCAATAGTGATGATCTTATAATAGCGGATATTTCAAGCATGCATGCCCTCGCCGGTAGCCCGAACCCACGTGCTCTTAAATTGGCCGGTATGGTGAATGGGTCGGCGGTTCAAGTGCTCTTAGACAGTGGGAGTACCCATAATTTCATCCATCCAGGAGTTGCAGAGCGCCTTCAACTGGTCCTTCATCCGGTTCCGTCATTCCGTGTGTATGTGGGCAACGGTGATTCTCTTCGGTGCGCCTATGCATGCCCCCAAACGGCCATCTCCCTGCAAGGTCATGCCTTCCTTATTGATTTATATCTTCTTGAAATTCATGGCACCGACGTGGTTCTCGGTGTTCAGTGGCTGCAAACCCTAGGTAAAGTAGCCCACGACTATGCCCAAATGACTATGGAATTCATGTGGCAGGGCAATTCCATCACCTTACATGGCAACACTCCATCCCCCCGGCAGATTTCCTACGGACAGTTTTGCACCATGGTCGCTGCCTCCACTTCTTGGGCTCTTTATGAATTGGTGGTTTCACAGCCCGAGAAGGCGCCCCCTGGTGATGCGCACATGGATGTTCCGACCGATGTTCCATCATCACTTCGGGCCGTCATCCTTGATCATGTTGTGATTTTTGGCTTGCCCACTGGTCTACCCCCTGGCCGAGATTGGGACCACCGTATCCATCTGGTGGCGGGTACAAAGCCCATAAACGTCCGCCCTTATCGGTATCCTTATTTCCAGAAAACAGAAATCGAACGGCAGGTACGTGACATGTTGCAGCAGGGTATTATTCGGTTGAGTCATAGCCCGTTCTCCTCCCCGGTCCTCCTCGTCCGTAAAAAAGATGGCACTTACCGTTTTTGTGTCGACTATCGGGCATTGAATGCGGCTACAATACCGGACCACTTCCCTATTCCAACGTCCGATGAGCTATTTAATGAGTTGGGCCACGCACGTATCTTTACAAAGTTGGACCTCCGCTCGGGCTACCATCAAATCCGGATGCATGAGACGGATGTATTTAAGACGGCTTTTCGGACGCACGAAGGACACTATGAATTTTTGGTCATGCCGTTTGGACTCACAAATGCTCCATCAACCTTCCAGTCGGCCATGAACACTCTTTTTCGTGCACACCTACGTCGGTTTGTTATTGTCTTTTTTGATGACATACTGGTCTATAGCCCGTCGTTGGAGACACATGAGACGCACCTTCGTCAAGTTTTAGCTACTCTGCGGGATCAAGGGTTTTATGTGAAGCTGAGCAAATGTGCCTTCGGTAAATCAACTATTGAATATTTGGGTCATGTGTTGCAAGCCGGCGAAATCCGTGCAGACCCAAGCAAAATTGAGGCGATGGTGTCTTGGCCGGTTCCCCGGCACGTGAAGCAATTGCGTGGATTCCTTGGCTTGACCGGGTACTACCGACGATTCATTGCTGGCTATGCAGTCCTTGCAGCTCCCTTAACCAATTTATTAAAAAAGGATGCTTTCCAGTGGGATGCTACTGCCCAAGACAGTTTTGAGCACCTCAAACGTGCCATGACGTCCGCCCCGGTACTACGGCTGCCCGACTTCTCCCAGATTTTCTATGTTGAAACCGATGCATCAGACTATGGCGTCGGCGCTGTTTTAATGCAACAAGGCCATCCCCTTGCCTTCTTTAGTAAGAAATTGGGACCTCGGCGTCGGGCGGCATCCACATATCATAAAGAACTCTATGCTATCGTCGAGGCCGTGCAAAAATGGCGTCAATACCTACTCGGTCGCGAGTTTGTCATCCGTTGTGATCAACGCAGCCTCAAGGATCTCTTGCTACAGGTCATCCAAACACCCGATCAACAATTCTACATCCGGAAGCTAATGGGATTCAAATTCCGGATTGAGTACAAGACCGGGACATCCAATCGAGCGGCGGATGCTTTGTCACGGCGTGATGAGGATGACGCAACCGTGCTATTTGTTGCCACTGCCCAGCCACTTCCCCTTCTTCTTGATTCCCTCCGGGCAGAGAACGGTGCACTCCCCGATTTGCAGCGGCTTCATGCAGAGTGCGAGGCAGGAAGAGCTCCATCACATATCTCGGTGCAGGAGGGGCTACTTTATTATAAGCGGAGGCTCTATGTTAGTCCGGGGTCCCCTTTGCGAGATCGGATACTGACCGAGTTTCATAGCACTCCGCTTGCGGGTCACCAGGGAGTAGAGCGGACATTTCGACGAATTGCGGCAGTGTTTTATTGGCCAGGTTTACGGCGCGAAGTTCGTCGGTTTGTAGCGTCATGTGAGGTGTGTCAGGTGACAAAGTACTCGACGCAGAAGCCGGCGGGTCTACTTCAACCGTTGCCTATTCCAGACCGCGTGTGGGATTCGGCTTCGATGGACTTTATTACTGGGTTACCCACTTCGCAAGGCTTCACTGTTATTATGGTGGTGGTGGATAGATTAAGCAAGTATGCTCATTTTGGTCCTTTGCCGACCGGATTCGATGCCCCGCGGGCTGCCCGTCTCTTCGTCGATATTGTAGTAAAGCATCATGGGTTCCCTCTCACAATCATCTCGGATCGCGATTCAGTATTTATGAGCCTCTTTTGGCGGGAGTCCATGCGTTTGAGTGGCACCACATTAAAGTCTTCAACTGCTTACCACCCTCAAACGGATGGCCAAACGGAGGTGGTGAATCGCGGGCTAGAGCAATACCTCCGGGCATTTACATATGAGCGGCCGTCCAAGTGGGTTCTCTTCCTTCCCTGGGCTGAGTTGGCCTTAAATTGTAGCCATCACGAAGGAATTGGAACCTCCCCCTTCCGGGCTCTATATGGTCGTGAGCCACCGTCGATTTTTTCCACCTTGTCCTTACGGGCACGCACACCAGAGGTGGAGGCCGTCTTGCGTGAACATGCTGAATTGTTGAATGATTTGAAGGGCCACTTAACGAAAATGCAGAATCGTATGCGAGCCCAAGCTAATAAGCACCGTAGGGACGTTTCCTTCGACGTGGGCGACTGGGTATTATTGAAACTACAACCCTACCGACAGTATTCCATTGCCCGCCCCCTCTCGGCCAAGTTAGGACACTGCTATTATGGTCCTTTTGAAATTTTGGAGCGGGTAGGCTCGGTGGCTTATCGATTGCGTTTACCGGAGGGATGCCGTATACACGATGTATTTCATGTTTCACTTCTCCGCCCTTTCATTCGCCGGCCTGACAGTGACCCGAACCCCACTTTGCCGGACAGTTTCTTTAAAGGACGCCCCATATCGGTGCCCGTTTCTGCTCTTCAACAGCGTATGGTTTTGGTGGATGGTAAACCTCAGCAACAATGGCAGATTCGGTGGTCCGACGTCGCCGACGGAGGCTTCACCTGGGAACCGGTAGAGGATCTGTTGCAACACTTCCCCGATCTCCGCCTTGAGGACAAGGCTGATTCTAACCCGGGGGAGTTGATACGGGTACTACGGGTATGCCACACGAAGAAAACACGAACGAGGCCCACGAGGACCCGGTGCGCAAGGACCGTCCGCGAAGGAACGTCGGGCGACCCCTACGTTATTACGATTACATTTAATATTTTTAATTTATATTTCCATTGTAACGTAGATTTTCTTAGGTGAGCAAATTATAAGCTCCTTCGAGGGTTTCTTTTCGATTCTTTACCTCGATGCTTTTATTGAACCGACAGGATAGATAATTAGTAATTAGGGTTTGGGGATGCTTCCAGTATAAAAGCTACGGGATGTAAACAATAAACTCGAGCAGCAATAATACATCCTTTCCCCTAAATATCTCTCTCTAGAAAACCCTAACCAGCGGCTGGGTTGTCTGTGCGGCAAGGCTCGTACGGCGGCCAAGCTCGTTGCGTGCAAACAGTACGTAACAACATCTCAGACCTACAATATTACGGAGTACGAAGTATAATTGACGATTGAAGTTCGTTCAGTTTAACTCGAAAATATCAAGCGTGACCAATACACTAGAATGAAGAGACTAAGCACATAACTCATTCTCTTTCTGCCTCAATATATTTTTCTAGTTAAACTTTTTCAAGTCAAACTGAATATACTTTAATCATCAATTACTGTCAATATGTGACATATATGAATATTGTGAGATCAAATTTGTAAAGTTCTCAACTATATAAATCTAATTAAATCATTTTTAGACTAATATAAATTATACGTAGTAATTTTTATTTAATTAAATCCAAAGTTTATTCAGTTTGATTTATAAAATTAAACCAAACAAATACATTAAGATAGAAGTATTATATAGTAAGGCTGGTGGCAGTGGTGGGTGTAGCCGTCGACTATCCCGACGGCCACCTAACTAAAACCGGCCAAGTCCTCGTTGAGAAATGTTTGTGCAATATTCAAATACATAACTTCGACCGACAAGTGTGTATGGAAAATTGTTGATACATGAACCCCGGCCGACAAGTGTATATTGGAAAATGAATAATATAGTACTCCCTACATCTCTAAAAAAAAAGAGTTCACGAATGTTTGATTAAAATTGTTTCTAAATCAATTAATTAGAAAATAAACGTGATATTAAGAAATATTTAGTAAAATGCATATACTTAAAAAATAATATAAGGAATGCCAATATTATTATTATTATTATTATTATTATTATTATTATTATATCAAAGACTACACTCCGTCCATAAATATGTGTCCTGTTTTGACTTTGTTCAGTCAACTGTTTTCAACATCTAACCTATAATTGAATAAAACATACTACATATTGTATATTAATAAAATAAAATAATATTTTAAAAATATTTTATCTAATAAATCTAATAAAACTATTTTTTTATTCATATCTTCTATAGAGTATCATTTTTATTTAACTTGAAGCCAAAGTTTACCAATTTTGACTGAAAAAAAATAAAAAAAATAGGAAAAATACTTGAGGACGGAGGGAGTAAATAATAAAAATGATAAATAGAATTTTAACTTCTAAATAGAAAACACAATTTTTCAGGTCATGCTAGGGTGTCACCACATAGGTGATACAATGGGATGCACGTATACTTCGAACATACAAATACAGACGCTAATTGTTTGTGCGACATAAACGAGTGACTATGTATGTGGTAAGCATGAGTGCACTCATCACTCTTTTGTCATGAGTGACGTCACCCCTAAACATGTTGAAATGAGAATAAGGATGGATTCCGCAAGGGGGTGCCAGCTTGATTGATTGATAACTCGTCAAATTCGTCCGCCTTTTTTATGTGTTGACTTTGACATTGGAAGGAACTGTGGGACGGGGTGACCTAGAAAGAAATACTACTAAAATATAACTCACCTATGCCCTCCTACGTCCTCCAGTGATCCAGCTGAAGTCTACGAGACTTAGTTTTTTTTAGGGGTTGTACGAAGCACTTTGTAGGGTGGGGAGTGGGGACTGTTATGTCGGCACTGCCTCTTCAATGGCTCACAACCAAACTATCCTTCCTGGAAAATCTCAAAACCCAACACAAATTCTTCAAGACTCAAAGAAACTGCACAACCCAGAATGGGATTTCTGTTTCCTTCAATGTAAACAACAATGGCCTAGCCTAATTAGAGAGTAAGGTAGTGTTTGGTTTGGGGAGGGAAGGAACCCAAACTTATTTTGGGTCACTATTCGGCCTAGCTTGATTAGAGCACTGGTAATGGTCATGAAGCCCCGGGGCTTCAAACCGGGGCTTCAAACTTTTTCTCTCTGCCACGTCAGCTTTAACTTACACCCAAAATTCACTGGAAATGGGTTTGAAGCCCCGGGGCTTCAAACTGGGGCTTCAAACCTTCATTTTTTACATTTTTAAATATACATCTTCTAAAATTAAATTAATAACATTTTATCAATTAATTGAATTTAAATGAAAATAAATTATTAAATAAAAAAATCAATAAAAGATAAATTAACCAAATAAGATTTGAGTAATGAAAACAAAAATATAAAAAATTATATTACTTTATGAAGAAATTACTGATTATTCGAGCGACTAAAAATATCTTCATTCAAATCGGGGTTGTAGTAACATATTGCAAACTGAAATAATACATTAATTAAAAAATATAGTCAATAAAAAAGTATGTTAAATTTAAAAAACAACAAAAAAATTACATTACGAAAGAAAATTTAAACAAAAAAATATTACATTAAACAATAAAATATAGAGTAAAAAAATTATGTTTGTGTTTGTTCTATTTTTTTAAAGAGAAAGAATATAAAGAGTAAAAAAAATATTTAGTCTTATGGCATTTATGTAATTTTTTGTTGTTTTTTAATGAATGAAGCCCGTGAAACGTTTGAAGCATAAAGGATGAAGCCCCGGGGGGGCGGTGTTTGCTGCCCCTTTGGCGTTAAAATGGACAATAACGCCCCGGGCGTTATGCCCATTACCAGTGCTCTTAGAGGGGGGAGCGATGTAATTTTCCGCTAGCCCTCCCCTCTCCTTTGCTCCAACCAAACACAACCCAAGTGTTAGGCTAGGTATACTAACCTAATAGGGTACAAGGATGGGGGCAACTAAATTAACAAGACGTAGTAATGCAGCACCACAGTATAGGCACAGCTAAAAACAAGACAACAAGACATTTTTCTTCCGTGTAAATCCTTGCGGAAAAAAACAAGCCTTTGAATGGTAGATTAATTTTAAAGGACACCCAAATTAAGCACTTGAATGAAACTGGCGTTGAAGAAAATAGTCGCTGAAAATGGAGCTCAAGTAGTAATCTTAAGTTGCCACGGAGTGGGGAATGTGAGAAAGATTATGTACTTTTAATTCGTAAGGGTAATCTCACGTTATTAGAGTAATCTGAGATTGACTCCCCGTAAGAAAATAAGGCAATGGTGATATAATTTGATACGATTACTTTGGGTTTCTTAAGTATGGTAAGATTACCTTGACAATATTTTCGGTAAATTTGGTCATTTCAACTTTCCCCATAACAATAAAATGGGACAAATAAAATAATATACTCCGTATCACATTCAGTGAATCAAATAGCTTTAAAGTAATCTTGCAATACCTTAATCTTACATTACCTTTCACCAGGCAATCTTTTTGAACCAAACTCTCCTCAAAATCCAAGGTTGTGGAATGGCAAAGTGTTGTCCCGTTACTTGCAATGTTCTTAGATGAAATCGCAAGTGTTCCATCAGATTTTCCTTTACACATCAAGTAAAGAAGTTCTTCTAACACATTGTAGGATCTTCTAGAGCCTCAATTAATGGAGCTTTGCGCGGGTCTTTTTTTCAATCCTACTTCGTTCATTAGACGCCTCACATTTTCAGCATCTTTCCACCTTCCTAAAGCAGAATAAATGTTTCCCAACAACACATAATTCCCGGTGTTGTGTGGCTCTAACTCAAAAAGCCACTTTGCAGCCACCTCCCCGAGCTCAACATTTTCGTGTATAACACACGCACCTAGTAATGCACCCCAAACGGTATGAGTTGATTTAAAGGGCATATCTTTTATCAAGTCATAAGCTTCCTCAAGCCGTCCCGCACGTCCTAAAAGATCAACTATACAAGTGTAATGATACGGCCGAAGATCATCAGGTTGATGTCTCTTCATGTAATTAAATAAACTTAGGCCATCGTCAACTAACCCTCCATGGCTACAAGCATGCAGAACAGAAGTGAAAATGACTTCGTTAGGTTCAATATGAGACTGAACCATCTGATTAAATAGAGAAATTGCAATATCTCCATGTCCATGCACTCCATAGCTAGCTATTATCACACCCCACGACACAATATCTCTTTCCTTGAGAGGCACTTCCTTGAAGACTTCGTGACCATAATCCAACTTCCCACATTTCGAATATACATCAACCAAGCCAGTTGCAACCTCTCTTCTTGAAATGAAACCAGATCTCACAAGATAGCTGTGTAAACTCATGGCCTGCTGCAAATCAGCTTCGATTGCATATACAGGAAGTAAGCTCTTTAGTGTTGCATCATTAGGTTTCACATCTTCTGAAAGCATTTGTTTGAAAAGCAGAATTGCTTCTCCTGAAAGATCATTATGAAGACACCCAGAGAGAACTGCGTTCCATGGGACAGTTCTCTTCTTGGGAGTCTTGACAAACACACGAAGGCTAAGCTTGAAACAGTTGCACTTTGCATACATGTCAATGAGTGTAGTTTCTACATTCGCATCTGAGTCAAGTTTCTGCCTGATTGCCCATCCATGTATGCATTTGCCAAGTTTACTGTCAGAAAGACTTGAACAAGCCGAAATCAGGGATGCCAGAGTGATTGAGTTAGGTTTTATGCCTTCAAACTGCATTGTACGGCATAACTGCAATGCGGAGCTTATGTCGCCATCCAAAATGTACCCATTCACCATAGTAGTCCATGTAACCACATCTCTACCCACCATCTTATCGAAAACTAAACGTGCCTCTTCCATAGAGCTGCATTTGACATACATATTGACAATTGCATTTCTAACAGGTAAAAGATCCCAAAAACCTTTCTCTTCAGCCAATGAATGAACCTCTCTCCCCAACTTCACATCTTTCAGGTATCCGCAAATAGGCAATACGGAAAGCACAGTGGCACAATCTATACTCACTCCGACTTCCATCATTTTCCTGAAATGTATCAAGGCTTCCTTGGCACTACCATTTCTGAAATACCCACCAATCATGATGTTCCAAGACACCGCAGTTTTCTCCTGCATTGCATCAAACACTCTCCTTGCCCCCTCTTCATCTCCACAATTCATATACATCACCAACAACGAGTTCCCCAAGAATGCATTCAAGACAACCCCAGTCAATACTGTCAGACCATGGACAACAGCCCCAATCTCACGCAGCAATAAATCACCACAGGCCCGAATTACAAACGGGAACGTATACCCATCCGGCACGTGCCGACCTGAGTGGAGCATTTCAGCAAACAATTTGAGAGCATCTCGGGGAGCCCCGTCTTCCGCGTACATTCTTATCATGGTCTTGTAAGAGTGAAGAGTTCTAAAAGGCAATTCATCGAACAGCTTGCGAGCATGGGAAGTTTGAGAGCAAAGGGCGTAGGCGGCTGTGAGGAGGGAGAGGAAATGAGTGGAGTTGTGGTGATGATGCAGGAGTCGGGTCCTTAGAATGTGGGCGTGCAGTTGCTTTGTGGTGCTCAAACACTTGGTGGTGGAACAATGGTATAAGAGTGATTCGCAATGTGCAGCGGCGGCGGCGGCGGTTGGGGCGGAGAGAAGGTGGTTCAAGGTTTTGGACAGCGGCTGAGATAGGCCATTCATGAATCAAGTCCGTCTGCTCAAGGATTTACCACAACGAATGCCTATTGTCCTGAAACTTGTTCCAGCTAATCTGGTTTGATATTTACTCCTCCCATTTTTAGTCTTTGAACTTAACAATTTTTTTTATCTTCTTATTTACCTCTTTTTAAATTGTTCTCTTTAGTATTCATATGATCATGTTCTTTTTCTTTATGTACTTTTACGGATCATTTGATAAAATAATATATTCATATAATTTCTCAAAAAGTATTTTTTATGAAGTAAAATTTTAATGTATTTCGTAAATATATACACTATATAAAAAAATTCATAGCGGATTGGGCAATGATTATTTCATATTGAACATCAATGTTAAAAGTGACTTGGGACAACTACGATTATTTTGTTAATAAAATTGATGGTTGTTACACATCCTTGATCGTCAACTTTGTAATGCCAAATTGGCGATTGAGGAGGGGTAGGGGGAGTGGATTTTTTTTGGGGAGATGGAGGTGAAGGAGGGTAAGAACCAACAATATCAAATGATTCATTTTTTCCCCTTATTCAAACTTCAAAGTGTGCATTTAGAGGAGATGATCAACACCACTATAACCCATTCAGAAAGAAAGAAAACAGAAGAGAGCAGTGCAAGATTTGAAAACATCCATCCAACCACAGCCATATCTGTCTATCAAAGTGAACCTCTTTTACCAAGATGAAGAAAATCTCTTCTCAATTATTATTATTAGTGAAAAAAACAATAAAAGGACATACAAGAGTTTCCCCTCTCTACAATAGGGGAACACATTCTCAAACCCCACCATAAACAACATTGAACAACCGCGGCAAAGAAAGAAACAAGGTCTCAATACAAATTCAAAAGGCCCTCTCCATCACCCTCTTCCTACTTCATCTAGCTCTATCACAGCCTAATTGTCAATGGAGCGGTCGCGAAATCACGTGAAATAATCACTGAAATAATCAGCAAAATCAACACTTCAATCTTCGTGGGTAAATGGGGAGAAGAAGAAACTCCCCCTTTCACCGTGATCAACCTTCTTCCTCTCAAAGTTACCTTCTTTTATGGAGCTGTGATTTGGTTCAGTCTCGCCATCACTGCTCCCCTGAGCTTCTTCATCATCAACCTCGACCTCTTTGAATGCCACCCCAAGATCTTCAACTCTCCTGCAAAGGTTATCCACCACCTCACCATTGGAATCGACGGTTCTATATGATTCCCTGCTGGAAATGGGTTTTAGGTTCCTCACATTACCGTCCTCTGCAAAGGTCACAACTTTGTTTGCTTTGGATTGAGCCTCGCCATGCCTCTTACCCAAACCACCATTTCTGGTTTGCAGAATCCCCGACTTCTTGATTACCAAATCTCTAGGGCTTTCAAAATGCTCATCCTCGTCTTCTACAGATTTCCTCAATTCGATATACTTATTCATGATGCTCTCCATTTTGTCCATTTCATGAAGCATCTGAACCCTAGAATCGCTATAACTACTACTACTACTTCCATGCTTAACAATCTTCACTATTCTACTTGGATGACTGTAATTTTCTACACAGGTCTCATCAATTAACTCCATGAACTTGATCAATTCTCTGCTAATTGACTTTTTCCCATCTCGGATCATTGGATCGCTTCCCTGCAAGCAAACCCCCATTTCACAGTTTCAACATAAACGCTCACGATCAGAGCGTATAGAATCTGCAAAGGAGATCGAAGGAGAATTGATAGTTACCTGGATGGAATCAAGTCTAGGAAGCAGGCGATTGGCCTTGTGAGAGAGAGCTTGGGGATCACAACTGGAAGCTGACGATTTCAGATTGTTTAGGGCTGACTTGATAGAAGCGAGCTCCTTGAGGTGACGTAGGGTTTTCGATCTGCGAACAAGGAAAGCTCTGAATTGAGTCTGGATGGTACGAGCAGCTGTATCCCGGAGGGAGTGGGAACTGACGGAGCGGCGGCGGAGGGAAGACTCCAGAGAGGCGATGCGGCGGAGGAGGGAGGAAACGACTGGTTGGGGTTGCGCTTCGCGGAGATGGTGGAGCTCTTGAAGGAAATGCTGAGGCGGGCAGCATTGGGTCTGCCGGTGGTGGTTGTGGTGGAGTAGGGTTTGGGAGCTGTGAGGAGAATTTGAGCAAGGACCGAACAAGTGGGGTTGTTGGGGATCGGGAAAGCAAGGGGGTATAGAATGTAGGCCTGCCGGCGGATGCGGAGGGTGATAGCAAGCGGGGTCAACGGAGTAGCAGATACATGGAGCAAGAGGCACGGCGGCTGTGGAGGAGCGGCAGAAACAGGGGTGGTAGTGATGGTGGTCAGCGGCCATTCCGGCGGGATCCTTTCGGTCGGAGTGGGGTGGGTGGATGGGGCGGTATTCGTTTTGTTGAATCGCTTGCTTGGGGATGTAGGCCCGCCCAACAGTCATCCACCACCATGCGTTATGATTGGGATTTGGGACTAATATCAAATGTGTCATCCAATACCATCCGTCCAAAAATTAATTTTCCAATTTGAATTTTGCAGTCAAATTTTTTAAATTTTGATCGTAGATTAAGAAAAAAATATATTGAATTTTCATATAAATTTATTAGGAATAGATTCATTTTGGAATATAGTTTTGAAATATATAATTTTTATAAAATATATTTATATAAAAATTGAGATATTGATGCTCGAAGTATCGCATTGGAGACCGTGAAAAGTTAAATGCGAAGTTAATTTTAGGTCGGAGGGAGTATACCGTAGAATCGAATAGGGAGTGTTTCTTGTATATTCATAGTTTTTTTTGAATAAATAAGAATTTATTTTTGATTAACTGAACACTCATTTTAGTCATTTATGAGTAATTGATTAATTATATTTTTAAAATTAAGTTATTTTCAAAAATGAGTAGTTAATTATTTAAAAATGAATAATTAGTTACTTGAAATTTTATCAATCATGAAATTTTACTAGTTTATTTTCATTTTTTTGTGTATACAAATAAATAAAATAATATATACGCTCTCTATTCCAAATTAAAGTTTTTCCTTTATTTATTTTTCAAAATATTTTTTAAAGAACATTACAAAAGAAAATAAAAATATTAAAATGAAACGAAATACTCTTTACAAAATGAAAGGAAAAAGAATAGAAAATTTTCATTAAAAAGAAAAAAAATAAATGTAAAACAATACCTTTTTCTTTTACTCTATATTTTTTTTTTCATCTTTTTATTCTTCATTTTTTAAGTCCCAAAAAATTATTTCAATTTTGAAAAATAAATAAGTTAAAATTTTTAACTTAAGACGGTGTTTTTTTTTGAATGCCTTAAGACGGTGTTAATATGTCAACTTTTTATTTTATTTATTTCACTTTTACTTGAAACAAAAAATGGCAGTTTCTTCTTTTTCCACTTTTTTCGTTACCTTTTTCTTTTGCTCTGTTCAAATGATTTTATTTCATTTTTTATTTTTCATTTTTGTAAAATCCTCCAAAAAAAAATTGTCTTGAAAAAATAAATAAAAATTAGTTTGAGATGGAGAGTGTATATATTTTTTTATTTATTTGTACAAACAAAGATAAATGAAAAAAAAGAGAAACTTTACTATTGAGGTAACGAAGGACAAAAATGTCATTTTTACTCTGAAAAATATGTTAGGGGGCTTGTATGGACTATTTAGAAACCATAGAAATTTTACAAAGAAAAACTTTACTATTGAGGTAACGAAGGACAAAAATGTCATTTTTGGTGCGCCTTTTGTAAATCATGCGTGGCACTTGTGCTATTAGCCCTATGATTCGATCTTGATATCACAAAGACGTCATGTAAGTACTAAGGGGATAAATGGGACCGATTCGGTAGGGCTGCTCAGCCCACCCCTGGGTCGGCCCTGACCTCAGTAGTTGTTCCGAAAGGGGCAGATTTGTAACAAGGTGCAAAGTTCGATTGCCCGCGTCTTATGGTGTGGAAGTGATATTCTTAAACTACGTAGTATTTTGGACTATAAGAATGGACTCCTTGCATGCCCGTATGGTTAGCCCGTTAGCCTCTTTCTTTAACGGACTACTGAATTATTGAATTACCTTCATCCATATACCTCTACGGGCCGAGTGTAGGAGGCGTTTGGAGCTGGGAATTCAACCTTTTGCAACAATGAAAATTTCATAATTTATACTTTCCATTTGACTTCCTCCTCCACTTCTTCTTACTTCCCTTCAACCAAGTGGAATATCAATCATTCTCACGTCCAATCTTTCTTCCGCTCTCTTGCCCATTTTCTTCCATATCTCCTCCCAACTAAACAATGTAAATTCACAATTTACTTTCCATTTCACTTCCTCCCTTCACTTTAGCATAAGTGGAGTATCAATGAGTAAAGTTTAAGCCCAAAGATGATAAACAGTGCACAAATCTCAATGCCATAATGACATTTGCAACCAACTCCCACTTATTACCCTTCAACCAACTCAACCCACCCTGCCAAAAGCCAATTAGTCATGGATTTTGACCACCCAAATGCCCAAAGCTGAAAAACTTCCACAACAAATCTAATCTCTCATCTGCTAATCAACACTCATGTCAAGAAAACATACAGTAAGAGAATTGAATTTGTATTCCTTTCAAGTCAGTGTGAAAAACAACAGAAAGAAAACCATGACCAACATCTTAAACTGTGCATTTGCTGCAGACCACACTATGATGAACAGAACTGAGACTGCAGACATATTTACAGAACTAGGAGAATTGGATTGAAAACAGAAAGAAGATAACAGAAAGAATTCACATATGCAGTTCTAATTGGAGATCATCACCATCAGTTGCTTGTCCATGCCATGAAGCCACACCCTTTCTTCCATGGCCACTCCATTGACAGGGAGGAGATTCAGATCAAGAATGCCATGAATCTCAGAAAGATTCTCCCTTTCTTCCACCACTCCTTCAGCTATGTTTGCATTGTAGTGGGCCCTCTTGTGACCACCCAAAGCTTGCCCAGATTGGAAAACCTTGAAGCAGATTGGGCAAGCATGATCTTTGGGGAATTTGCTGATCACAGCTTCAATAACTGTTTCAGAAACAGTGTTCATCTCTTCATTATCTGCTGCAGATTTCTCTGAATCATCATCATCATCTTCATCGCCTGCTGCAGATTTCTCTGAAACATCACCATCTTCATTGCAGCAAAGTGACTCTTTTGCAGAAACAAACCCATTCCAGGTACTGACTCCCATAGAAAGCATTAACAAGCTCATAGCAGCATCGTTCACCTCATCAAGATCAGAAATTGTGGGTTTGTTGTACCTTATTGACGACCTCTTCTTCCGAACCGGACACATGGCATCCAAATCCGATAAGCTTTGCACTTCGTTGGATCTTTTGGCGTGGATCTTCATGTGACCGTACATAGCCCTGACCGAACCAAACTCCCTGCCACATTTCTTGCATATATGATGTTCTTCTTCTTCTTCTTCTTCTTCTTCATTGTCGTCGTCTTCATCTTCTTTGCTGTATTTTCTTGAATGGACTTTCAGATGACCAGCCAGAGCCTTCACCGAGGAGAAAGCTTTTCCGCATTTCTCGCAAAGATTGTTCTTTGACTGGAAATTGACGTTCTTGGCGATCGATTGACTCTTCGCCGAGATGGGTTCGGAGTGCAGAAAGAAATCTTTCTTTCCGGAAGCTTCGGATTTGAGCTTTTGCTTTTTGGCAGCTGCAATAAGGCCCAGATGGCCTCGCATGTGGCCTCCCAGTGACTTCCCAGTAGAGCAAGCTTTGTTACAGAACTTACAGAAGAATCTGGGTTCTTGGATTTCTTCTTCCATTCGATCACTCAAGAATCGGAAAGATTGGAAATTTTCTTCAAGAAAGTGCTCGATACGCGGAGAAGTCAGCGGAAAAGGAGTGATCAGTTGAGATTAGCAAACGCCCGATTAATGGGACTCTTCATTCCCGGAAACCCATGGAAGAACCGAGATGAAGGGAGGAGGTTATGGAGGGCAATTAGTGAGGGTTCAATGTGAAATTAAATGAAGATTGTGATGAAAGATTTGAGGCTCCAATATTTGATAGGATCTCTCATCTCTTGTGCTTTCTCTCGAAAAATGAAATTCCTCCGCAATACGGAGTATAAAGTATAATCTCTTGTGCCTGTGCAAATTCTACTGTGGACACATAACCTCCATCATGGACTTAAAATTTTCTTTCTATTTAAATAAGTATTAATTTTTTCTAATAAAATTTTTTTAAAAATATTACTCCCTCCGTCCCTCTGTATTTGTCCACTTTCATTTTTGCACACCATCCAATGCACTTCTTTAATCCATTTTATCTTGTAATTTGTATATTAAAAAATTATATATTAATAATCTATATGTTAAGACAAATCAAACAAGATCACACATGACTATATTTAGGCTTACACATTGAGAGAATTTGATGAGTCAAAGTGCTTAGATGAACAGTTCCAAAAGTCAAATGTGGACAAATACAGTGGGACGGAGGAGTATGTGAGTAGGACCAAAAAAATGACATGCATTCAAAGTTTGCCATAAAATCATTGTGTGCTAGAAGCCTGTAATCTCACTAATATTTATTCTTTCCAAGTTGGTGTTTTTTGACTTAACTCACGTTCAAGCGTAGTCTTTTTCGAGTCTTGCACGTAAAATCTTAATTTTTTTTAAACTGGGTGGCGCTGAGTTTCGAACTCATGACCCCTTATTCAAAGGAGCTCTGATACCATGTCAAGAAACCAACTCAACCAAAAGTTCAAGCTTGTAGTTGTGGCCTAGGAACAATTATTTATATTCTAACACACGATTACTCTGAATATACATATTAATACAATGAATATAAATTCCTTACATGATAAATAAAATAAGATTATTTTTAAACTAGCATACATTATAATTTTTATTTTGTAAAGATTCAAAGTTCTTTTCTACTAACTCAAAAATGTTAAATTATAGATGTACACTGAATGAAGGTAGTACTCTCTCAGTTCAACAAAACTCTTCCTATTTTGTTTTACGTGCACAATAATAATTTTACTTACAAATTGATATGAAAATAAAAAGTAAAACCTACCGTACATATTTAATAACTACATCAAAATTTCTACAAAATAAGTAGAGACATAAATATTTTATTTTAACAAATTACTAATAAAAAACACACACGAACAAAAGTTATCGAGCATCATTAAATAGCAACCCTGAAGGGGTTCGGTGAATGGAGAAAGTACTATATTTACTCTTCAAGCTACTTCCCCCAATTTTTTAACTATCGATTTCGCTTTTCGTGTTGAATATTTGACCAATAATATTCTTAAAAATATATTAGAAAAATATTAAAATGATACATTAACATATTTTTATAATAACAATGATGATTTAATTTTATTTGTTCTGTTTTATGTGTGTGTGTGTGTGTATAAATATATATAAAATCGATACGGAAAATGAGCCAAACATTTTAAAAATATTCTTAAATATATGCCAGTATTAATAAAAGGTATGTAATTACAATATGCGGAGTAACTATGTGAATGTTGGAGTCTGGTGGTGGACCACCAAACAATAGTGGACTACGTCAATATTTTTTATTCGATCTTTTAAAATAATTTCACATTTCACTGTGATGTATAATAATATCAACTTTACTGAAATATGAGAGTTTTGGGTCGCTGTTAAATTGTTAATGACAGGAACAAAATGAAAGTTGGAATTATTTTCGATGATTTTTTGTTTTAAATGAAAATTAAAAAATAAAAAAATTCATAAAAAAAATTTTAACTTTCATTTTGCTGCGCAAAACATTCATTTCTGCTAGTCCACCGTTAGCAACTTAACAACAACCCGAAACTTACAAATTTTTGTAAAGTTGAAATTATAATGCATTATAATAAAGTGAAACTATTTTTGAAAAATTAGATAAAGTTGAGATTATTTTGAATAATTTTCTTATATATATATATCAATATTTTTTAATATAATATTCTTTCCTAATTCTATTCTGTTTTATCTTCACTTGTAACAGAATTTTCAATTAATAAACAAGATAATATTTTATCTTTAGTTCTAACTGATAGTTTTGATTCTAAGAGCATCCTATATGATACTTCGTTACTTCAATTTTGTGGTATCTCCTCTTCTAATAGTACTTCATTTCTAAATCAATAATATTGACAAATATTTACATTGTAACTCATATTTTAGAAATAAAAAATGGATTTTCTATTTTATTACCTTGTTTATATTTTTACTCTTAATTGAATGATTTTTCTTGGAAAAACAGAAAATTCAATTTAAAAGAGTAAGAAAGGAGATAATATAATGTGACACCAAACCCGGCCCGGCCGCACTGGTCCGCTGGTACTCTGGTTTATATGAATTGAACCAGAGTACGAATTTCTCAACCGTATAGACGAAAAATTAGGCGGCACAAAACAGCTCGTACTAGCCGTTAGGAAGCTCTAGAAGTAACGGTTTCCACTCGTCTTCTTCCTCAAATTTTTTCTTCTTTCCGTTCTGCTCATACGAGCTCTCTGTGAAATCTTGGTTATATCTTATCACTTCTCTGTTCACTTCAATGGAGTCTTTCAGCGAGTCTAGCGGCTTCTGTCACTGCAATCCAGCAACTGAAAATTCTAACCCAAATGTTACAAACTCCGGTTTGAAGGAATCCAGCTCGCCGTCGTCAAGAAAGCCGGCGAGGAGAACCCAAAAATCTGGTTCGAAAAACCCTAGATCGAACCCTTCTTCGGTTGTTTCGCATTCCACCCAGAAATCGGCTTCTAAAATCCGGAGTGTTAACTCCACCCCTGCGCCTTCCCCTCAAATCCGAAAATTGGATTTGAAAATCCAAAATCCAGTGGTGTTGTCTTCCCCGCAAGAGAAGGAAGGTGAGCACGAGTGTGTGCGTGCTGCTGCTGATAGTATCGGGATTTCTCGAGACGGTTATTTTGAAAATCACGGAGCAAGTATTGAGGGAGAAATCATGTTGGAGGAGTTTAAGCAGGGACCAGATGCACACGAGGTGTTCGATGAAAGGGCTGTGTCGAGTATCAAGAGAAGTAGGGAAGGGTTGTTGGATTCTGGGCGGGTGTTGCATTTGGTTCAGGCTTTTGAGAAGCTTCTGTTGCGCGAAAAACCAAACGGTGCAGATGAGGAACAAGAGCAGAATCAACAGACAGAGGACTTGGCTAAAAGGGAATTCTCTCCACCAGATATTATCCTCACGCATGAGAGATTAGGCTTGGAGTCACCTTGTTCCTCTTTGATTAATAGCATCCAAGTGTGGTTAGTGACCTACTCCATTGATTTTGGCTTTGTGGGCATAATGATCTTTAGATTTCTGCCTTTAATTCAATACTTTTCTCTGTTTTTCAATGCTTTAGTACTTTGAGGAGTTCTGCCGGTGATAGAAGGAGCAGAAGGAAGGTAAGATTGGTTTTGTCCTTCACTTTACTTTTAAAAGGTTTATAATATGCGTGTATATGTGAAAGCATATCATCTGGATGATCTTTAATGTTAAGTAAGAATTTGCAGAGTGTTGGATCAGCCAGGAGACACTGCAAGAGAAAGCAAATGAAACCAATATCTCAAGAACCTTTCAAGCTTAGAACCGAGGTTTGTATCATTCAATTGGTAATGACATTGCTTCGTTGTTCCTAATTTGGGTATAGAGTTTAGTTGTTTAGAGGGATGGATTTGAGGGGTTCTAAAGGAACTCTCGGAGGCGTAACAACCTTATCAATTTGGGAAAGTAGTTGTGGCAGTTGTGATGCATGTTTATTCATTTATGTCGCTCTACTTTCAAATGACTATATATTGCTAAGCTAGCCCCTTGGATCCACAACGATTCAAAAAATATATGTTTCCGTACAGCACAGTTAGTCCAAGATCATTGTCTAACATAACACTTATCATGAAGGGTTATAGAGTCATTTATTTTTCAAAGGAAGTCAAATTTTATTTACCCCCTTCACGCTCTAGGCTTTTACACACAATGGCTCTATTTAATGGGATCATATATGGTGATAACAACAAGAGCCAAAGTTGAAACCAATAGATTCAAGGATTAATTGATAAAGAGTTCGAGATGGAGAATTTGGGACAAGCAAGGAAGATTTAAGGCAGCAGTATTTCAAGATTGTACTACAATGTTTGAATTGTGAATGAAGATTCAATACTATAAGTACCCCACTTGGTCCTTTTCATTTGAAACTTACAACCAGATGTCTCCTAAGACGGATGGTAGGACAAGAATACACAGTGAAAGTCTCATATGCTAATGAAGCTTGAATAAAACAATGCTACTTGGCTTTAAAGACCCAAAAAGAATGATCTTTAAACATGATTCGCACTTTAATTTGGACGGAGGGAGTAAGCCATAAGTTCTTTTGTTATATAATCAGGTTCAGATCCTCTATAGAAATGTAGCTACGGGGAAAATGTAATCAGGTTCACTCACTAAGTTAAATCCAACACTTTGCAGCTACGGGGAAAATGTAAGGAAGAAAAGTTTTTCACTAAAATAAAGCAAAGGATGGAGGAAGAAGAGAGGCAGCGGGTTCCAATTGCACAAGGCCTACCGTGTACAACAGACGCGCCAGAGGTATGAAAATTGATTCCTTAGTTTTGGTACATTTTAGACCAGGAGATCCTCAATCCTCATGGTGCATATGGCCTTTGACTTACTGTGGTTTCTTTCATATTGTTTCAGTGTTTGGTAAAACCTCACGTAAAAGATAGCACAAAATCAATTGATGTGGTGCTTCACAGTGATGTCAGGGCCGTGGAACGAGCTGAGTTTGATCATCAGGTATAAATTCCGTCCTTTCAATGTGCACATGCTAGCAAGGTAAATAGTTATGGACCATCTGTTTGGGGTTTTGGAGAGGTTGGATGAGAGAATCTTTGTGGGGCTTAGTCTATACTTTGATACTGGAGTATATATAATTAAGATTCCATAAAACTGAAAGTTTATGCTGATCCAGTTACATTTCAATTAACTTTTATTTATTTTTAGAGACATCTTTTCTTATATATCTAGATAAAAAATAAGAGAAAATTCCTTTTGTACACTAAGGTGTTCCCCAAGCACGACCCAAGAATGAGCCCTCCAAATTCATTTCCCACAAACCCTCCATCTTGTTACGATCTCACACACTATGATTCTAGGCGAAGAACACGAAGAACATTGATAGCAAACTCCACGGTGGTATATGGCTTTATGTAGATGATTTCAAAGTATGTAAAGTTACGTAGAATACATGTTATGTAAAATAGCCACATGGAGGATAACATAGGTTGAACCGCTTGAGCGAGAATATTTAATAGTACACTAAATATGACATCATGGTACACTAAATATAACATCATGGTCCACAACCTCACACATGTAGATAGATCCTTATTTTTTGGTGCACATGCGAAACAGGTGGCAGAAAAATTGAACCTCATTGAGCAATACAAGGCAGAGAGAGAAAGACAAAGGATGGTAACTAAAGTCACTTCCTTTATTTAACATATATTGCCTTGTATGGCTCCTTCTTCTGTTCACTTGGTTTCTATCTGGTGTCGTAGTTGGCAGAAGAAGATAGGATTAGAAGATTGAGAAAGGAACTGATTCCAAAAGCTCATCCATTGCCTTACTTTGACAGGCCTTTCATTCCTCAAAGGTACTATACTTTTGCTCCTAATTTGTACGAAAAAAGAATATTAGATCTTCATCTGCGAAATTATACGGAGTATTCCGTTTGTTATCCAACCTTTGTGCTCATACTTTGTTCGTGCTATTGAGTGTACTTTGTCTATGCGTTCGTGTTTGAGACGTGAGTCTCTTGGAAAAAATGTTGGCTGCTTTAGAGGTTCTCTAGAGCATCCATTCTAACTTCTTTTTCGGTTGTTGTAGGTCTCAAAGGCAACCGACAATGCCAAAAGAACCAAAGTTCCATGTCCAACCTAAACAAAGATGACGAAAAGCGGCTGAAGTAAAAAAGAGAACATATTGAAGTCCCTCCCAGTATAATATGAATTAGTTTACAGCAACCATTCCAAATTCATCCATTCTTCTTCTTGTTTATATGCTGCCTGGCAACAGTCATATATATTTATATTACTCCATTAATTAATAATAGTTGTTGAATCTTTGAAGAGTTGTGCCACTTTTTAATGTTTCTAAAATTAGTACTCGAAATCTTATTGCGCCATACCCAAGTTTGATGCCTTCAAATGACATCAGAGTCCTCTAAAGGTCCCTCACAGTATCATTTGAATAACCTCTATGGTTGTGCTTGTTTGAATTGCATACTTTCAATTGTACGCAAACTTTGCCCCTACATGCAAAATAAAAATGTTGTTTTCTAGAGATCTCAAGTTCAAAATAAAATGAGGCAAAAAAAACATTTAACAAAAAAAGGCATGCCAAAGAAGAGGAGCACCAAAATAGCTATTTTTACACCATACTTTATCAAATTTGCACCACACCAAAAACTACGAACTATACGGACAAGTTTTTTCGTGAATGCATATATAATGTGAAAACAACTAAGGGGCTGTTTGTTTCAGCCTCTTAATGGTTCAGATGTCTGAATGGTTCAGCACTTAATGGTTCAGACTGTTTGTTTCAGCCTCTTAATGGTTCAGATATCTGAATGGTTAAGAGATTTGCTTCTGAATGGTTAAGTATTATACAGAGTCTGAATGGTTAAGACCTCTTATCTGAATTGATCAGACATTTGCCTCTGAATAGTTACGCAATATACTAGCTCTTAATGGTTCAGACCTTTTACTGGTTCAGCACTTAATGGTTTAGACCTCTTACTGGTTCAGCACTTACCTATTCAGAAGTTGTCAAACAGCTCCTAATATTTGTATGTCTAGTTTAAAATCTGGGGCATAGTTCAAATGTGATACTGCAATACTCTGACCAATAACACATATATGAACATGCTTATTTAAACACACATATACAAGAATGTCTAGTTTAATATACAAAATATTTTTTATTCACGCCTTTTCTTTTCGCGGAGTAACATTGGTAACGAAAGAAATAAATTAGTACTCCTACATATTGTGAGCACAAACAAAAATTGATTATTCAAGATAGTTTCTTACTTCTACAATTAACTTCTCAATCTTCTTCTGAATTTGTTTCAAATAAAACTTTACATTTTTTATTGTTTTTGTTTAAAGAAAGCAAAATGAGACTCATAGGGTCCGTTTGGTACACGGAATTGATGAAATTGGAATTGAATTGGAATTAAATTTCCATGAGATTCAATTCCATAGAATTGAATTCACCAATTCCAATTCATTTTTTGCACTACCAATTTCAAATCCATATAATTTTTGTGCTACCAAACATAAGAATTAGAATTCAAGTTCTCAATTCCAATTTCATAGTTTGAATTTCGTGTACCAAACGGCGCCATAATATTTTTCTGTGAAATAAATTTCAACGTACTTTTTTTTTAAAAAATGTTATGAAGTCAAACCATTATTAACTTAAGAGCCATTTGGTCTGATTTCTTTTGATTATTTTATTGTTGATTTCAGGCGAGAATAACACAGGCCGGATCCAAGATATTCTGCATAAACATTAACTATTCTGGGCCGCTCTTAGTTCTACTTGGGCCCCAAAAGCCCACTAAGGTTCAACGGACTGAACGGAGACGGAGAGTTTTGTTCTCTAATCTCTATCCTGATTCGGCTCTTCTTCTCCATTTTCATCTTTCGGCCTAAGTTTCACAGCCATGGCGATCCGGCAGCTCCTGAGTCTCTCCCGCCGGTCCCGGAGGCGCGTCTCCTCCCAACTAGTAAGGCCTCTTTCTTCATCCTCTGCCGCCGTCGCAGCTGCCGCTTCCGATTCCGCTCATTCCCTCACGCCTTCTCCGCCTCCACCCACCGCTATGATCTACGACCGATTGGCAGAAGCCGTCAAATCGAAGCTTAAGCGGCTCGAGAATCCAGACCCCCGCTTCCTGCAGTACAATTCTCCCCACCCTGTCCTGACTGACCATACCGATATCCTCAGTGCTCCCGAGACCCGCGTCACCACCCTGCCTAGTGGTTTGAGAGTCGCCACCGAGTCCAATCTGTCCTCCCGTACTGCCACCGTTGGTGTATTCATAGACTCTGGATCGAGGTTCGAGACGGATGAGACTAACGGTACGGCGCATTTTCTCGAACACATGATCTTCAAGGGCACGGAGAAGCGGACGGCGAGGGAGTTGGAGGAGGAGATTGAGAACATGGGTGGACATTTGAACGCTTACACTTCAAGGGAACAGACTACTTACTATGCCAAGGTTCTGGACAGAGATATTCCCACAGCTTTGGATATTCTATCAGATATTATTCAGCATTCAAAATTTGATGATGCTCGAATCGAGCGTGAGCGCCATGTCATCCTCAGAGAAATGGAGGAGGTGAGTTTTTATTTTGGAAACATTTTGGGTATGTCATATCTGGAGATGATAAGTTTGCAGCTTGAATATCTTATTTCTTTAGCTCAGTAGAAGATAATGTGCCAGTTTTTCCTAATTCTGGTCCTTTTGTGTTCAAATTTTTAATTCTGAATAAATGTTTGATTTGGGGGTATTGCAAGTATGGATCTTTAATTGTCACCTTAGAGTCTTTACAGTTAAGAATGATTTGATGTTTGTTAGCTTAAGCCATCCTCCATGTGCTTAATGAAACTTGACTGTAGATATAGTTCAATACTCAACTGGACAGAGTTAACCTTGTTTAGCCATTCTTGTCTAGTTGTAGTGCTATGAGAAAAACTGTATTTGGCTACTATTTCCTGAGATCTCTTACCAACTTCTAAATGCCAATTGATTTTTATTGAAACACTACTCAATTTTAGTAAAGCACGTCTCTTTCTAATTTTATATGCAGGTTGAAAGCCAGCCAGAGGAGGTTATTTTTGACCACCTACATGCAACCGCGTTTCAGTATACTCCTCTGGGTATGACTATCCTGGGACCGGCTAAGAATGTTAAGACAATCACAAAAGCACATTTACAAGAATACATATCAACACACTACACAGCTCCGAGAATGGTACATTATCTATACACTACAAGCTTGAGTTGACGTTGGTTTTTCTTTGCTTGATTTCATTTTTTGAGGCAAGTATTTCAGTCAGGGGCAGAGGGAAGGGGGGGTGGGGATTGCCGTCCGGACGTCTTCTCCATTGAAGGTGCCCCCCCGATGCAGCGTTCCGTGTTTAACATTTTTTGTTTGCTGTTTAATGCGCATTTCAAGTTTCAACGTACAAAAAATAATCAAAATTATGTCGCCTGGCATAGGGTTTAGTAAAACTAAACGGACCAGGCCTTTCATCTTATTCTTCTGGACTTCGACCCAGCCGCCTAGTTCTACACTCCACGACACTGAACTTGAAGCAGCTCCCTAGATTAGAAGAGTATCCCAATTAACATTAAATTTTATCACTCCGTATTCACTTAAGAATTGTTTACATGGACAACTTTAAATTAATGACATGCTCAATACTACGCATTAATTTGTTTAATAAATTATAATGTGGATTATGTTGTGCTAAAAAATTTGAATTATGCTCGAATTAAGAACTTTGATAACAGATGATATTAGAAAGACTTTAATAGTTTTAATTATGTGATTATATGTTTGAGATAAAATTTATTAGTTTTTCATCACATTTTACTGTATGTCTTAAAAAAATCTGGGGGCAACGCCCCTGGACCCCCATTGTCTAGCACCTTGGGCAGTGCAAGGATACTGTTCAACATAAAAAGAATATATAGAGAAAGTTTACCTGAGTTTTGTAGTTTTCTTGGCCCTTGGTTTTTAGTTTATTTAAATTTTCGATTACTTGGTAGTTGGGATTGATACATTTATAAGATAGGCTTTCAACATGTTCAACATCGATATATGTTTTTTATCAATTACTCCGTATGATAGTGTATCATTGTCATGTACATGTTCTATTTTCTATTATATGTAGGCTTTCATTGTCTAGTAAAATAACACAACCTAAGCACACATACCCCACATGGAACAAAACAAGCTGATATGTGACTGCTGTTTTTATGAGTTCAAATAGACATATTTATGAAATCTCTTAAGTAGACCCAGGATCAGACATATTTGTAGGTAGGTAACAAGCTGTATATGCCCCGAATTGAGAGGAGTGTAGGGACACAAATCATGTATGCATGGCCAACCTATAAATTACGGAGTAGTTTTTTATCTTGTATAGTTGGTATATTGCACTCGAGGCTACTGGAATTGAAGTTTCTCTCTTTTTACTGTTTGGGATGGGTGCATGTAGGTGGTTGTTGCAACTGGTCCGGTTAAACATGAAGATTTTGTTGAGCAAGTTAAGAAGAAGTTCACGGAGTTGTCAACAAACCCTACTACCGCTTCTCAGCTCATTGCTAAAAAACCTGCTGCATTTACAGGCTCTGAAGTATGCTGCTACTTTTATTATGAGAATGTTCTTTTTTGTAAAAAAAAGTTACTCACACAAGACTTATTGATATATGTGTTTTTTGAAACTCAGGTCAGAATGATTGATGATGACATTCCGCTTGCACAATTTGTTGTTGCATTTGAAGGAGCAGCTTGGACAGATCCAGACTCTATTGCTCTGATGGTTATCCAATCGTTATTGGGATCATGGAACAAGAGTGCCGGTGGTGGAAAGCACATGGGGTTAGTATGGTCACATGTATTTAGTCAAATAAATTTGTCGAGTTATTATTTACTTCACACGTTCTGATTGGTCCAATTTGCAAAAGTTCCAAGCTTGTACAGAGGATTAGCATCAATGAAATCGCAGAAAGCGTTATGGCTTTCAATACAAACTATAGAGACACCGGTCTCTTTGGTGTACTTGCTGTTGCCAAGGTTTGTAAGCACTTCATTTCATTGTCTAAGCCTTCTCCTCTCTTTTTTCTTCCTAATTTTCTTAAAAATAAATGCAGTCAATATGCTTTGGATTATTTACTTGGCTCCACCTCTCCACTAATATAAAACTATTTATTGATCACAGCCTGATTGCTTGGATGATCTAGCGTATTCAATCATGTATGAAATTAGTTCATTATGCTATCGAGTAACAGACGAAGATGTGACCCGTGCTCGTAACCAGGTGTGCTTACACAAAAAACACAGATACACAGATTCGTGCCTTGGAGCATCTGTTCAAAATATTCTTGCAAATCTCTTGACGTTTTGTTTACTCTTTTTTTGCTTTTCAAGTTGAAATCTTCACTGTTGCTACACATGGATGGAACCAGTCAAGTGGCTGAAGATATAGGTCGCCAGGTAAATGCTTGAAAATTAGCCAATAACATTTTTACGAAATCTTAAAGGCATAAATGTTATTTTAGTCTCTTAAGTTATAGTTTTGTTTTTGTTTTAGGTGATTTTTTAAATTAATCCCTGCAATTTAATTTGGTACTTCTTCGTCAACTTCTGTTTAAAATTCATATATTGTTTTTGCACTCTATTTTTGAAAAAGGAAAATTTGATGTTAATTGTCTCAAGTTTGGATGGTATTATAAAAATAATCCTAGGTTGCAATGTCGCCAAGAATAATCAAAGGTTTGATTCGAAATCTAGCATTGTTAAACATTGTTAACTTTTTTTTAAAATTATGATCTGACATTACCATTTGTACCGAAGTTAGAATCTCGAAAATATCATTAGTGAAGTTAAATTATACTCCCTCCGTCCACAAATAAACTTTACATTCACTATTCACAGGGTCAAACTTTATTCACTTTGTTGGCCTATTTTCGTCACCCATTTGATAAAATAATATAGTCATGTCACCTCTAGTTTTGAAGATCTTTTGATATAGTTTTTAATATGTAATTTTTATTTTTTAATTCTACACCATTTTTCATATAAAATGATTTGAAAATAACTTCAGTCAAACATCGTAACGCGTAATGTAACGTTTAATTTTGGACGAAGGGAGTATATAATTATGATCTTGAACTTAAACAAACTAAAATATTCTTGGCCATTTTTTTAATTTTTAAAATGGCAAATCTAGCTGACAAATGTGTCATTTAGAAAAAATAAAAAAATGGCTGAGATTATCTTGGTTCAGTCCACAGTCCATGTTGAAAAATGTTCAATCCACACATTTTCGAGATTATCTTGGTCAGACCATACTTTTCAAAAAGTTAACGGAATGGCGTTAGTGTTCGGATCATTTCTGAAACAATAGAGTTTCATTGAATCACTCCTGGCAACATTGCAACTTTGGACTATTCTTGGAAGACCGACCAAACACGAGATTGTTCGCAGCAAATTTTCATTATAAAAATTGAATGGAAATTGAAAGTGAGTCTGAAACAATGGAGGTTCATTAACTTCTTCAAGTTGAGCTTGAGGCATAATTCCCCTTAGTTACAGCTGAGTTATTGAAATTATGGCTGTGACAGTTGGTTGCTGGAACGACTAACGAGGTTAGGGCTGAGATGAAGTTTGATGCCAAAGTGTCTTATCTGAGCCACGTCAATATTTTTAAAACGGAAGTTGATAACAATGGAGTTGAAAAGAAATCATTGATGAATAACATTTCCTTAGAGGGGCCTAAATAATACGGGATTTACAAAAAGTATTATATTTGGTGGGATGAAAGAAATACTCATACTGGATAATGCTGAAGAACTAGTTTTTTTTTTGACCTGCAGCTTCTTACATATGGAAGAAGGATCCCGTTTGCCGAACTGTATGCAAGGATTGACGCGGTAGATGCCAGCACTGTTAGGCGCGTTGCAAACCGATTTATATTTGACCGGGTAAGCAAAAGAACATTTATATATCAATAGGTCAAAAGCTCTGGTTTTGTTTTATTAGTATTAGCTAATCTGGTTTGCCCATCCTTTCCCTCCCCCTTTTGGTTTTGTGAATGATGAATTCAGGATGTCGCCATTTCGGCAGTGGGCCCCATCCAAAACTTGCCCGACTACAACTGGTTCAGGCGCAGAACGTACATGCTCCGTTACTAGGCTGTGGCCCCTCAACCCCCACAATATAAGGGGAGTAAGTTCTTCACAGAAATAATAAAAACACGCAATTTTTGTTTTGTTTTTTTGGGTGTAATTTCGGGTGCTATCAAGAGATAATAACAAGACTCTGCAAATTGATGAAATGTTGCACCCTCTGTCGCTTTTCACATTCCTTTTGTTCCTCAGCATTGACACTTCTGCTCTCTCTTCCATTGATGAAATGTTGCTACCATACCCATTGAGCTCAAATATTCATTGTTCTTTTCAAAAATAAAAAACTGCCCATTACTAAATAATGCATAAGCTATTTTTACGGCGGTTCAGTTGGACTTAAGTTTGGTATAGAAATCACTCTAAATAGGACTAAAACATAGAAAAAAGTATTAAAATGAGAGTTCGTCTTTATTCTCAAAATAGGACTTCGCACTGTGATAATGTGGTTGTAATGTGACATTGTACATGTGCATATTACTATATTTTTTTTGGTAATGTACATGATCATGTTTGGTAATATAAATGTATTTTAATTCTTTTTTCGGGAATAAAAATATGAAAGTCTAATTTTGGCATATTTTCAATGTTTTACTCCTATAGTTTTTTTCCCATTTTGGTATTGTATAATTTTTGTTTAGTATTCTGTATCGTTCAGTTTATTTCAAGATTACCCTACAATTAATTTGTTATTTGTGAGTGAATTTCATAATTGGTCCCGTGTAACATGTTTTTTATCATATTTAATCTTCTATTATCAAATATTCTTCCGTGATCTTTTTATGGGTACTTTTTCATAAATAGTCTTTTTTCATCTTTTGTCATGTTACTGTTAATTAGAGGATTAAAAGTATAATTGGACACCTTATGTCTAGTGGCGTATCCTGAGATTGGTTAGATGAACATAATAATAATAATAAATATGATTGTGAATTAGGATTCTGGCAAAAGATCACATCTATTAATAGAAAGTGGCTGTAATTAACAAATAATGTATCAAGAGTATCTTTTGAAATTATGTATGACATGAAAGATATGTAATTATTATGAAATTATATTTTTAATCTTTAAATTAATACTAACATACATGACAAATGATTAAAAAAACTATTTGTAGATAAATAGCGATGGAAGAATGACCACCGAGATAATATTTGATAATAGTAGAAGATTAAGTAGAGAAAATCCTTTAACAAATTTTTGAATTTACTCATTAGTTTTTCGTAGTTCATCATTTTCTTTCATTTCTTATGGAAGTTAACCCAGACAGCCTCCATAGGAGTTATCTAGTCCCAGACTTTGGAAGAAAAACATGCTCCCTCAATTCTTTTAAATATTCATGCTAAACTTTTAAAAACAATAACTCCTAAATAATATTTGAAAAATTATAAAGAATGATACCCTAAATATAAAAAATGAATTCAAATATTATTGTATTGTCTCTATTTTAATTCATTCTTTTTGTATATTAATCAAAACACGTCACAAGAGATGAAATTACATACTCCGTAATTAAAAGAGAACAAGAGTACCCATTCCGAAAAAAAGTTCCAAAATCAATCAGGCACCGTTATTAATAAATATGAATCTTCTTAGACAAACAAGATGAAAAGTGTATATCTTTTTACGAGGAGAGTACACTATTCTTCAGTCCATTGAGCCATTGAGGAGATAAGGGCAAACTAGCCCTGATGGCCACAAACCAGAACCCGGCTTCAACCGGAGGCTTCATGGTTATATTTTTATAATCTATTCCAAAGTTAGAGAAGGTATTAACAAGCATCTATCCTTGCGATTAATGAGCCTTTGAGGAGACTCAATCGATAATAACTCCCTTCTCCCAAAAAAAAATAATTGTAGCGAACATCAATGGGAGAAAACGAACACATTGAATTGAAACGAACATAAAAAATCAAACATAAAAAATCGAACATAAAAAACACCATAAATGAAGCAGCATCTTGATACTGAAGCCTGTACAACAGGGGAGTTTTTTTGTTTATACAAATGATAACACAAACACGCCTAAGTACAATAGAAAGAACACTTGATTTCATTTCTGGGATTAAAATTCCTTACAGACTAATGTACAACATATAGATTCACTGAATAGGTAATCGCCCCACCCCCACCCAACAAAAAGCCCCCAACAGAAGATACGTTAGATCAGGTTGGATTTGTGCCACAGAGGATATTGTTAACCAGTTTTTTTTTTGGCAAAATACCTTTATGGGGGCACAAACAAAATGAACTAGTCGGCCAAAAGCAGCAATACCCTATAGCACACATTGGCTACCCAAAGTTGCTCTGTGAATTTTGTTTCCTACCCTTCCATGCTTCCTACGTAACTATACATGTGTCAGTTTGTTTTTACCTGTGAAAGTATTTACAGCTGCAACCTCTGCCTAGTCATGATATCCCCTCTCCTGGCGACGCCATTCCTCCGGGCCCCGCCAGTCCAATCCTCTTCGTCTTCGTAATCAGAATCATCCCCATCACCCACTCGCCCGGATCTCCTGCTTCCTTTTCTTGGAGTTGAACGTGGTGGCCGTTTCCTTTTTATACTTGCTGTGTATAATGCATAGTCAACAGTGTCCTCCTTGATTGCATTCTTGAAGTCCTACAGATAATAATAATAAAAAGCAGGGCGGGTGTACTTTACACTTTACAGTCACTGGTTGCAACAAACGAGAATTCAGATGAGAAAATTTGTTCTCAAATAAGTTGTTGCCTTTTTTATATGATGAAAGCATTAGTTTCTCATTTTACACTAGGCACTAATGAAGGGGTAATCTAATTTTGTTATACTATATTTGTCTTGAAATTAGAGAACTTTATTGTTTCCTCAATATGTGTGGCATGTTTAAAGCGACACTTAGTTGGAAACAGTAGTAGTCATGTGAAAATGTAACTAACTATTTCAGAACGAAACATACCTGGTATCGCCTCATGAACTCTTCGTGTGTATTTGGGGGATCAATGCGTATGTCACTCACATTGAACTGAATACTCTGCCTTGAAAGAGTTTCCCCGGGTTTCGGAGGTTCATTGGGAGAGTATGCCTGGCCAACCCAAAAAAAGGACACATTGCAGACATTGAACCTTATATACCACAAACAAAAAATGTCCGGCGTAGAGGCACCAAACCTGGCAACGAGCATCATTTAGGCCATAAATGATCTTTAGGTGCCTTTTTAGTCTCAGAAGCAGTTGTAGTGCACCAGCTTGCAGAAAGTCCGCCTGCATTAATCATATTTTCAAAAATATAAAGTAATCAAACATTTTGAATTTTTACGCATGTCAATGTTATACAAGCCAAACTCCATTTGTTAAAATAGCATGAAGAAATGCAATTGGCTATCAAGTCTTGCTATGAATGCCATATTTGGGTCAGTCAAAAATTTGGATGAAAATCAAATACCGGAGTATGATGCTTTAATTCTTGATATCTGATATGGAGAATTAAATTACAATTGAAGAGATAACATAATAGTTGATTGTATTATACTTACAATTATTTTAAACTCATTTTATTTAGCAAGATATATACTAAACCTTCCAAAGCTGCCCCCTCCCCCCATTGACCCTAAGAACACTTATTAAAATGTGCGTATACATATTATTTAAAAAAAACACCTGAAATTTCTGCAAATCGACACTTGAAACGACATGTGGGTTTCCCGAAGAGAGATCATTTAAATCCAATGGGACATGGTATTCACATCCTTGATCAGCTTTGAACTCTTCTTCCATAACTACACTGCCAACAGTTGCTCTAGTTTGATACATAACAGACTGGGCTGCATCTTTCTGAACATTCCTTTTTCCATTTATATTTAGTTCACCTCCTTGCAGTAAATGAAGGAAGACCTTCAGGTTTGTCTCCACATTACCAGCTCTAACTTGGATAACACGGTTAATGGTATGGATCAAATATAGTGGCTCATCCGGCATCGTGAAAGGTAGCAAAGCAAGAATTTCAGTGCAGTATCTGAGATGAAGAAAATATATATATTTAATAACACGGACAAACTCAAGATCTGTAATCACATGCTAAAACAAATTATTAGTGGTATGTTTGAATAAAGAAAATGCCAGGGGAAAGGGGAAAATACAAAGGATGAAACATGATTGTTCTTAGTAGATTTATTAGTATTTATATAAGGGGAAAATGCCTAATTAAGACTAAAACATGCTTCATATACGAAAATAGGACCTTAGATGTTGTTATACCAGAATAGAACTTATAATGACAAAACATTATGCCAAAAAAGACTCTAAACTGATAACACACAATATTGAATTGTGGGTGTTTCACGGTGCCAACACTCCTATTTAGGGGGTAAAACATAAGAAGCCTTATTTTGATATAAGTTTCATGTTTTAGTCTTATTAAGGTATATTCCTTTTTATATAGTAAGGAGTAAATACTTAATATCTAAAATGAATTTATTGTGTTTTAGTCTATCTTTTATTTTCCCTCACATTTGCTTTACTTTCATTTTTATTGTGTTCGTTCCTACCATCTTTCCCTAGTACTTTCCAAAAAACTGAAGGACCCTATGTGTTTATAGGATGGGTTAGCCACAACTTACATTAGAAAAGGGATAACCACATCATCGCAGATTGGTGTATCGAATTTGCGTACAACTGAAGCCATGAATTTGTTTCTCGAAACTCGATTCCCACGAATGAGTTTGTAAACTCGTGAGACACCAAGCCTTGCAAGGGTAAATGAGCCAGTATCCGAATTTGGCGGCACATTTCCAGGAACTTTATATTGGGCTTTTGCATATTGACGGTCTGATGCACCACCTGTGGCTTGCATGAACTGGAAAGACATTCGCAATCCATCCCCAAGGCGGTTCTCGAAAAAGGATGGATATCTGAAACCAGGCCGAGGCTGATTAACATACATGTAAACATCGATATTAGAAGACAAGATATTACAGGAGGCAATTGACATACTTTTCATTCATGTTCATCAACATATGATGTGCCAGCTTTGAATTCTGCTCATACGGATCTGTTTCAAGTGCTATAAGGTATGGAACACAAGTGATGGGATGGACTAGACCTTGACGTAGCACAATCTCCATAATCTGGGAAAAGCCAAGGCTAAAAGCACACATGATATGCCTATAAAACAAGTAATCAAACAGGACATAAGGAGAAAGCCAAACTCAGGACATCACCTTAAGAGCAGACTGGCGTACTTGCTCATTTGCATCTAAAGACCTTCCCAAGATTTTGTCCCAATAAAACTGAACTATGCCTCCACAAATGTTGGTATCACCAGCACCGGAAGCTACAGGGACACAATGCCTACTGTCTGTTGAGTTATTAGCTTCACTTCCACCAGTTTCATTTACTACTCCCATTTGGCTTTCCGCATCAAGAAGATATTCGTACATGTTTTGCAATGATTGCATCTGTTTTTTTAATTTTAAATAAGTAAGCATGCACTACACACCGAATTATAAAAATAAGTACCATAATGGTTACCTTAAGATGTGTATCAGTGCTGGCAGAAAGAGTTGCCTCCAAAATATTTCCCACATCATCTCTCAGCATGAAGTCTGGCCGGGCAATTAGAACATATCCAAGTGCCTAAAATAACTCTATTGTCACGACAATGCTTTGCACACCTCTGCAGAACAATGTGTTATAGAGAAGAGCAGGACTCACCTGTAAAGACCTAACCTTGATCCCATAATCCTCAGCCTGCAAATACTTTTTAAACACATCCAGGCTTCTTGTTAAATCTATGTTCTTATCACTGGCCTGTTGGGATGTACTCAGTAAAGTGCTACCATAGCGTATCAGCAATCCCAGACAGAAAAGAGATCGGCCAACTTGCTGACATTGCTACCCATGCAACAACAAAAGACATTGCATTAAGCCATGAAAGAGCAAATAATAAAAGATAACCACGAGATATTGGGATCAAAGGAAACACATCTGATCTGCTAGTAACAAACCTGCTTATTATCAAGACAAAACCCAAGGGTATCTAATCTCCTGTAGAATAAGTCAACAAGATATTCAATGACACTTGCACCTTTTCCTCCTACTTTACATACAGAGCAGAGACACCTGTCCATTGACAATAAAATGCTTGTCCAGAACTAGAAACATGACTTGCAAAGGATCAAATTATCCAATGATAATATAAAGATCTAATGAGAAAGCAAAGTACTTGATGCATGCATGGACAACAGTCAAGAAAGAATGTCGGACAATCATATGCTTCAGATCTTGTTCAAGCTCTTCAATCACACTTTGAGGAAGCTTCCGTAGAAAAGGAAATATACAATCAATTACAAAGAGTATACTCTCCAGAAGTTGGGCAGCTACTCGGTTGTCAGCCTGGATGCACATAAATATCATTGATAATTCACTCTCACGCTTTGATAGTGTTAGTTATAAAAATAGGGCTTCTGACCCGTTCAGGCAGCTAATATCAAACACTATTAACTCTGGTACACAGTCCGCACAGATAGATATGAACAAAATTACTAGAGCAGACCGGCACACTAACAAGGTAAGCTCAAAAAACATAAATCCAGTATGATGGAATTTAATTAAGCCTCGCATTTTGGCATGAATAATGAAAATAAAAAGGAAACCCCCTATCGTACAATAGAATACATTCAATCACTTCATTTTCTCAAAAGACAGCATCTCATGTGACAATCAATACCTTAGAAGTTTAAATAGCATTTTACTTTTCTCCATTTAGCTTTGCTCGTATCCTGGCAACCCTAGAGGGATATGAATATATGAGCATACCCATTCAAACCTTCTGTTTAGTTTAATCCAGGTTCTGATAGAGTAGAATCACAGGTTATACTTTGATAAATTATCAAAGCTATGCAGCAAAAAACCAACCCCATTTGTACACACAGAAATAAATAAGGCTTCATCAGAAGTATAACTACAGAAAGCAGAGAAAATGAAAGACAACAAACCTGACTCTTCAAATATGGCTGCAGTGTGACCACAAATCTAGAAGGATCAGAAGATGGTGCACAAAGAGTGGGATCCACAACACAAAAGGCATGTAGCAGCAGCATGTATGGAAGCATTCGAGCCTCTCCACCATAATTCATTTCGGCAACCTGAACATTAGGGTATACTATATGCCATCACAAGCATCTAGAACCAAAAAAACAGGCAACCAGCAAACGACATGCAATAAAAAAAGAACCTGTAATATTTTCTCCAGCAAGCACATGCACATTAGCTCACAACGCCTGCGAACTGACGCAAGCGATACAGGACTGATACCAGCAGCTTTAGCTGACTGTGGAAAAAAATCAAGGGCTAAGTTTCGTTTAATCACAGTGACAAGAGGGTGATGGGTTGGCATCCTTCTCATCATGTCAACTATCTGCTCTGTTTTCTTAGACACCTCAATGGGAACAGAACTTCCATCTCCAAAATACTGGCCATGTGAAGCAGAAGATTCATCAAACCAGAAGTCATAAAATGTCTTGCACACAAGATCCTGTACAAAGAAAGGTTGTGGCATAAGTGATTAACCCAACACATATGGTTACTGAATCCATCATATAATGCTTACCTGCACACTGGATTCAACATCATTAACACGTGATATTATCTCAATACATGCATTGGGAAACTCTGAGAAGTTCGAATTTGAGGTGCACATGTCCCGTATGATTTTGATAGCTCGTTTCCGCACACTTACTCCAGTATCCTTTACTCTCTCTGCGATCTTCATAAAGTACTGGGCAGAAATAAAACATATGAGTATAATGTTGTATTCAGTGACAAGGATAAATTGCAAGCACAAACCATCAATTCCACTACCTTAAATCCAACATCAGGGTGCGAAGCAATGTATCGGCCAACCAGTTCCAGTGCTGCTTCTCTAACGGATATAGCAGAGTCACAAAACCTCCCTTCAACAGCTGTTTGGACTAGCTTATCACACAAAACCTCTGGATCAGCCTCTACAATTATGCTGACCTACTCTCATCACAAAAAAGGCATGTAAGGCAAAAAATCACAAGGGTAAGATAAACAAATAGATCCAATCAATGATAGTGGGACCCACTTACTGCTCGCAATGCCTTAGCACGGATCACAGGGGAGTTCTCCCGTAAACTGACCTGAATGTAATGAGCAATATTTTAGATATTCAAACTTGGAAGAATGAAATCAGAGTAACATTTCACAAACCAGAAGCAATTGGAGAATCTTCTCAAATCCCCTAGAGAAAGAACTTTTTTGTCCCAAAGCCAAAGTTATCTTCTTGACTGAGTCCCTTGTCAGGAATGATGAAAAAGATCCAGAATCACGTAATATTGCTTTTGATTTCAACTTTGAGAGATAAAAGTAGAACTTCTGTTGAGAACCAGGATCGTCTTTATACCAAAGACAAAGATAAAACCTACAATATTATTCCATTTTTTTGTTATAACAAAAAATTGATGATTAGCTACTATATTAACAATGCACTTATCAAGTTCATGGAGTCACAGACCAACGGGTAAAAAGATGTGAATCATCTCCAGACTCGGCATCTTGAAGATAAGTCAGAAGAAGCTGCTGAATGGTCTCCAAATTTGTAATTGAATTGCTGGATTTTGAAGGCTTTTCAGACTCATGCTTATTTTTTCTACTATCGATGCCCTGGGACTCACAGTGTGATTTCAATGCAAGCAGTTGCTTTTTGGAAAGACACAACTGACAATGAAAATTCCGAGTTGGAAGTTCATGCCTTCTACCCCCTATACAGTCAACATGAAATATTCTCTCGCAAGCACTGCATACAACCATAATTTTATCATTCCTAGTGTCTAGGCAAACCGAACATGCATCCCGGGGAAAGCTATGGTCACTCAACTCCCCAGAAATCAACTCTTTAACTATCCAAAATGTTTCCTTCTGAACAAGCATTGCATCTTGTTTCATCCGAGCTGCAACAGTACCAAGAAGATCAATGGCCATGGAGCGAATAGAGACATCTTTAGATTTCAGCCCAGCATTTTGAAGAAGTAAAACACAAAGAACCTGGAAAGAGTTTTTTCACTTCAATATACAGATAATCAAGCTGCATAAGAAAGCAAGGGCATATTGCTAGAACTATACCTCTAGAAGAAGAGCAGAGGCAGGATATTCTGGTAAATTCAAAGTGATTAAAAGATCCATGACTATATTCTCAATCACCATCTTCAACTCAGACGCTTCTTGACTTTTTGAATTAGTTAACCGCTGAAGAACCCGACTCCAGAAAAGACAGCAAGCTTCAGTAACTGATTCATAGCATGTTGTAGGGCAACTAGCATCAAGAGCGACTTCTAGGGAAATATTGGACAATGTTTGTTTTAAAACTTCAGGAAGGTTCGAACTACTGTGAACTAGCTGAAGCAACAAAGCAGTGACTATCTGAATTTGCCTATTTTCTTCATCAGGAAGAAGATAAGTTCTAGGTATCCGCTTGGTGGATGGAAGCTTCAGAAGAACTTGGAGTATTTCATCCATCATGTACCCACGATGTTCTGTGTATGTGTAAAATATCTGGATGCCATTGTTTTAGACTTCATAAAATTAGAATGACAGCAATTCTATATATATTTAGAAGGCAAGTACTAGAAAGTAGTAGAGGAAACCTTACCTCACTTATCAAACTGATTGCTTTCAATTGCAAAAGATGTATATTATCCACTGAAAATGTAGTGAAGCATGTTTTCACAAGTTGAAGAATGCAACTATCTGATAAGCGCTCTATTGAACACAACTCCTTAAGAAATCCAAGAACAACACAAAGTTTTTGAAGTATCTTATTCACAGCAGAAGACGCCCTGAAATCGCAGCATCACATTTTATTTTGGAAATAAAATGATTCCTAACCACGTAAAAAGAAATCAGTTTTAGCCATACTTGTTTGAGGCTGACTTTTTTATTTTTACATTTCTCGCAAACCGCTTCTTTTTATATGCCAAACCAAATTCATCATAAACCTCCTCGTCATCTTCACCTATAACAGTTAGGACAAAGAGATAGCAGGTAACATAAGAAATTAAGATTTTGGAATTATAGTTTTAATACTAGTAGCATACTAGCATGAACAAATAAGAGAATCATGTTGGGTCATTCACATAAATGTTCTCTTGTTTTCCATTCCCATATTTCTTATAGTCTAATAGCATGACAGCAAAACTATTCAGCACACTGTATAAAACAAATCTGAGTTGCTTTACTTGCATAATAAGGATTTTTTAGAAAGTACCTTTAGTGTGGGAATGTCACACATCTTTTTGGTAATGTCTTGTATAATACGTATTACGTATTAAATAACACTAAGGGTCCATTTGGAAAGGGGAGGAAAAACAGTCAGGAATGTCAAGTGGAAAATGCACCGATTGGAGAATTTCAGCCATTAATTATGAAATATTAAATATATTAAATGAAAGGAACCTGAAGGTCTACCTTCAAGAGCCCCATTTTCAATCGGCTTATGCAGTGCACGGTACACAGGATCAGAAGCGAGCATCACATCTATGACTTGATGCCTAGAGAACTCCAGGATTCTCTCAATGATCTGAATGCAAAAAGTGTGGGTTAAATTAAGAGATTATTTAAGCAGAAGCTTAAGAAATATTCGAGATCAACAAGAGTTTCTATCGGAAATGGGTTTAAAGTTCATGTCATATACAGTATACAATACGAGATTGGCTGGCTCGCAAAAGAGCGCACCTCTTCTTTATAGAGCTGCTTAGGCATCCCACTGTAAGCCATAATTGCCAAAGATGCATGAACAGACTCCAATGCACTATAAATAGATGTCACGGTCTCTGAATCTGGCTGTAAGAAAAGGAAATTTATAATAAGAATGAAATCCAAAGAGTATTTAATTTAATCATGGCGGTATTAGTTCATTTTTTATAGCAGGAAAAAGTTGCTGAATCTAAAACATATAGGACAAAAGGCATACATGATAAGAGTAACTTCTAGCACATATTCAGCTTTGCAGAGATGGGAATAAATAGCTTCCACCGATAATAAAATAAGTGTCCCGTCTCAGAGAAAGGCACGATGAAGCTAAATTCATAAATCAATAAATAATTTTTTCATGTTAACTGTCAAGTCAGAGCTATTCGAATTATGGAGTGTACAATTTTTGTTTTCCCATGGCATATGAGAACCAAAATCTTCTTATAATATATATAGATTGGACTGTTCAAGCAAAAGAAAAAATTTATCATTTGAAGCAAAGATTATCAGGACACGCTAACTGGACTTATCATGAGAAAAAAAGGCAAGTTATATGATTCATAATTTATTTAAATGCTTTGACAGGCAGAAGAAAAGAACAATCGTTTTATGCTAGTCCTTTTCAGTAGACTCATGCTGAAAATCCTAAGAAATGTCTGAGTTGCTGTCCAGGTAGATGCCAAGTCTAGACATTAAGGGAATAAGGGTCATTTGGTCATGGGATTGCACGATTGGGTTAGTCAACTCCTAGCCAATCCCATGATTATATTTTTTTAAAATCCAAATCGTGTACTGATGCACCGCTCTTTTACGCGAGAAATTGAACTGATAGAGATAAACATTGTAATAGAACTTACATGCTCACATTCATTAATGGATAAACCTTCTGCTCTATGAATTTGCTGATCTAACACCTTCAATGTTGTTACAAGAATATCTACTTGAATCAAATTTAGCACTTTTTTGGATCGGACTGTCACTATTTCATTTACAAGCCCTCTAAGATCAGCAAAGGACAATGGTATCCATTCTGCTTCATCCCTATCATCATCATCATTTATTTTTGCCTTCCCACAGAAGTCTTCCAACATCTCATGGAAGCCTGTTACTACAGAATCTGAAAGAGAGGAAATGTCTTCTTTAAAAAGAAACTTTAAAGCTAAAAAAAGGATTTGAAGAATATAAGAAACAAATAAACCTTGGTTAGAACTGCTTGGCATTAAAACGTCATCATTTGCTCTCTTCTTTCCTCTTGGTTTTCTAGAAGATGTAGTTGCATCCTGCAGTTAGTTGTTAAGTATTAGAGAGGATGAAATATCTATTAACATCTAGCGGGCCATAGCAAACTTACATTTTGAACATATCCGTGCTGATAATAGTTAGTTTCTGAAAAGTCTCTATGTGGATGTTCAAAAATAGGTCTACTCTCAAAAGGTCTAACATCCACTGATTTATGGACACTTGCAGGCTCATTAGAACCTGAGAAACTTGAAGAATGCATAAATTATAAAGCCACTACAGAACATAGTTAACTCTAGTGTTTGAAGAAGCAAACTTCATAAGAGTTAATCAAGATATGCATCATCTGAAAAGTAAAACTAGTATCAAGAGAAGTTATTGTCACAAAATCATTATAATAAGCATTTTGAACATTAATTTTTTGTAAAATTCTAACAATGTAGTTAAATAACTTGAAAAGAAAATGTATAGGCTGCTTTCAGACCAACTATTCACTTTTTCAATAATATTCCATATTTCCAGCATCTTTTAATATTTAGTACCAGGTCCAAACACACCGAACATACAAAAAACTATATCTCAGGTGTTTATCTCGATTGAATTAAACCTAGTTTGCTGAAGCAAAGCTGGGGACATGGAACACCAAATAAAAATGTTGGTTGAAAGTAAATGCAACTTTACTTGGTGATGAAAAAATGGTAGGATAAAACAAATAGGAAATTGGCGTTGTAGACCTTGTTTACCTGGAGCTTTGAAATCAAATGCTTCAGAGTCACATCTAAGAACTGCATCATAGAGATCAACATTTCCTATGAATCCACACTGTTGAGGAGCCACATCAGCTCGAAGATTCCTGCAGTTCGCAAATGACATGATGCGTGTGTGGGATACAAAGTTTGTCTTCTGGTTTGTGTTTTCCATTATAGTGTAATCTCCTCACTCTTTTTGTTGCTTCTTAAACTTTCTCTCTCTCATTTGTGTCCTATACTTCTATTTCTGTATAGGTGTGTTCTCTTATTACCGTTGTCAGAGAAAATAAATCTATAAGAGCTTTGAGTACATGGTAATGTGAGCTGCTCATCAACAAGACATGTTAATAACTGAAGTTTTTTTTTATTATTCTAAAAACGCTTCTCTAACCAATAATATGCAAAATCTGACTATATCATGAATCTAATATGAAAGGAAGATACAATGCTTTAAACATATTACTCATCCTTTCCTGACATAGTGAGGATGAATGCTGCATAAGAAACATGCTAAATCCGGCGAGGATGACATCATGTCATATCTCCATGGAAAGGATGAGTACTTATAGCATAGCTGTTTCGTCCCACTATGTTTGGGACAACGGAAGATGGCACACATTCACACAAAGTCAAGGAAAAGTAAAATTTTGTCGTTAATATTGATTTGTAGAGTTATAGATTATTTTGAGCCACGTAAATGTTGTCAAATATGGAATCGGATGATTTTTTTAGAATGGAAAAAAGATGAAAATATGAAGCAAACATAGTGGGATGGATGGAGTATAATCTACCAAGGCATTAAAGAAATAGAGCACAATGAATTGTAAAGCCAATCAGAAATTTTTAGACTTTTGGTTTGATTGTAAAGAGAAATGCCTTTTTGAGGTGGATGGATTGACAAAATGGTGGAAAAATACTCAATTTAACCCTATGAAAGAAACTTATCAAAGCTGCAATGTTCAGAGGTGAAACAAATCCTTTGCTCTCTCTATCTCTCTATCTCTCTCTCTCCCCCCTCTCTCTCCCTCTCTCTCTCCCTCTCTCCCTCTCTCCCTCTCGCTCTTTCTAACTTAGTCATTATAGGTCTTTTATCCAAGGCAGGCACAATGCCAGTACAAAATGTAAGCACTAAACAGCCTAATTTCAACCAAACTGCCAGCAGCTTTCCTAAGATAGTTGCGTAGTTGAATGACTAAAATAGAACTGATAAAATCATAGAACAGTTTATAAGATATCCTTTAGAATTCATTTAAGATCTATAATACAGACCGTATTGAAATCATTTCATCAAAATGACAAGGAAATAAGAATGTTTTGCATTCGTAAACTCAGGAAAAAAAGTCTTATAATGTTAAATTCCTGCATACAAGTTCTTCCCTACGGAAATGAGAATTTTTTTGAATGAGTGAAGTAAAATAGGATTCATTGCTTCTTCAGAACATACTACATGCATATAGAAACTGGAACAAGAATGTACAGAGTAACATATTAATTCACTTTCTCATCTCAATCTCAATTAAGTATAGAAACACACGGTTATATGCATGCACATTGTTTGCTTCCTTCAGCTTGCAAGGTCAGATAAAGTTTAAATCTCACTGAGCAAAACTCAGAGCCAATCCAGTAAAAAACGACACAGAATTGAAATTGAAACTTCACAAAAATGATATATCAAAAACTTACAGATAAGATACGTCAGTGTTCCGGAGCAGATCAGCGATCCGGCTAGCCTGGTTCAGGACCTCACTCCTATTTAACGATCTCGGCTCGCTCTGCTCGCTAGACAACCGCAGCTCCTGCTCAACAGCTCCGCAGCACACCGGCAGAGACGGCAACGGCAAACAAGACGCTACTTCCGAGTGAACAGTGTTGGAGAGGGATATGCCGCGGGGGATGCAACCGCCGCCGCCGCTGGAACTCGGCCTCGACATGAAATCAACTGTGTGCTCGGCGATTAACTGCTTGCCGTTGACTGCCAGCGGACTTTTGCTCCGAAATGCTGCGAAATCCGAGCTCTGATAGTTGGAATTTGGGGAACTGCCAGAGACAGTTGGGAGAGAAGAATTTGAACCCAAAAAAAAAGCCCTAGAGAGAGAATGTAGAGATTGATGAACAACAAATGGCGGGGAAATGTCTACCAAAAAATAAAAAAGGTTCGGGGTTTGTTTGAACGGTGGGAGACTTCTCGGGGAAGCTTTACATTCCAATTGAGTCCAAGCGGTACGACGACACAGTTTGAGTTAAGTGAGTCAGTCTAAGCTCTTCTTCATTGGGTTAACATTAAAAATTGGTTTGGCTTTACAAAATCAAAAACGAAATTTGGTTTGGATTCAGGTTAAAAGAGTGAAAAAGGATTTAAACATTGAAAATATACTAAATTAGGAGATCCATGATTTTAATCTCAAAATAAGAATAAAAATGTATTTACAATATCAATTATAATCATATACTCTGTATATATTACCATAAAATATTGTAATATGTTCATATACAGTGACGCATTACCACATCACGAACTCCTACTTTATGATAAAAATTTAGAACTCCTATTTTAGTATTCTTTCCTATGTTTTACTCCTATTTAAGGTAGTTTCTTTTAGCTTTTACTATGGACTACTAAAATAAATCTCTTTTTTAGTATAAAAGTGTGTCATAGAAAGATTTTAAAATAATATGAAAAAGACTTTTTAAAGACAATATAAAATGTGAATATTGTAAAAAGGGTTAGCTTTCTACGAGTGTCGCATCTCTCGATGAAACATGTATGAAAGTCTTTTCATTTTGATTTGAAAATTAAAATAAACTAAACTATTGAGAGCTTTTGAGAAAAATAAAATTAATAGAGCGGGTATAGAACTAGACTTCGGGCCAAGGCATCATCTAGGTAAACTATTGTTGTCTAATCAATAATTGGAATAATAATATTGTTGTCACAAATATTTCACTAACTTATCCTCTCTCAAGTTATCATCAATGTGTTCTAAAAAGTTTGACTTAATTAATTTTATATTCTCATGGACAAGGCAAAAACTAATTTCAAATAATTATTTAATTTTTTCTTGATATAATTCATTTAACAATAAAAATAACTATAGAAAAATTATTCTAACTATTAAATAAACATACAGAGTACAACTTTATAATATAATTATTTTTTTGTTAACTTTTGATATTTATGCTAACTTTATATTATAATTATTTCATTATTGTCGAGAAAAATGATAATAATTATCATTATTGTCTGTTATAATATAACTTCATTTTGATATTTATGCTAAATTCATTATTGTCTGTTATTCATTTTGATATTTATGCTAACTTTATATTATAATTATTTTTTTACAAAAGTAATTTTTTGTGTATGAAAAAACAATATTTTCTTTCTTAATGGCATTCATTAAAATAACGTGATGAAGATGATGATGATGATGATAATATTAATATTTTATAACAATAAAAATTGGAATGAGAATAATATAAAAATATACTAAAATAATTTTTTAAAGTCTTTTTAGGTTTTCCAATTTTTTGAAGTTTTTCTACTTTCTTTTAGTTTTTTCCACATTCAACTCTTTTTTTCCAGTCTTAAAGAACAGGTTTTTAGCCATTATTCATTTGTTATTATTCAAGTAAATATTCACTATCACTATACATTATTACTCTTTCTAGCCATTATTATGTGTTATTTAAGAAATAAAAAAGTTTAACTCTTACATTGAGAAATGATTTATGTTTTAGTACTATTTAGTGCAGATATATCTTAAGTTTGAGGTCTTATATTGAGAATATATTCTATATTTTACTCACATTTTGAGAAACTTTTTTGTTGGAATCAAAACAGATGATAGACTAATTTTAAACTAGATTCCAAGAAGATCATATTACATTATATTATACTTTAATAAAAGTACATTAAATTAGAAAGAGAATAAAATTTTTAATTTTAGATGGTCTCTGCCATCTAAATTCTAAAGCATTACGTAGTATATCTAAAAGTAAAGGTAAAAAATAAATAAATGAAAATTTTGAATATTTGTCCACTGTTGACCTTTTGTAGTCAATAATTTTTAACTTTTGATTAATAATTACATAAAATATGTATATATGGTATATTTATTAGACAAATAGTATTTTGAAATATTTTATAAAATAGATCTATGAATATTATTTTGTATTGATATTTAATATTATTTTTATTTAATTTGAGGTAGATGTTTATAAATTTTGCCTGAAAACTTCAAAAGTAGACAAATACTTAGAGACGAATGTATTACAGAGTAAATATATTACAATTTTTTCTCAATAGAGTACTTTATCCGTCCCACAATATATTACAATTTTTTTGTGGCACATGATAATTCTGTTTATTTTTGTGTGTTAATGTATTATTTAATAAAATAAAATATTCTAGTCACCTTTTATTTTGCAGAACTTTTAACATAAATTTTTAATATTTAATTTTATTTTTATACTAATTTTAAAATATTATACTCTAAAAAGCATAGAATTTTGTATCGTAATTCTAAAATTATACTGTGTTTTGTATCGTAATTCTAAAATTATACTTTTATTTAGAATGAAGAAAATAATATTTTAAAACGAAATATTTATTTTTTGAAATAGTCATTTTGATGCAGGTGAAAACTGAAAAGGAGTAAAGGAGAGCAGTCCTTCAAGTCAGTGCTCCATCTAATATCTACTCCGTAATACGGATGCCCTAAAAGCCACCTCTCGATTCCCAACTGCGGCGGAGTGCGAGTGTGGTGTGCGACGACTCCTGACTTCGAGTCTCCATCTCTCCGACAAGTTCCAGCTTTATTTTGGTATTCCTCTCTCTCAATTCTCACTTTCTCCTTCTAACCTTCTCTTTTGTCTTCACTCTTCAAGTCTTAAATCTTCATTTTATGTACAAAATTTGGCTATTTTTGTTTTCTTTTCCTTTTATTTTTTTCCTGTTTTGAAGTTTTATTAAGGTGCGGTTTATGTCATGAATATTGTAGTTTATTGTTTATATTATGTGTTATGTGATTATGGTGTAAACTGTTAATTTAATCATTCATACGGAGTAATTGATATTTGATGAGTTGTTCTTGTGTTAATGTATTCACTTATTCACTGTTTAGGTATTTAACTTGAATTTAACTGTTACTAGTATATACTACTATTATTGATTATATGACTTAATTTTGTTTGATAAATATGATTATATGAATCATATTTGAAATTAAGATTAAGCTATTTGTACCCCAATATTTGTACCCCAATTTGTACACCGCAATTTCATTTTGGGTCAGTGTAGTGCTCGGGTGATAGTTCACACAAACACAAAATATTAGTGCAAATTTTTGTTAATGCTCTAGCATTTTGTGTCAGTGTGAACCATCAAAATGTTAGTGTATACCTTTGGTGTAACTTTGGGGTACACTTTTTGGTGTAAGTGTAGCATGGTTGTTGAAATTATGATTTATAAATTGTACGGAGTAATTTACAAAGTATATTAGTGTTATAGTCTAGAGTATATGTTATTAATTTGACAGATAAATAATAGCAGTATTTTTGAAAAGTAATTTTCATCCTTACAAGAAAATGAAAGTGTTAGTGGACCTTCAAGTATGCCTATTAATGCATCTCAGTCAAAAACATTGCCAAAAAAGTTGATTTAGAGGATTTGCCATCTTGATCCTGTGAAAAGGTTAAAGATTAGTGATTATTATCCCAATCAAATGGTTGAAGTAAGGTGTGTCTATTGGTTGAAAGGGTCTTGCCAACTTTATGGGCACGAATTTCCTTCAAAAAATGAGAAATATATAAGGAGATTCAATCTAAAATGTTTGATCAATATCCACAATGGTTAGAGTATAGCATAAGAGAGGATAACGTGTAGTCGTGTAGAAGTACTCATCCGTGGACGCCAAGACTTTAGTTTGTGCCCTCAACTCTCTGATTTTTTGTACCCGCCAAATGGCTTATTCATAGTTTAATATGGTATGGATTGAAAAAAACTCATCATTTTAAAATTTAGACTCATAGTATTTTATTCTTTCCATTTATAATCTTTTAAATTTGAACTCATTCTTTGTTTTTAACAAAGTTGTGCATTTTTAAAATACAAGGTGATGTTTTTTTATGCAAAGTTGTACTTTCATTTCATTATTATTTGAATTATGGATGTTCATTTTTTTGGTACCGTTTTAGCATGATAAAGTATAATACCATTTTGTTTCAACATAGAATCATTCTGAATCGTTTTGGAGTTAATCATGTACCAATGTCGTACCATTTGAAATACAACTCATTTGCAACTTCGTCGCACCCCATGCGTATTTGTAAACTGGGCCACATCTACTTTAAGTCCTATAAAATTTCAGGATTGAGGATATCTATATACTAATTTTTTATATACTTTCTTTGTCTCATAACTAATGTTTTGTTATGAATAACGAGTTATGAATCTTGACCAAATTCATTTTCTATTCAATATATGAAAATATAATTCTATATTTAAAACTACATCAAAGCTCAATAAAACAAGAAATGACATGATTATGTTATTCTAACAAATGATTAATGAAAATAAGTAAAGAAAGAAGAAAATATTTGGCATGTGAATAGCGTTTTGTATTAGATACTACCTCCGTCCCATAAAAAAATCTCTACAATGAAATTGACAATTAATTAGAAAAGTGTAGTTTTTTTCTTTTTGAGTAATATGGATGAGAGAGAGCTCAGAGAAGTAATATGAGACACAATAGGTAGAACCCTTTTTTGGGACGAAAGGAAAAAGAGACGTGAAACTATTTTATATGATTAAGAGATTAGGTCGAGATAAAGGGATATACTGTGTATTTAAATACAAAGCGTCTTTTTAAGTAATTGCACTAGTTCTCCGGTGGATTTGAACTCTTTTGAGTAGGGGTGGGCACGGGCCGGTCCGAGCCAAGATTTGTATACACTGGACTCGGCTTTTTTTTGTTAAAACGGTCCGGGCCGGAACGAGTTTTCAAAATTTTAAAATTGAAACCGGACCTAACTCGACTTGTTTGAAACGGGCCGATTCCACGGGTCAACGGGTCCGAACCTATCATAATACTAATATTAAAAAAATAAAGTGATAATAAATTAATAATACATACATGGTCATTCACCATTAGTCCACAACAATGTACTACCTCAATTGTCAATTTTAAGTCATCCAACACAAAAAAGAGGCCTAAATGAA